AGATTTTCCCTTCAACCAACTCCTTTAAATCCACTTTCTATCCATATGCTAACCTTTGGGAATTTAACTTCGCGAATTGACAGTCACCACTGCAAAAATAGGTAAACCATAATAAAACATATAAATGGGCCATGAAATCCAGCTCGCAAACTGTTAAATAACCAAACGGTAAATCATCATCATAAATCATAAATCCAGTTATATAATGTTATATATATATATATATATATGTGTGTGTGTGTGTGTGTGCGTGTATCCCATTAAATCCCCTTAAAGCCAATTTGAATAATCACTAAATCCCATTAAATCCCCTTAAAGCCGACTTAAATTCAATCCCCTTAAATCTCCTTAAAATCCATCAAACAATCATTCGATTCCACTAACGCCCATTAAATCCAACTAAATAATAATTAAATCCCATCAAATCTCATTGAATCCCATCAAATCTCATTGATGTTAAGTCACCATGTTATAATCATCCCAGTATGCATTGATGTTAAGTCACCATGATCAAATCTCTTTGTTTATCCCTTTGAAATTTATCCCATCAAATCTCTTCGATTATCCGATACCCTCTGATTATTTAACAGTTTGCCATGGTATAGATGGCCCATAGAAATAGATGGTTTACCTATTAAAAACATGGTGATTTTCCATGGCGAACTGTTAGTCATAACCAGATGGTATATCCAAAGGGAAATTCTGTCGGAAAATCCTGGCAGCCTCCCAAGGCCGAGTCTGGGCGGCCTGCCGCACCTGGAAGTGCTCATCCTGTCCCTGGACCGCGAAGGGCTGGCAGGGGATGGAGGAGATGGAGGATGGCCGAAATGGGTGAGTTCTAAGAAACCCAGAGACCTCACAAAAATATTCAAACATTATCAATTAAATATTTTTTGATATCCAAGATTTCTTTTTTTGGGGATTTCTGGGGTACTAGTTAAGGTTTTTCCATGAGTCTTTGCGATATTTATGCCCGTTTTGAAGTTGATAGGTGTATTAGATGTGGTCCCAACACTGGTGCGCTTTCACGGGGCAACGAAGTGCCGAGAAATGCCGATACCTGAGGTCTCACAACCAACTGCATGGCAGCCTGGAAAATCTCAAGTCCTCCATGCGCATCAAGCGACTGGACCTGGCCTACAACGAGTTTGCACCTTGGATACCTTGGCGCTGGAGGTAAGGCGGAACCATCTCCCGCAGATCATATGGTGATCATGGCATGATCCATCTGAATGACCTCAAAGGTCGACACCTCGGACCTCATCTCTAAGTACCTTTGAGGTCAAACATGTTAGGTTGGTCAATGATTCCCATATCCATCTAACTTGTTACTGGGGAAACCTCCATTTAAGATGGTTCTTCAAAGACGAGCATTTCCCCTTAGAATTCCAGCGGAAATATGTCAATTCTGTGACAAATGCTTCGAACATTCTTTCCATCAAAATCCCATGATATCCCTGTTTCAATGGGAATTTCAGGATCCTAAAATGGAGATACTGTACCATATAAAGGCCATATTTTATATGCTAGGTACCTCCAATTTAGGTTTCTGAAATGGCCATTGAATCATTGACTATTGTTATGGTGGTGAAATCCCCTGTCGTCATCGAAAAATCCCCATGACAAAAATCCCAGTCATTTTAGCCGCGATTGATGACTTGGGCAAGGACTGGACCCCCTCGCAGCTGGCCCAAGCCCTGGAAGCCATGAGCCATTTGAGAAGCTTGGGCTGAAAAACAACGTCCCACTGGAACGCCGTGAGAACTTATGGGGGACACATAAACCCCATTTAAATTTTCCAATGTGCCGTTAAAGACTACATTTAGATGGATTTGTTTCTATTGCTATGTTTGATATTGTTTGATCACCAATTGTTGATACTGTAGCGTATGGAGGTTTCCTAAGTCATGGGGTACTGTAACCCCCAAATCATCCAAAATTAGACCATAACTTAGTATTGAAACCCATGGTGACTTTGGGGTAACAATTTTTAGAAACTCCCATATGGAGGTTTCCTAAGTCATTGGAGATCCCCAAGTCACCATAGGTTTCAATACTAAGTCATGGTCATCCATGACTTGGATGATTTGGGGTAGCCCTATTTTAGGAAACCACTATATGGAGAAACATCATTGAAGCACCATCATAGAAACACTTTTCGGCAGCTGGGGGTTGCTACAAAAGGTCATTTTTGGTGTGAAATTTGGACACCTTCCCATCCCAGTGATTGTCTCAGCATGGGGGATACCCCCAATTTATATTATATAATTTATGACATGTTCATGGGGTAAATGAGGTTCTGGGGCACCTTATTTTCAGACAAACCTGCAACCATTTTCTTCGAGGTTGCGGCAACTGTGACACATGCTCAAATGCAGTGACCAAGGATGAAAGCTATTAGTAATAGGCTATTAGTCTCATTAAATCCCCATTAGATCCCAATTAAATCCCATTAGATCCCAATTAAATCCCAGTAAATCCCTATTAAATCCCATTAAATCCAAAATCTTGGGGCGATCCTGTGAGGGTTGGATGATGGATGGGTTGGATGATGGAGACGGCAGTTGAGACCAAAAAAAATCACCTGGGAGGAACCCCAGTTGAGTTTCGAAAAATGGAAGTAACATGAGGTCACTTAGTTACCAGTACTTATCAAAGATAGGGATTGACACCTTAAAAACATGGAGAAATGGCATTTGTTTCGAAAGCCTGGCTGAGAGTCCCAGTAGAATACCCGCCTGGAATCCCAATCAGACATACTCAGCGGGTGTGGCGTTTCCAAAGGACCATTTAGCTTGTAAAACATGGTATAACTTAACCAATTGCAGTGAGACCTGCTACCTAGACGACCTTTAAGATGATATCAAAATATGGATATCTACTACGGGTTTTCAACCACGGAAGTAGCTCCATATGTGCATGCTTCTATTTCGGGCCCGGCACAGCTTGGGCGGGGAGACTTGATGGCGACGGAGAGAGAAAACAGAGATAGATAATTAGATAGATAGATAGATAGACAGACAGACAGACAGACAGACAGACAGATATTCATACATTCATATATTCATATATTCATATATTATAATAATATTACATATACAAGTGTCACTTGACCTGACATCTTGCCTGTTGCTGGTTTCACAGTTATTGCTACCGATGATTCTCCCAGGAAGTCTCCAAAACCTCCGGCGTCTCGGTGGCGTTGAAACGTGGGCATTGCCATTATGCCCAAATGATGAACTTGATGATATATGAATGATATATGTGTTCAAATTTTGATGAACTTGATAGGACTTGAAGTTTGAAGATCGTTGGGACATATGTTGTTTTATTTGATGCAGGTGGTCATGGGCCTGCCAACCACTCTTTTTTTTTCAATCCAAGGCTTTATCGCAACAAGTTTGTGGCCACTTGGCTTGAGATTTGGAGGACCTGCTGACCGCATCGTAGTTTTTCTTAAATTTGATAGTCTCATCATGAACATCATTGAAGATTTAATGGTATGGGAGTGGATGACAATTGACTAAAGTTAATTGACCATGAACTATGGGAAACACTGATAACTATCAAGTATCAGTGTGTTTCCCATTTGTTTGGGGGGGCGGATTACGGATATTGGAGGCTTTAGGTTTTGATGCACCTTCCGGGGTCATGACGCAGGGCAGCTCGATCCTAGGCTTGCTTCAAAGAGTATCAGATCTACGTGGTCAGCAGACTGAAATCCTTGCAGAAGCTGGATGATTGCGTGATCACAACGTGGCATGGCAGAACGTGCTCATATTTCTTGAGAAACATGAGATTCTTTGACAGTTTGGTGCTTGGTGCTGGTTGTGGACCGCATGTTGTGCTTGCGGTGCAGTATCCAAGTGGATCTTGAAGAACATGAAGAACCACGGCACGGCGTTTTGGAGAAGATTGTGAGCTTGGGGTTTCGAGCATTTCCATGTTTCCCAAAAAAAAGCGGAAACATGCGGAAGCCCAAAACCTTGAAACCTCCATGAAAAGCAAGCCTTCACCCCCCTATGAAAATCAAGTGATCGCGAGGCAGATGCGCGACAATGTGGATGCTACAGACCTGCTAGCCTTGGATATCTATGACCCTGCCTTCAAGAAGCGGCAGGAACTGTGGACACCAGCAGGGTGGAAACTGTTTTGATGTGGAAATGGCTTCATTTGTCGATATTATTTTTGATTTATGCAGTACAAATTGTCAATTCATAGGATGGATGAATGATTTTTATACCATTCCAATCCATTCCAGGTATTCTGGAGAATGGCTAGGAACTTTTTGTACTTAATCATGAGTCGCCCAATTCTTGCGCCATTTGCATTTGCATTCAGCATCCAAGCCCTTAACTTTTCGGACGCCTTGGTCTATGGCTTTGGACCACCAAACAGCCAGCGACTCAACTCAAAGACAGAAATTCATCAGCAATTGTTACTGGTTGCTGATTAATGTATTCCTTTTGTGTGCCTACTCTCGTTTTGTGTGCGTATTGGTTTTAAAATGTGTTAGTCCCTGGAGCACTTCTTTTCATGAGTGCCTTGATCTATGTCGATGACCGTCGTAAACATGTCACACAGTCACTGACTGTTACTATCTGGTACTATATGTGAAAGCTGGTATCCATCACCTGGTTGTCACTGTCAATCAGATTTGCGTTTGCCATGGTAAATATTTCAATGGCTCATTCCTGCAAACGAAATAGGAACGTAACAGTGATACACTAGAACTGGTCATCATTAGTCAATATTGATTATTAATCCACTGCCAATGTTTTTTGTAAGCGATCATGTCATTGTTATAAGTTATAACAGCAATATATATATATATATATTATTTTATATGCAAAAGTATTCTCTTTATCGATTGACGTGTTGTTTTTTTGGGTGCAAATTGTCACTACGTCACAGTTTCCGCAGGAAGAGTTGGCACGGCGCCGGGTTCGAGATGATGCCCATGGAGGGCGGCTGGTGGTGTTGGGAAGCTTAAACTCATCATGGAGAGCTTGGAAGAAGTCCTCGAGGAGACCAGGGATGACCGGGGTAGATCCGAAGTCGGCTACGATGGCTACGATGACTTTGAAAGATCTTAGCACAATTGTTGGCGCCATGTCGTGATTTCTTGAAGAACCTTTGGTTCTATGTCAAATCTCGTGGCTATATTCCTATATTATATTCCTAAATTGATGGTTAGAAATCGTGTTGGTCAATCCCAACACTGACAGCACCAACCACCGTCACCATCAATTGCGTTGATCACGGTCTTGGTAGATAGGACCAGTGCTTCTTACTAATGAGGCAAACCCAATAATAAGATCCCATTCACCAATCAATTGGGGGTCAGTTTTGATGATCCCAAATAGTGGTATACCCAAGAATGAGCATCTACTGGTGATGGTTTCTTATTGGGTTCACCTGGGATGTTTCACCATCTTTTCCAGAAGCCCCTTTGTGTACCCTGTAGGAGCCAGAAGCCCTTGCCACACGTGTGGCACTGGTGCGTGACAACGCAGCCAAGCGTGCTCAGTGTCATGCGGTGACCTGGTAGATTTGGGGACTTTTTGAAGCTGGAAGAGAAACCAATAGAAACCACCTGCCAGCTGAATCCAGCTGAATCCTCCCGTTTTTTTTTGTTTTGAAGAGACCGGCGGAAAACGGAACGTTCGGGGTGGCCCTTCTTATCAGGCCTTCAACATCGAGGAAGCTTTCTGGGATGGCATGGAACGTGGATCCAATGCTGAAGCTGGGCGCATGGAACATCCCCTAAAAAAATCCGCTGGGGGGACCATATGTTTAATAGTTTTCATAGTGTTCCCACTTAAAATGGTCATAAATATAAATATACATATAAATAAATAAACAAATAAATTTATAAATGAATATATATATATATATATGCAAAATAACAATTGAATATCTAGTCTTTTCTGAATGAAAATGGCTATAAAATGGAGCTCAACACACCGTTTTCGTACCGAGGAAATGCTCATCACTGTGTCCTACATCTTAGAGCTGATCACGGCCGTCACCTGGACCAAGTACCTATAAAGATGGGATAAAATATTATAAAATGATATAAAATAGGGGTAGGGGTACTCCACTTATGGGCTAAAGTAGCCATTTCTATGGCTACTCCAAGGGGGTATTTCTACTTATTATGTGTGTATCTGTATATATATATATCATCTACAATCATTTATTTGTCCTTTTTCACGGACATGCATTTACACATACAATCATACACATATTGACACGCAATGTATATTCCAATTTCTTTTTAAGCCATGTAGCAACCGCCATACGGATAGAAAAACAATATCCTATAAGGTCGATGCTGCGAGAAACTTTACCGAGTGCAGCAAACAAAGAATATCGGAAAATAGTGATACATTACTACACTAAATTTATAGTGTATATTACTAGCATAGTGATATATAGTGACATATAGTGAACACACACACACATATATATATATATACATATTATTCCAGAATTGATTGAAGGTTTAAGTTTTCTCCCAGGAACGCCTTAAATATTTGGAACAATGTTGGACACCCAATACTAAACTTACCGTTTGGGGACGGTTTATACCACCCATGTATGGTGATTTTGGGGATGGTTTATGATATGGGGTTGCAACATCCATTTCCTTCGAATTCATCAGATTTGCTGAACATATGACCAAATTGCAACATCAATGTCCTTGAAATTCATAAGATATATTGGAAATTCAGACTAGTAGGATGATAATGATATTGGATATTTGGATGATATACATACTTATTTAAGATAGAATCATGATATTGGGATGATATTGGGGGTAGACACTGGAAAAAAAACCTAGTTTTTTTTTTTTTTCAGGAAACTTAGCCTCTGGTTATAATTAACATGGAAAATATATGAAAATATGGCCCACAAAAATAGATGGTGTTCATGGTGATTTACCTATGAAAGATGGTGATTTTCCATGGCGATTTAGAAATTTCCCAGGTCATGGAGCGACACGACACCTCCAGAGGACAGTTAGTGGACTCCTTAGGCGCCTGGGAGGGCTCCCGCGGAAAATGGCCATAGAAATAGTGGATTTTCCCATTGAAAAATGGTGGATCTTTCCATAGTTATGTTAGTCATTACCAGGGGGTAATTAAAGATAGATTATTGGCTCTGGTTTGAAGATGAATCTTATTTTTCCATATATTGGTTGGTTTATATATCTATCTTGGTTTTCAGCATAGGCTCTATGTTTGTACTTACAGTAATATATCTGGTTGGTGGTCTGGAACATTTTTTCATGTTTCCATATATTGGGCATAAGCATCCCAACTGACTTTCATATTTTTCAGAGGGATTGAAACCACCAACCAGTTAGTCATTACATGCTATTACCTATTAAACATCATATTAAACATGTCCATTGCTGAGAAACTTGAGATAGATTGACCCATTAAACATGGTGATTTCCCATAGCTACGTTAGGTTACCAGAATATCATAGACATCATAACTGAGTATATAAATAATGGGCGGCTCATTGGTATACGATGATTTACAGTAACATGATGTTAATTTTGTTTTTCAAACATACCATTCTAAGATGTACCATCATTAAGTTATAAATATAACGATGGAATTTCATATGTCATATAAAATCATCGAATATTCAAAATGGAATATGGTCATCCATGTGATATGATCTATAATTAGTCCATTATTTTGATATAATAAATATATAATATCATTCATTAAATTTGGAATATCATATAATGTGGCTGAATTAGAAACAACTATTTACCCTTTGGCAATAAACTATCCCCATTCTTACCATAAATGTGTGGTAGGTTTATGGCATTGGGTCACATTACTGGAAATGGATGAAACCAGCCTTTATCAAGGATACCAAGGTTTGCCCTATAAATACCACCATTTCTGGCTTAGAACTCCCCCTAGCCGGTCCCCCAAACATGATGATTCACCATTCAACAAGTCATGATTTACCAATTTTTAAAACAGAAAAAATGGATTCGGGATTTACCTTACCTTAAAAATCCTGAAGTTTCAAGATGCTAAAAAACTATCCCATACTCCAAACCTCGAAAATCCCAAGAATTTTCGGCCAATCCCCGGTAGGTTTCATGAGCTGCGTGGTCTCCTATGACCTGGGCCGGCGCTGCCTGGATCTGCTGCGGCGCATGATGTTGAGCAGTGACCAATGCCGCCGGGTGAAATCTATGGGCGAATCATGGGATTTTTTGTTGGAAATCTACGGGAATTCATGAAGAAATCTATAGGAAAACGATGGAAAACGATGGGAAAGATGAGTGATATCAGTGGTATCTATGATTGAACCATGAAAAATATGGATTTCATGGGATTTTGTCGGATAAGGATGTATATATATATACATATACATATACATATACATGCACAAATATATATATATATATAATTATATATATATCGATATATGGGATATACATTATATGCCCATTCCTAGTCTTACGTTAAGATTTGAGGCTACTTAGGCACCTTATCATCAAACATTTGTCATCCTATGTCATCCTCCAATATCTCCAATATGTTTATGCCCACGTTTTTGTCATTTGCACATTTGCCAGCATTTGCATCTGCTCCATGAACTTTCCAAAGGTCGTGAGGAAGCTGGAAGAGGCGTGAAGACCATCGTGGTGCCAACCGTCATGGCCTTCGGCGAGGAAGTGACGTTTCAGAAGATTGTGGTGGGTTACATTATGTTTTACCGATAAAAAGTGGGAGCTCACCCAAGTGAATGGATTTGACGTTATTTTGCAAACATTTACGGAGAAAACACGGGAGAATCGAACCACTGGGGAAACCAGCATAGGCTTGGCCAAAATTCAGCTACAGTAGCCCCTCCATTCTCTGGGATGCATCGCAATCACAAGCCCTTCGAAAAGGAGAACATCAACAGCGACGTGACGAAGACGATTCTGCTTGGATTGTTGGACATGGTGCAAGAGCAGCAGATCAGGCTCGAGCTGCCAGATGTGGCTTGGACAGCGGCGGCACTATAGACTTAGAAGATGAGTAGATGTGTCCTTTTTTTTTTCTGTTGTGTCATGTTGCGTCCATTTCAACCAACGAGTCTATGCATACTTTGGTCAAGCTTATGCTTATGCTCAACCCCTGAGCTGACCGCGCAGGGAAGAGGTTTGTGACATCATCGAAGAATTGCTACCAATGATGTTGACGTGGTTTTTGGCGGAAGCTTGCCATCTCGAGATTTGTTTCTGACCCCGTCGTTTACGTCGTTTGTTCTTTAACTTACAGTAATGATATACAGTTGTAGTTTCTGGCAGTTTGTGTGGAGAAATGTCCAACAATTATTCTGCCTAAAGAAGTGATTTATGGAAGCTGATTGCAGAAGTGATTTTGTCGAAGTACCCAAGCTGCCCCGTGGTACCACTATCGTGGTTACAAGTACATGTCACAAAGATGAAGACACCAGATGCCAATTACCAGGAAAGTAGGTTACAAGAAGGCAAGGAAATGCAGCAGTTGAGAAATGTTCTTGACGTTCGTTTGATTGGATTTCTTGCCTGCTACATACTGCAAACTCATTGATTAAACGTTGGACTCGCACCTGGCAAGCGAAGGAAGAGTATCTCATGGAAGCAGAAGCTCACATTGACCCCTGCCTTCAGGGAAAGTGATGCGCCCCACAGGGGAGTGTTGCCTTGATACAGTCCCATCAATTTTCATAAGCGAACTTCCCTGGTTTCCATAGTGGAAGCGCAGGAATGTGTTTTTTTTTTGCTCTGTGTGAATCTCCATGCCTACCTGGAGATCGGATGATAAATCCAATGGAACGGGTTTGGTCCAATCTTTGTCGTACTCGTAGCTTCTGAATTGCCTGAATCACTAAGAAGCGCGATGGCTGTAGATCCATACCAAGGGCAGTCTGCCCCCAAAATTGGACCTCTTCCAATCCGGAATGCTGGCCTTCCGGTGCTCTTCACTTGCACCAACTGAACTCAATTTGTTGTTTTAGGATTTTGGATGTCTTCCCAGGTTCCCTACATGTTTCCGTACATTTGGATGGTTTTGGATGGTTTTCAACTACATGTTTCCCACAAAAAGACGAGTTTTGGACCTAGGTGAAGCTTTTAGCCTACATCACGGGACCTGAGGAGAGGGAAGATAGGGAAGTGACCTAAGATGGGGATACAGTGTATATGTTGTATACACATATGATATAGACAGATATATTATGCATGTAATATGCAATAAAAGATGTAATATCTAGTATCTAGCATATGAATCATATGAATATCTATAATATATATATATGTGTGTGTGTGTGTATTGAATGACTCTATGATATATATATATATGTATATATATATATATATATGTATGTATAGTATACATATATGAACCAATAGTAACTCATAGGTTATATATCGAGAAAATGGGAAACAATGATGTGGATAGGGGTACAAAGTCAACCAACTGTATGGCCACTCTGGCAAGGTGCCATGAAGCCATGATTTTACTAACCAGCGTGATGATGATGATCCCATTTCGTGGAGAGCTGAAACGTTTAGGCCGTTTAGGCTGCTTTAGATATCATTTAAAATCGTATCCACTTTTATGCCCGCACCCATGTCATACATGGGTGTTTGTGGGCAGGCATTTTGCCATCATGACTCAGGTGTTGTCATGAAGTGTTTTTCAGTAGTTCAGTAGTGTTGTCAGAATGTTCGACTAATTCGAAAACCATGAAACATCAAGAATTGCCAGTGTTATGCACTGCCAACCATGTCTCACAGTTGGTGCCTCATTGTATCTTGTATCAGCACACTTCTCAGCAGTTCCGCGGGCCTTTGAGACTCTTTCCCCATCCTTTCATAAATCCCTTATAGAATCCTTAGGAAAAAAACACTTGTGCGAAACATTAAAGATAAAACATAATGTTCAAAAATCCATATGAGGCGCCAATGTGACTGTGGATGGACCCCTTCTAAAAAAATAGGAAGGCCCGCCCATTTCCAGGAGTACGCCCAAAAAGCGGCTTCCCCGGATTTGGCCGCCAGGTTCTTTGCTGCATCATGGGGCCCATGGGGCCCGGTCACTAGCTTCTCTTTGTCCAACTATAGCAGCTATGCAGAGTTATCGAAAGCTTAAACTCATTGTAGGGATCAGATCCAACTTGATCCAACTGGTGAGTCAAGCAAGGATTGCAGCATATTGCAGCACAGATCCTTGGAATTCCTTGGCATCCAACCGACACTGGCAGGTGCATCTCTCACTTGGAGAACAAGGCTCTCTTCGTCCCTTGGCTGGCTTGCAGCCGTCGGATGTCATGGTTTCATGGCCATGGCCATAGCCGTCAGGACAGCCAGCGCTTGCGCAGTACCTGGATGGATGTGCTACGAATTTCCCAGAACATCGTGAAGTATGGCTCGGCAGTACCTTGGAAGGGTGGCGAAACAAACAGCAACAAACAGCACTGGCCATTCGCAGTCACCCTTCCCATGTTTGGGCGATTTGGTCGTGCATCTTACGGCATATTATACGCAATCCTGCATTTTCATGGTGGGAAGTAGGATGGTTCAAGGCGATTGATGCTTCCCACTGGAAGAACAATTCTCAGTGGGCTTCATCATGCTTCATCCCTGAGCTACTGAGTCACATTCATCAGTGAGTTAGGGTGTCACAGTCGTAGTGCAAGCTGTGAAAGTCGATCAGACCATGCCGTTTTGCATGAGGATATTGTGGATATGTTCTACAAAGCTGCCATTCACTCCAAGGCCAGGACTGTGCCAGTCGTTGGGGATGGCTATGAAGGAGAGCCATCATGTCAAGGTGACCAAAGGTTTTGAATGTAGATTCTGATGTTTGGTTTGACGCAGAATGGTTATATAATATATAGATATACAGTGATATATACATATATAACATAATATATATATATATACATACATATATTCATGTATATAATATGCGCGTCACGTGTGTCACTAATCTATCATAATCTATCGATCCATATGTTTTTTATGGATATCTCCTCTTGGAGTATAGAGCTCCTACATCGCCTTCCCGCAGATGGTGGCACGGCTACGGCAGGTCTTGACCTCGACGAAGGGTCGGCACAACGACCTGCCACTGGAGGCACGGACGTGTCTCGGTTCCGGAAGTCGTTGGGGTGAGGAGATCAAGCGAAACACTGGGGATCAATGGTGATCCCATGGATTTTATAATGGATCATGTTTAATCAGACTAGCAGAAAAGACCTAAGAATTGGATTTTCAAGAAAAGCACACACATTTATTCAAACATGGCAATGGAAAATTCATCATTTAGTTTGATGATTCTCACATTTGAATGCCAATTTACATGGAGTTTCCTGCTATGTTTGATGACCAGAGGGTAATAATATGTAATAATCAGAGGGTCATAAGATGAAATAAGTACCCTCTGATAATTTTGATATAGTTATGAAAAAAACATGCTTGAAACAAGAGTCGAGGTTAATCATCGTTTACATCATACTTCTGTTAAATTACCAAATGGTATGACAGAATTGGTGGTGAAATGTGGTGAATAAGCTATTCCATGAATCTCACACTCATATCCTCCCTTGGATTGTCCCAAATTATATTCCCATTATATCATCTATAATTCATCTATTATATCCCCACTATATTCCCATTATATTCCCATTACATCATCTACTATAACTCCACTATATTCTCATTGTATTCCCATTATAACTCCACTATATTCTCATGTATTCCCATTATAACTCCACTATATTCTCATTGTATTCCCATTATAACTCCACTATACTATATTCTCATTGTATTCCCATTATAACTCCACTATATTCTCATTGTATTCCCATTATAACTCCACTATATTCTCATTGTATTCCCATTATAACTCCACTATATTCTCATTGTATTCCCATTATAACTCCACTATATTCTCATTGTATTCCCATTATAACTCCACTATATTCTCATTGTATTCCCATTATAACTCCACTATATTCTCATTGTATTCCCATTATAACTCCACTATATTCTCATTGTATTCCCATTATAACTCCACTATATTCTCATTGTATTCCCATTATAACTCCACTATATCTCATTGTATTCCCATTGTAACTCCGACTATATTCTCATTGTATTCCCATTATAACTGCACTCTACTATATTCTCATTGTATTCCCACTATAACTCCACTATATTCTCATTGTATTCCCATTATAACTCCACTATATTCTCATTGTATTCCCATTATAACTCCACTATATTCTCATTGTATTCCCATTATAACTGCACTCCACTATATTCTCATTGTATTCCCATTATAACTTCACGATATTCTCATTGTATTCCCATTATAACTCCACTATATTCTCATTGTATTCCCATTATAACTCCACTATATTCTCATGGTATTCCCATTATAGCTCCACTATATTCTCATTGTATTCCCATTATAACTCCACCATATTCTCATTGTATTCCCATTGTAACTCCACTATATTCTCATTGTATTCCCGTTATAACTCCACTATATTCTCATTGTATTCCCATTATAACTCCACTATATTGTCATTGTATTCCCATTATAACTCCACTATATTCTCATTGTATTCCCATTATAACTGCACTCCACTATATTCTCATTGTATTCCCATTATAACTTCACGATATTCTCATTGTATTCCCATTATAACTCCACTATATTCTCATTGTATTCCCATTATAACTCCACTATATTCTCATTGTATTCCCATTATAACTCCACTATATTCTCATTGTATTCCCATTATAACTCCACTATATTCTCATGGTACTTCCATTATAAATCCACTATATTCTCATGGTATTCCCATTATAACACCACTCTATTCTCATTGTATTCCCATTATAACTCCACTATATTCTCATGGTATTCCCATTATAACACCACTCTATTCTCATTGTATTCCCATTATAACTCCACTATATTCTCATGGTATTCCCATTATAACACCACTCTATTCTCATTGTATTCCCATTATAACTCCACTATATTCTCATGGTATTCCCATTATAACACCACTCTATTCTCATTGTATTCCCATTATAACTCCACTATATTCTCATGGTATTCCCATTATAACACCACTCTATTCTCATTGTATTCCCATTATAACTCCACTATATTCTCATGGTATTCCCATTATAACACCACTCTATTCTCATTGTATTCCCATTATAACTCCACTATATTCTCATGGTATTCCCATTATAACACCACTCTATTCTCATTGTATTCCCATTATAACTCCACTATATTCTCATGGTATTCCCATTATAACACCACTCTATTCTCATTGTATTCCCATTATAACTCCACTATATTCTCATGGTATTCCCATTATAACACCACTCCATTCTCATTGTATTCCCATTATAACTCCACTATATTCTCATTGTATTCCCATTATAACTCCACTATATTCTCATTGTATTCCCATTGTAACTCCACTATATTCTCATGGTATTCCCATTATAACTCCACTATATTCTCATGGTATTCCCATTATAACTCCACTATATTCTCATGGTATTCCCATTATATATCCCGCATTGTAATTATTCCCATGGGTTGTCTCCGTGTTTCCACCGATGTTTCGTGCACATCCCGATGTCCGCACCGAGAATTGCCTTGATTTGCCACTTCGCCTCGGCCATCATGACGCGGAGCCCTGAAGCCTTGCACGAGCCACCAAGCACTGGATTTTTTGGGAAAATCGAAACCGGTTTTCCCATGGTTTTAACCATGAAATATGGGGGTTTCTATGGGAATACTATGGGAATACCATAGAGAATCTGGGCCATTGTCATGACTGGGAGATGTTTTTTTTTTTGCCTTTTCAAAGCATCAAATGTGGGGTCTTTGATGGCACTGGACATATCCCATAAAAAAATGGAGATTTGTATGTGATACCCTCTGGTAAACTAACATAACTATGGAAAATCACCATTTTCAATGGGAAAATCCACTATAAATGGTGATTTTCAATAGCTATGTTAAATTACCAGAGGGTAGTCATCTATAAAATGGTGAATTTTCCGTTGTCACGTTGGACGAGGGGAGAGTAGTTGCTGTATGTTGCTGTAACTATCACTATTACATCACTATCCTTACGATCGCCGTGAGGTGCTGCGATCCGATCTGCCTCCATGATGTCTTGTGCCATCTCTTGCGGGCGCATGTGGTGGACCCAATCATCATGGAGGCATGGTCCGGTGATGCTTTCGTTGCCATGGGGACGGTTGTGCCTTTGGGATCCTTTGGGGTTGGGGGGTTGGAATAGGGATGAACATCCACTGAAGCTTCGTGGTATTTTCCGTGGTATTTTATGGACATTTTGGACTTTGGTCCAGGCCGTGACTCGAGCCCTGCGCGTGATGTTGGAAGATCCAAAGGTGTACCACAAGCAGGCGCCCGGAAGCTCCGTGGAGCTCCGTGGAGCTCCGTGGAGCAATGGGATTCCATATGGACTGGGATAGCGTGGGTAGTTACTTTAGTAAAAGGTACCTGATGGCGGCTCAACATGGCTAAACTACGTTTTTTGATTTCGATGATCAGGTCGCAACTATTTGGTCGGCCATGAGTCAAAGTACAGTGTCGTCAGACGCTTCCACTTTATATACAATACTTTACAATCTTTACACGGCACCATTTGGTTGAAGCCGCGCAGTGCTTGTAGTAGGTCATAGGTTGGCGCAGCAGCATGACCATGAATGGGTCGATGGGATGGCCCGAAAATAGATGAAAATAGAGCACCGGTAAATTTGATATGCATCGTAAGGCTTTCAAGTAATCACCACATACTGTACCATCTATTTATTACGATTTATTGCAAGATGGGGTTTCGGAACCATGGGGTGTTCATGGGTTTTCATTAGGTCTAGATTTCCATAAAAATTGGGACGGATGACCATTCACCACATCCCATCCGCCTGAAATCAGGCCATCAAAGTCGTAGAAGAGCTGCGAAAGGTGACGCCATTGCTGCAGTTTTTAGGGCAGAAGAAGCGCCTTGGATTTTGGGATCGGCGGTTCCTGGCTTCCAGGGACATGGGACGTATGGGATCAGGAGACACGGTGAAACATCTGTCTATAGTATACTATAGAGGCATGGGTTTTTACCATGTTTTTACCATCCGAATATCTCCAAACAGCTAACCTCGCGATGTGATGAAATCAAGCAACTACGACTCGCCAACTATGCAACTGGATCCGGGATCCGAAAGTCGCGAGCCTTGTTTGGCCACCCTTTTGTGGCGTTCCCGAGGTACCCTGAGCTGTACAAGCTGGCCATGAACCACGATGGATCTCAGGAGAGTGACCCACCACCCTTTGCTGAACTGGAGAATGACCTGGTCACTTCTGCCATGGTGGGTGGCTGGACCTCAGGGCGGACCTGAATTCTCGGGGTTTGAGCCCTGAGTTGGCTGGGATCAAATCAAGAGTGATCAACTAGAGCTAGTCAGTGATGTTCGGAATCGACCACATTTGATCACCAATATTTGGTTGGTGGTTTGGAACATGTTTTTATTTTTCCATATATTGGGAATAATCATCACAACTGACTTTCATATTTTTCAGAGGGGTTGACCTAGCTGAGCCTCGAGACGCGGAGAGCCACCTGGATCGTTCCAAGGTATCGTCTCATTGGTGGAGTTTTTCGCGGCGGAAGATGACAGTCTCTTGCTGCAAAGGCTACCAGGCTCTTGGCAGTCTGTTGCCTCATGTTGACCCTAAGTTTCGGCGCCAGATTACCCAGTACTTTATAGGTACTACTGTAATATCAGGTACAGTGCGTGTGTTGTTGGATTTGAGTTCCATATGACTTCTTTGAAGATCACAACCTGTCGTTTAGCATGCTAGTTGCGTGTCTCCTTTGCACAATCCACGGATCTATGGTCGCGACTGAACCCAGAAGACAGGCACAACAATGGGTAAAACAAAGGAGACCATTTGAGAGGTAGATACTGTCGGCGCTAGTTAGATGACGTAGATAAATTGTAGACAAGATTGGACAAACAGTTACTTCTATGTATAGATACTGTTGAAACTAAGGAAAAACAAGCGAGACGGCGAGACAAACTAAAGGGTCGCATCTCTATGCATCTCTTGCAGGTGGTGTAGTGGCCATGCGTAGATGGTACCCTTTTTTGTTCTAAGAGAGTTGGTGGAATGAACCTACCCAGAATCCCTTGGTTGATGGGACATTTCACAGAAACACCTTTTATTTGGTGAGAAAACACCGGAAAAGATGGCAACTAGATCTGCCATTGAATATCCCATTCAATATCACCATGATGGTTAAAAAACATGTTAAATCCCCGAAAAAATAAATTGGTAAACCGGTAAACCATGGTAAACCCACCATTCATGAAATCCTCAGTGAGAAGTTTCCAGCTGGCGAAGTTCATTTCAATCAACCAGCCTCTGTGAGGTATTGAAGATGACCAAGCCAGACAACTGGTGAACGATGCCATGAACGTCCAGGGGAGACCCAGCAGCGATTCGACCGTGCCGGCTGTGGGAGAGCTATGGGTAGATGTGGGATATATGTAGCAGGCTTACATGAGGATGACTACAGGGATTGAAAGCTAAGATGAAGGCAAAATTGGAAGTTCTATCTACAACCTGCAGCTTGTAGAACAATCTCATCCACAATTGCCATCGGATTATTGATTCTTATAACAAAGTTAATAAAAGTGCGTTAGATGAAATAACAGGTAAAAATGATCAATAAAGAGCAGTTTTACCATAAATTAATATCCAATTATTTTCTTTTGTGTTTCTTCAGACTTAACCTCCTTCCAAATTCTATCTCTTAAATCCTGCCCTTCTGAGTCTGACAAATCCCAATAATTTTCTGGAAGATTGTTTCTTTTTACACAATTCATTCTTTGTATTCTGCTAAATCGTTTTGACTGTTCTAAAGAGAGCTGATCTATTTCTTCATCTGTCCATTTCTCACTGTTTGCAGTCTTAAATACTTCCTGCTCTGTTCTATTTAATTTTTCATCAAACTTTTTTTCATTTCCGCAGTTATATCTAAATCTAAACGTTTTTCTAATGTGTCTCAATGAAAAAGAAGTGGTTGTAACATGGTTTTTTAACGCCATTTCGGATGGCGTCACATCATGTCCGCCCACCAAGGAGAGAAACGATCCTCCTGAAGTTGCTGGTGATCCCAAACGACGATCTGAAACTCATCGTCATGCGCTGCCTGAGCAAAGTTCCGCTCAGTGCCTGGGCAATCATCGGAGAGCAGCCACTGATCATGGAGAGGACTTGTGCACATACGTCGTATGTGCATATAAATAAATAAATAAATATATATATATAGTTACATATATATGTGTAGATTTCCAGCCGTTTCTTTTTGGATCTTTGTTGGATCCTTTTTCTCTTTCACTGGCAGCCATCCTGCAGGTCAGATCGAACCAGACGAGATGGGTGCCATCGTTCAGTGCTCCTGGGATGAAGAGTGCTGCCGTTTGTGGGCAAAAGCATGCGGGACTATTGTTTGTCTCCCTTTATACATTATATATATATAATTATATATAATGTGTAATGACGTACATATAAACATATATATATAATGTATAATAAAAGGTATGCAGAGAGAGAGAGATATATATATATTATATCACTTAGATACATAGCTAAGGTGATGAAGAGAGAGAGAGAGAGAGACACAGAGAGAGAGAGAGAGTGAGAGAGACACAGAGAGAGAGAGAGAAACAAAACACATAGCTACATATAGTTTTACATACGCATGCGCACACATATGCACACACATATATATATATATAATTTTAACAAATAACAACAAGGTAATGCACATTGTGAACAGCCAATTCTTCTTGGTGTGTAATGACAAAGTTGAGTAAGTGGGGTAAGGATTGTCGTTGGGTTTATGGCACCATGAGATGCACGGCTACTGATTTGCTTGCTGGTTTTGCCACATTTTTTAAGATGACTTGGGCATACTCTTGCCGGACTGGTGTCACAACTACTGTAGATCAACCAGTGGCCCATGGGTATTTATGGTATTTGTTGTAGTCAAATTCAATTTGGATCAATTTGGCGTATACAAATTTTTAATGCGGGCACCAAGATTTTGATGCGCGCTTGAGATGTTTACGTTTATGTTTTGGGCCGCTGGCACCAAGGTTTGTCGGATGTGAAGAACATTGGCGAGGGTCGCACTGAGGAAATGTGACTTGTCATGGGAGACCGGCGGACTCCTGCGATTGGGGGCAAACTCACTCAATCTCACCGGAAAGTGCTTACAGGGTACCCTCTGGTAAACTAACATAACTATGGAAAATCACCATTTAACCATTTTTGATAGGAAAACTCACTATAAATGGCAATTTTCAATAGATATGTTAGTTTACCAGAGGGTATGTTGCACGCCTTTGTTTCAATGTCAGTGTTCATTGCAGTTTGGTAGGGGGTTAGTTTGCCTGACCTGGCCTGGGTCAGGCAAAATGTGAATGTCTGTGAGTCAACCATGACCAATGGGAACCGACACAGTATATCCGACTATGACAGCTCAATGAAGTAGTTTTCCCAAAATAAGAGAAAACCTTAAATGACAACAACATGCTTTTCCCCTCCCCTCCAAGTAGGGAAACCAATGATTCAGGGTTCTTTCTCTTTTTGCACGCATTCAGAGTCAGAGTTGTGTGTGTGACAATGTGTGTGGGAAAGAGTTGTGTGACAAAGGTATGTATAGTAAGTTGTGTGAGTAAGTTGTGTGTGAGGAAGTGTGGGAAAGAGCTGTGTGTGACAAAGTAATGTGTGAGTAAGGCGGTCGAGCGGGCGGGCGGGCGGGAGTGCAGAACAAAGAACAAGAACCCCACACAAAGATGTGGGGAATAACAATATTTCATGGGTAAATCAGAATTCATCTACGAATCTACAAATGGGCGAGGACATTCCATATTCCCCAAGCAAATGTTAAGTTAACAAAAGTTAACCGCATAAAATACCTTATTGAAATCTATTAAATGCCTTATCAACATCCCATAGAATCCCATAAAATTCAATGGTAGATAGTTTTAATTCCAGGAAACCATCATTAATTTCATGGGAACTCCCATGGTTTCCTGCCAGCGACGTTCCCTAAAAAACCAATCCAGCTGAGGTTGGCTCTGGTGGTTCGACAGCTGCAACGCTTGTTGTTGGCTCCTGGGGAGACAGGCGACAGTATCCAAGGATAACATCGCGAATGTGGGGTAGTGAGGCAATCACGTTGTTAGCTAATAATGAATGGCGAGTAAGTAGTTGAGTAGTTCGGTACTTACTTAGTCAATGAGTTAGTTAGATACACGCTTTAAGAAAGAAGATTTTGACAAATAGGATGATGATCCATCAACCTCTCAGCTGATAAACACATCCACAAATCTTGCCAAGTTGAGGGAGGTCTTGGTGCAAAACTTTCTGTTCTTTCATGACATGTGGCTGTCACCAGACTGGTTTAGCATCCTATCTATTTCCCCTGCCGGATGGAAGGACCACGCCGGATGGTTCTCAGCGTTAAACCTGTTTGAGGTTTAAGAATTGCTAATGTGGGTATGGATCAATACCTATTAATACCATTTTTAATGGGATGAACATCCATTTACCAGCTATTTTGATGTGAACTACAGGGGTACATGGTTTTGACACACTGCCATGTGACAAACCTCATGACAGATCCATTTTTGGTGGTACTTTGTTTGGTGCCCGGGTGCCCGCCAGACGATCAAATGGGCGACAGGCCAGCACTTTTGCACCAGCTTCGCAGAGCGCGCAGTGGCAGAGTGTGTTTTGGTGACAAATCTTTGAATTCATTGGGCACATGGAGTTTGGGAGGGTGACCCCACTTCAACGTTGAACATGATTCTAGATGGATTGAAATCGCACACCAGAACCACCAAATAGTATACGCCTACCTACAGACAGACCAGACAGACAGAAGTACACGCATAAATTCATTATATATATATACACATTAACTTTGGGGCCCGCGTTTGGGCCCATGTATGCCCATGTGCGCTTGCATTCCATCACACTGTGTGTGTTTATATGTTTTTGAACTGCTAAGTTCTCATTGTCTTTTGGCCAGACTGTTCGATCTACTTGAAATTTGGGGTGTGGGCATCACACTTTATATGCTAGCCATATCAAATTCTTACCCACCAAAAATAATTTCTCATGATGTTACTCCTCAACATTGCCATATGGGTATCCCCATTTTCGTACACACCCAAATATCACATTCCTGGTTGTTTTATCAGTTTTATCCTATTTTGCCCGCATTATACGCCTATCAATATACCCTCAGTCAAATCCAATTGACTCAAATCACAGGTGTTTTGCAGCTAAATCAACTTCAAATCCCATTTTTTTGATATCTCCCATTTCTATTTGATTCGAGGAAGTGAGCTGCTCCATCCTACGCAGCCGGAAGCTGAGGTAGCGAGATATTGTTGGCGAACAGCGTGCGAGCCACCACGAAAGAGCCACTGGGCATGGTGGTTTTGCTGCACCTGGGATGATACAATGGAAATATGATGGGAATCTACTCCTAATCGGGGTATAATCCTGCTGCGCACACATATTAATATATATATACGTATAATATGTATATATATAATTATATATATAACCAAGGATAATAATATAATCAAAGGATAATCAATGGATATGACGGGAAGACATGATCAAGGACAATATGATTGGAATCCTCCTCGGGGTAGAACCCTGTTGAATAATCAAAGGATCATCAATGGATCAATGATGAATTCAAAGATAAATATTGGATGTTTATTGGTTTACCCATCCGGCAATCAAACATAGCTATTGAAAATGCGCCTTTTGTATCATTTATAGATGATAACTCATTGAATTTCCCATTCACGAGAGCCCATTTAGAGGGGGAGTCTCCAGCCCGCCGGTTGAAGGTGAAATTGGGGCTTCCAGTCTGACATGGTAACGCCAAAATCCTCTTGAAATCATGGAATTCCAGATGAAGCGCAAGAGTTTTCTGAAAGAACCCCGAAGGTTCCACGGCCCACAACTCAGGTGTCTCCCAGAGTTATATGTATATAATGGACATGATTATATATATATATATGTATATGCATGTGTACATACTGATGTTTAGGAACAAAAACATATCCAGATATCCAGACAGCTAGATAATTCTAGATTTTTTTTTTATTGAGCTATTTTATCTCATATCATCAAATCCTAATGTAACCTTTATCTATTTCTATGGGGGGTGGGCCACGATCACTTCGCCCACCCCAAGCATTCCGAGTTGTCTTGTCGTTCTTCAGGTCCGATGAACGGGAGAAGTTGGAGCTCAGCTGTGCCATCGTGAGCTTTTATTTCAGCTGCAGCGGCATTCCATCGCTGCGGAGTTGTTTGAGGACGTAGAGACGGCCGTCGACGGCCATGCTGTGGAGACCTGTGGAGATCTGTGGATTGGTTGAAGGGAAAATCGACAGAAACCATATAGATTTTCAGATTTTCCCATGAAATATAGGGTGGAAACCTGTAAATTTTCCCGTAAACCCAGTCCATATATAGTGGATGGTTTGCGAAAAAGCTGCACCAGTTGGTAGATAGGCAAAAATCCCCTTATCATCCCATTATTTCCAGCGTTTTGGAAACTACCAATAGAGCCAGGTGCTGCAGATCATCTGAAGGTCCGGCACCAGGTTGTCCTTGGAAAAGCCCTGAAGACGAGATCAACGAGATCTACCCTTTTTGGCAAACTAACAGTTGGTGCGGAACATCACCATCTTAATGGATAATTACAACTATGAATAGCAATAACATGCAATAAGTTTTCGATAGTCATGTTACATCGGCATACATCGGTATACATTAGTATATGACCAGAGGCCTTTCTTTTAACTGTTTGTGCCCCAAGTATCTCCAGCAGTTTCAGCGGCGTCCAGGAACCCCACTATCGATGCCTTGTTTCCTCGTATCATGAAACTGGAGGAGGACTGGCGACCTGGGTAGGATGGGATGGAAAAGGACATGGCTATGAAAATGGGGTTACCCTCTGGTAAACTAACGTAGCTATTGAAAATGGCCATTTATAGTGGATTTTCCCATTAAAAATGGTGATTTTCCATAGCTATGTTAAATTACCAGAGGGTACCTCTCAAGCTGGAGGTGAAAAATGGGAAAATCCAGCGATCACTGGTGGATTTTCGGCCAGGATGTACCGTTTTGCCCGGATTTTTTTAAGCTATCAATAGCTATCAACTATTATGAACTATATATGATTATATAGCTATGATCAACTCCTACAAACAATAATTATTAACCATGCCCAACTATTACTAGTAAACCCTTCTGTTCCTCCCTTTGAACCCCAGGAGTTGCACACGCCGTGGCTTGACCAAATCCGTGGGAGATGACCCAAGTCATATATAGCCTCTGGTAAACCAACACTTTGCTATTGAACATGGCCATAGAAATAGTGGATTTACCCATGAAAAATGGTGATTTCCCCATAGAAATAGTGGATTTACCCATGAAAAATGGTGATTTCCCCATAGAAATAGTGGATTTACCCATAAATAGCATGGTGATTTTCCATAGAAACAGTTTGCTATTGAACATGGCCATTTAGTTCGTTGATATACCCATTAAACAATGGTGATTTTCCATAGTTATGTGGCTGTTTACCAGTGGGTAATTGATCCATCTGAATAAATATGTTATGATATCATTTGCTGGATAAATAAAACATATCTGCCAAAATGTTATTAAAACACTGTAAATACCAGTAAAAACAAAAAAATGGTAGACTTTTTTTGGGGTACCAAATAAATGTATAAACAGTATATATGCATACATGTAGATTATGGATAAAGACCCATCCGGACTATAGCCATACTATTATAAAGATATATATATTCTGGTATATGACGGATTGTTTTATTGTGATTGAACATCAATCAGATCAATGGGATAATTTGTATTCAGAGGCATGTTATTTGGGATACCCTCTGGTAATTTAACATAGCTATGGAAAATCACCATTTTTAATGGGAAAACTCACTATAAATGGCCATTTTCAATAGCTACGTTAAATTACCAGAGGGTAAGATTATAATGACCTCACGTCCTGGCGCCATGGGAATGGTGCTAAGGAAAAGGGGAATGGAATCCCCTTTGGCTGCCATAGCTGGCTTTGTTTCTGGAAACATTTTCAGGTTTAGTGCATTACCCTCTGGTAATGACTAACATAGCTATTGAAAATGGCCATAGAAATAGTGAGTTTTCCCATGAAACATGGTGATTTTCCATGGCTATATTAGTTTACCAGAGGATAAACTCAACCATTTATGGGCCATGATGGGGGATTCTCCCCAAAAATCTCTGGAATCACCTCAACGCGACCAGTCACCAGAAGCAAACCACATTTTCGTTAACATAGGGGGCGTCATCCAGGCTAGAAACAGCTTTTGGGTATTTCTGGATTGAAACTGTATGATCACCAGTGGATTTCCAAAAACAGCTGTTGGCAACAGTACAGACTGGCATGGCGAGTTACTGCAGGTTGGCCATGGATGTCTCTCTAGAACAGACTTGGCTGGGGAGATCCCTAGAGAATCTCTTGCAGTGCCTCAGAGAAAAAAGTGGCAGGCGGTGCTCCATTTCGGGAGGGTTAAACGCGTTTTTCGATTGGTTGGATATTTCTTGGGATCCAGTCGTTGGCTGGATAGAGAATCATGGAATCCTCAAACTCCACAGATTTCTAGATACCCTCTGGTAATTTAACATAGCTATGGAAAATCACCATTTTTTAGTGGGAAAATCCACTATAAATGGCCATTTTCGATAGCTATGTTAGTTTACCAGAGGGTATCTTTGAGTTTCCTGGCGTTTGAAGGGGCCACACTAGAAGGCCAAGCTGGAGACTTGACTGTAGTGAGGCCCTTATGATCATCCACTGAGCAAAAAGGTGCATCATGGTGAGGTGTTCTTCCATCACCTTATATAAAGGTGGTTTTTCCTCATTCCATGTATCACTTGGGAAGCTTTCACAAACTTATCCACTTATTCCACTTATGGCCATGGAACTGGGAAGGACAAGTCTATCAGCAACCCCTGATGAATAGACACCGGATCGTGGGAATTAGATCACAAACTCCTGGCTGATATGGCCCCACTTGCGCGCTACGCCCTTTTTTTTTAAAGCCTACATGGAGATACATTGAGCAGAATATTGGTGATAGTTCAATGATTTGGGGCAGGGTCGCCGTCATCCATGGTCATCGCATGTCCCCGACAGATTGTGATTTTAAGAACGTGGTGATTTTCAATAGCTATGTTAGTCATTACCAGAGGGTAGTTTTCAGGGAGGGCTCACTGGGTGGTCGCGCTGAAGCCCAAGGTGCTTTCAAGGTGACAGACAGCTGCAACGAGACCGAAAGGCGGGGAAAGCGTCATGAAGAGGCGATATTCATCGCGGGGATGATTGAAGGGAAGCAAAACATGGGATGAATATGAGGATGATGAGGATAAGGATGATGATGATGATGATGACAATTGCCACGCATGGTGATGGCGTGCATCACCCTCGCAGGTGACCATCCGCATACTGTGCCAGATTGGCAATGTCTTGGAAGGTGCCATGGCAGGGCAAAGGGGAGGGCCGACCTGCCGGGATGCATCCAAATTGCCACTCCAATTAGTCTGAGTCTGGGGTGAAAATGGTGGTCAAGCATCAAGTGTTTTGGGATTTTTGGGCGCCCTAGTTTCAGAGAAACAGGACATAACAGGACCAACAGGACCAACAGGACAAAATACCCTCTGGTTATTTAACATAGCCAGATGGTACATCAAAATACCACAAATTGGGTTTGGTGGGGCTCAATCTTCAGTCTTCAGTCTGATGATCCCACGCAACCGTTGCATCTGCAAATGCACAGAAAAGTGAACCTCGAATCATCCCAGACAAAGGGGAGTCCTTGAAAGATGACTCGCTGGTGGTTTCACGTTTCAGACATTGCAACCAATATGATCCATAGATGTACATGCATACTGTACATATGTGTATATATATATGTACAGTATACATATTTTATGCGCTTATTGATTTCCACCCGTTGAACATATAGGAGCAGCTTATTAACAAACTCCTACCCAACAAATTGGATGATGATCCCAATTGACTATAGTGACTATAATTGACTCTTTTTATTGATTTGCATAGTACTTTTCTGCAAGGTTGACTTCCCACATGTGGCTCAAGGGAACAATCACACGAAACCCTGTGATTATGCTGTAAAACCCATATAGTTTCCAACTAATTATAAGTACAGTAATTGTTTCCAATTCGACGGTAAATACACCACAGTTTCCAATTTTTTCGAGTTTTCCCATACACTCATCCAGTGATCCGAGTCGTGCTCCCGTGACCCCCAGGTCGATCCAGCTATCAGTCGCGAAGGAATGGCCGAAAAATGCTGAGTTTACAGGAGATGACCCAAGTAGAGGCCTTGGGGGCCAATATTTGGAGATTCAAAGGCATTTGTTTGGGTGGGATTGATTAACGGAATGTGAATGGGATTTTTATGGGATTTAACCTCATATATTTGGAATCTTAACGGGATTCTTTGATGAGGTTATACTATACCGCGATTTTGAGGTTCGGATGGGGTTTTGAGGGGGGTTAGAATGGGATTTTGATGGGGCTTCAATGGGAATTCCAAGATCGTGCCATGAATAAAAACCGGTTGGGCCGTCAACCCCTTTTTTGGTTTGGCAGCAAAGATGGGGACCAACCAACATGGGCATGGGCATGGATGTAGCAACATTTTGACAGTGGAATGTTCCTCATGTTCAAGATTTTAACGGAGGTAATTCGTCCAAAAATAGTTTTTTTTTTTGACGGGTGATTGCCAGAGGGGAGTTTATTGGGTGCGCGTTGGGTAGTTCTGAAAGGGGGAGTGAGTCAGATGGTCTGTCATCAACATGTTAAGCCTACCAGAACTTTACTGCGTGGACACACACACATACCTATAATATATATCTATATTTCTCATTATTTATGATTATTTATGATTATTTATGCAGTGTGTGTGTGAGTTTGTCAATCACCCAGCCGACAGGCAGAGATGTGGAATATGCAGGCAGTACAGAAAGGGCAGCGTTTCCTGGACAACCAGGCGACGGGATATGGCTATGGCATTGTTGAATAATACCATCTGGTAATCAAACATGGCCAGCTGGGAGATCCCCGAACTAAATGGAGGTTCTCATGGGAAAACGAAGTATCAATAGGGGAGAACTTCCATTGGAAAGGCTTCGATGACCGGAGGGTAAAAGCATTGATTTGCGGTTCCGAATGGTACGCAAAGTGTGCCAAATCCAAGCGCCAGAGATGATGAAGCAGGTTGTGGAAAACCATTCCCTGAAAAATCCAAGAATTGGATCCAGGGAATTCTACAGGATACTACCATTTTTCATGGTAACCAGGGAGAACCAGGGTTTCCGGTTTCGATTTTCCACAAGAACAAATCCATTGATCCCACCAATCTACCAACCAGCTTGGGATATGTGTTGCCTCTGCCAGGGTCAATTTTGGCTCGAACCTTTTTTTGTCGGGGACCGTTGATAGCGCCGCCGCACAACATCGTCTCCGCGCCTTGCAGATTGCCCACCGGCCGTGTGACGTGCAAGGCAGTTGGGTTTGCGTTTTGCAAGGAGCAGGGTTCAAAAGCGGGTTCGTCCCTGCAATGAAGACCAAGACCTAGGTGTAATTTCAACCATGGGCTGATAAAGCTCTAATTTACTGATGTATTTTATGGCATTTTACTAGTTGGGATAATAACATACATACATACATACATACCATACCATACCATACCATACCATTACATTACATTACATTACAGTACATTACAGTACAGTACAGAACAGTACAGTACATTACATTACATTACATTGCATTACATTACATTACATTACATTACATTACATACATACATACATACATACATACATACATACATACATACATACATACATTACATTAATACATACATACATACATACATACATACATACATACATACATACATACATACATACATACATACATACATACATACATACATACACACATACACATACATACATGTACATTACACTACATTCATTAATAATATACATACATACATATACATTACATACATTACATACATACATACATACATACATTACATACATACATACATACATACATACATACATACATACATACATACATACATACATACATACATACATACATACATACATACACACACACACACATGTACTTATACATTCATTAATAATATATATATATATAATCATGATAATATGGGTGTGTTCGTGCGGAATTATGAAATTTTCGGGACCCACCCTTCCTAAACTGGGGCTTCGTGAATCCAGTGTTGAGCCCTGCAGGATGCATATCATCGGAAGCATGGCTGGATTCTGGGTGCGGCGAATGCTCAACCCCGCCACAGAAGTTCAGGCTCAAGGCATATCTTGGGCTGCCCTACGTGACAAGGTGACTGCACAGCCAGTCCCTACAACTCAGTGACCCGCCTGCAATTCGGGTGGCTGCAGGTGTGCCCCTGGCCATTGTTGAAAGAAGCACTTCAAAGCTTGTCTTCAGTCAGGCCTAAATGGGCTGAGTATTCTGGTGATTGGTTTTTTCATGTCATGCAAAATTCTCAAAATTCATATCGTTGTAATATCGCCATATAAAATCATAGTATATATACGACATTATACTACAATATGCTACGATCGATTGTGCCCAAAAAAATGTGCCATCACATGGGGGTTCCCCCACGTTGCACGCCTTGCATGCCACCCAGGTCGCCAGGGATGCGCAGGACAGATTCAGCCACTCGCCATGGTTTTTCAATTCATTTTGGGCGATATGTTATATCCTCTGGTAAACGGACTATGGAAAATCACCATTTTTCATAGGTAAATCAACTATTTCAATGGCCATGGCTTCAATAGCTATGTTAAATTACCAGAGGGTAATGGGAATATCATGAAATGTATAGATGTATACAATCAGTATCATATACAAATCATTTTGGGGGATATGTTGGGCTTACACCATGGGGATATCATCAGATATCCATTGGAAAATATAACATAATATTACTCTAACGAAGCATCTCATGGGAATATAGTGAGATATGTAATGATACAATCACTATAATCAATAATTTAGATAAATTTCATCACGACCTCGCTAGGCGACTTATTTGATGGGAATTGGGTTGGAGTATCCCAAAATGGCCTTATTCAAGTTACTGTAGTGAATTGATAATTATTGATTCTTGCTTATCCAGATTCACTGGGATTCGTATGCCCATGATAATGACTCGCTTGGATGAATAACCCCTTTCTAAATGTATCCCGGTAGATAAACGGGTATCTGGACATATAAGCGCATTTAAGTATTGCCGAATAAATTGCCTACTGTAATTGAAAACTTAAATACCAAAAGTTTAATTGAAAACTCCAATCCCGAAAAATCACCCCCAACACTGGCTTACTGGGGGGTTATTACTACCTCCAGTGAAAATGGCTTACTTCGTTCAAGCTGAGATTATTTGTCCCATGGTAACATTAAGGATTCCTGTTCTGGGCGTGGATACCATGTGAACATGGCACATATATGCAGGAGTCCACAAATGTGGAAACAGCTCAAGCCCTTCGTTGCCCCCACAGAAATAATTTGTTTTGCAGTGCCCCGTGCCCCGACTGCCAATCTAGTACAGCACTAGCGGGGCCCTAAAGATTGACCAAATTACCAAATCAGGATTTGCTTCAGAACGGAGCAGGTGTCCCCACTGTACACTCCGGGTGTTCAAACCATTAAATTTCAACAACCATCTCAGTTTACAGTGTTTACAGCCACAGAAAGCCATAGAAATCCATAGAAACGCAAGATGACTTAGCTGAGGTTTAAATCCACCACAACTGGGTGACCCGTCCATATCCAACTCGCTGGGTCCCACATTAATCCAAGTACTGTCAACCTCGCAACAACGAGTGAAACCCTGGTTGCTCAATAATTCTCTTGTACATATGATTATATATATATGCTCTATAATATTATTATATGCACATGTTTTTTTTCTCTTTGCATATGATATAAGATGGAATATTGTTTCGTATAATTTATATAGTATAGTGTGAAATAGAATATCATATCCCATCCAGCCTCTAGCTCTCTATTATGTAATATTATGTATCTAGATTTATATTGAGGTATATTAGGTAACCTAGATGTAATGCACGTATATTCATGTAAATGGATGTGTGTATCTATATGCATTTTATTGGTTAAATTAAAAATCATATCCACAGTTCCATGCGTCACCCCTTTGAAAGATATAGCCTCTGCTAAACTAACATAGCTATGGAAAATCATCATTTTTACCAGCTAAATCAACTATAAACTGGCAATTTTCCAGTTCGCAAACTGTTAAATTACCAGAGGATAGATCATCATATTATCCTATTGAAACATATCCGTTAGTTATATAGATCCAATTTGTTTCCCGAAAAATCTGAAGTCACCATGACCTTTTTTCCCCTTAAGTTGTCCCATTGTTTTCCCTATTCTTATCCCATTAAGTCATTCCTGCCCCCCTGCCACGGCCCAACGGCGAACCGAACCAAGGAGAACGCTATTGACGCGGAGCCTTTGAGTCGAGCTGGAAGCATCTCCTCCGACGAGGAGTTCCTGGCTCGCGCCCGACGTGCGTGAGAGACTCGGGGCGACGATTGGTCAGTTCACCGATCGGTTGGACAGTTGTGATGTGGTAAGTCCCTGGTAAACTAACATATAACACAACTCAGACAGAACTATATGGAAAATTACCCATTGTTTATAGGTAAAACATGGTAAATCAATCTATAAAATGGCCGCGTTCACTAGCTGTGTTAGTTTACCAGGTAAGGCATGTGGGGCTGGATCAAAACCTACGAAATGCCGTATTCGGGGGATAAACACCACCAGCTGTTTTGATGCTTGACAGGGCCAGATGTTATTGTTCCTTTTGTTCAGTGATAAATGGTGAAATGTATGGGAGAGTTCGAAGTTGTTCGAAACATTTTTCGAACGTGTGGATTTGTTTTTGTGGGATACTTATGGGAGAACTCTTTGGGGTGATTGTGGGTTCATGGGATAATTATATTATAATTCTGGGATAGATGGATAGTCACATCGGATACCCTCTGGTAAACTAACATAGCTATGGAAAATCACCATTCATAATAGGTAAATCAACTATAAATAGCCATTTTCAATAGCTTTTTGTATGTTTACCAGAGGGTAGTCACCATTGCCAACTTGGGGTTTGTGGCAAACCATCGGACCATGTCTTGGTCACTGGTGGTTTTTTTCGCCGGAGCCAAGACACCACCAAGGCTCGGATGCAAAGCTTGATTGGATGAAAAAAACAGCGGTTTCGTAGGTCAATGATGACTACCCTCTGGTTATGTCAAACATAGCTATTGAAAATGGCCATTTATAGTGGATTTTCCCATTGAAAATGGTGATTTTCCATAGTCATGTTAGTTCACCAGAGGGTAATAATTAATATGGTTTCCTTTTTTTGGCTTGATGAATAGTATGTATATTTTTTATTAAATTTGTTGAATTTTTTGTAGGCTTGTAACATTTTCGTGCTCGTGGCGAGAGACGTTTTTGGGTGCGTAAACCCAACAATTCTCCAAAGATGAACTGATCCGAACCCCAAACCAGCTTCGCAACGCGACAGTAGCCGCTTGCTTTTGCGTAGTTCTGCACGGATACCAATGGACACAGGCTCCAATGCGGTCCAGACAGTTGTAGAGATAACTTCGGGGGTGCACAGTTGTGGCTTGAATTCAGTCCGCCTTCCGACTTGCCAATTATCATATGATCATCAATTTAGAGGGTGAAGATGCCATGCCTGAAAGGTTTTTCTAGATATCAAGCTTTGGCTTTGACCTTGAGGGTCATGGTGGAAAGATCTTTGGGGAGGGCGTGATGGCGAGGGGTTGGGTCCGAGATACTCCGAAGTAAGAATCACAGTTGCCTGGCAGCAGCTTTTTTCGTCTGTTGACAGCCTGGTTCTGCAACGTCGATGAGTGAATGGTCCTCTTGAATGCTTGATGATATGGGCTATGGATGGCCATGGGTCAAAACCCATGATATACCATGTTTGCTTCTATTTTTAATTTTTTTAAGGAACGCAAGAGTCCACAAGAAACAACTCATTAGTTTAATGATGTTTAATGTGAAATCCAGAGCCGGATTTTGATCCATAGCTGTGTGAATTTGGCCAGTCCCGGATCGTTTTTCAGAACCAGACTGAATCGAACCCGAAATTTGCGGATGGCTGTGATCAGCCAAGGAGCCAAAAAAGCATAGCGATCTGGGATGGGAGCCCCAAGAGAATGAATTCACTCTCTGGGATTATTAAAGGGAAAACCATGGAAAACCTACAATCTGAATCTAAATGATAACTTCTTCCTCACATTTCCCTCTTGGGAAGTTCAAGTTCAGGAAAGTCAGCTTCCGAACCCGATAATTGGGATTTGTCGTTGTTTTTTTTTTTTAAAGGACATACCTTGGGATCTGCCGTGGTTTTCGTATACCTTGAAGATCTTTAAAGATCTTTAGTCAGCACCCGGTCACCCGACTACACCTGGAAATCCAGGTGGAAGACCTCCCCATTTCGAGACACTGCACTTTTTGCGGCATGTGGTACTGTGACTATGACTACCCTCTGGTAAACATACAAACAGCGATTGAACATGGCCATAGAAATAGTGGATTGACCCATGAATAGCATGGTGATGTTCCATAGTTTTCTGTATGTTTACCAGAGGGTAAGTGATCTCCAAAAAAAAAGCAAAGAAGAGTTCATGTGGGAAAGCCACGGAAAGCCAATGCCAGGCCCACCATCAACCCATGACTGGGGTAACCCCATAGCATCCATAAAAATTGGTGAAGACCTGCAGGAATGGGAGGACCGCATTCTTCAAGCGGTGAACTTTGTGGGCGCCGGGGGTCCAACCCGGCTACAGGAGCGGCTCCCAAATGGAAAAAACACGACTCAATCGATTGACTATTATTGGGTATATATGTATATATATATATATATGTATATATATATGTATATATATATATATGTATATATATATATGTATATGTATATATCTATGATTATCCATGATTATCCATGATTATTATTGATTATATTGGTTATAAAGTGGTAAATTGCCAGTAATCAACCATGAGTGACCATGGTGTATGATTGATTTTTGGGTATTTCTACCACATGAGTTTGATAGTCGTGATGAATGGCCTGAGATTTGCAGATCTTGCAGGAGTTCTTGTTGGATCTTGCAGCGCAAGAACGTGAGGAGTACTACCTAGACCAATATGGCAAGGTGGGCGGCTGGAATGGATGTGGGACATGGGACTGCTGATTATGGCAGGTGGCAGCAGGATCTTTCTTGGTGCTAGTGTAAAGTAGTTACCCTCTGGTAAACTAACATAACTATGGAAAATCACCATTTTTAATGGGAAAATCCACTATAAATGGTCATGTTCAATAGCTATGTTAGTTTACCAGAGGGTAAAGGATGTTAAAGGTTGGGTTATCCTGCCATACACCGACGATAGCGACGCTTCATTTTGAGGCACCGAAAAAATGATTGTCCGATTGTCCTGGTCATTGGCAGTGTGGCTTGGGGATTGTCCTGATAAGTTGATAAGATTTCAGAACTGATTGGTGGTTTGGACCATTTTTTTATGTTTCCATATATTGGGAATAATCATCCCAACTGACGAACTCATATTTTTCAGAGGGGTAGGTATACCACCAACCAGATGTAGAGGAATCATGGCATACCAGCCTTTGTGTTGAGGTTTTCATCCGGTCCGCAGGATGTGCCACGTTCATCCCGGTATGATGATCCCAAGTCCTACGTCTTGCACGGGTTCTCTAATTGTTTCGAGAAACAGCCACCCCCCCCTGTTGCCCAAATACTGGTATCTCATACTACAGACGCATAAATGTTTATTGAATTTATTGTGTTTGATTTATTTCATACGTAGTACCCAACTACTAGTACTAGCGCTAGCGTTAAGTCGTATCAGCTTGTAAAAGTCGTATCGGGAGGCCGTGCGCCTGGAAAAAGTTCAAGTTTGGCATCACCACAACTTTTAGTAATTGAACAATTTCATTGTTTTGGGGCCGTGCGGCTGGAAAAAGTTCAATTTGTTTATTGCATTGATTTAAAAATATATATTTGATCATTCTTTCAAGGGGGCAAACGCTGGTTGCTGCTTGCCTGCTGCTTGCCTGCTGCTTGCCTGCTGCTTGCCTGCTGCTTCCCTGCTGCTGCCTGCTACTTGCTGCTGCTTGCTGCTGCTGGCTGCTGCTTGCTGCTGCTTACCTGTTGCTGCTCACCTGCAGCTTGCCTGCTGCTTGCTGCTCCATGCTGCTGCTTGCTGCTTTTTGTTGCTGCTTTTTGTTGCTGCTTTTTGTTGCTGCTTTTTGTTGCTGCTTGCCTGCTGCTTGCCTGCTGCTGCTCACCTGCTGCTCACCTACTGCTCACCTACTGCTTGCCTGTTGTTGCTGCTCCTTGCTGCTCCTTGTTTGGCGCTGACGGGAGGTACCGGCGGGAGACACCAGCAGAGAGAGGGAATGTTTCTGGCTGGTTGGAATGAAACATTGCGGTCGCATAGCGCGGTTGTGCCGCTGTGCTCACCATCTGCACCATCTCGCACCATCTCGCAAGACGGCGCAGACGGCAAGACGGCGTAAGACGGAACAGACACAACAGACGGCGCAGACGGAGCACCGACAATTCCGCCCGCAATGGAATGAAGGTTTTTTTCCAATTCGTAATTCCTGGGTGGATAGGACAACAAACTTCTTGACAGCTGTCCACGACATTGATGCACATCGCGCCAGCCATAGATTTGGTTGCGGAAAACAAGGGGCCCCCATATCCTTATATCATCCTAGATCATAGCCCTGCCAATAGGATTTGCTACAGCTAACCCACTTGCATTGCAAGAAATTTGAGGCTGTACCAATAGGGGTTTGATTTGGTCACGCGACGCAGGACATCAATATAATATATTCAAATCCAATAGGATTAGCTGCCGAGAATTTGTTTGTATTAACTTGTGCCCTTCAAAATCATCGCTGTGCGCAATGCTTCGGCTATTTTTAACTACATCTCCAAGTATGGATGAAACAGGCTGTGCCATGGTGATTCTTCTTCCCTGATGTGACTTTCCACTACCTGATGTGACTTCTCCGTATCGCCGCCGTGCCATGGGGATGATGTGACTTTTCCCGCCTGATGTGACTTAAGTACGGTGCTTGTATCTCAAATTATTGAACACATATCAAACCATGGTCTTGAACTAATAGGTCGAGGGTTTCAATGGGATCGCCCATTATCCAATGAGACATTGGCGATGGCTGCTTATCCTAGATTTGAATCAGGCACTGGGGTATAACACTGATCCTATTATTGCATATTTTTGCCCCAGTATTAATCAACAATCATTTTTCTCCCTTCACCACTACAAAACATAGTATATCATGTGTATAATCAGCAATGGAAAAATCATGAAACATATGATTTATCATGATTTATCCCTTCACCCTCATATTTTTCCCGACAAAAAATGACGAACCGAACCTTAGTCACTGGTACTTCAGCGCGACCACGTCGCCACGTCGCGCTGAGATCTCCGAGAAGCCGGACATGATCCTGCTGGAGGTGGAGGTGCTGAAGAACCAGCGACAAGGCGGAGCAAGTCAGCTACGAGCCTTCGGTGATCTGGAGCGATCGTACCAGGATGGTTCCCATCGTTCGTGAAGTTGATGAAATAACTATAACTGGTTGGTGGTTTGGAACATTTTTTTAAAATTTTCCATATATTGGGAATGTCATCATCCCAATTTCCGAACTCATATTTTTCAGAGGGGTAGGTATACCACCAACCAGATAAGAGTAGCGTATGACTTATAAGATAATATCTTTGGATGGGGTTATGAAATGTTATGAAATGTTATGAAATGTTATGAAATGTTATAAACCAACTTAATAACTGGGGGTACCCTAAAATGGATTTTCGTTGGAAAATCCGAGAATGAAATGGAATGAAATGGATGATTTGGGCCCAGCCCCCATTTTCGGATATGTTCGGAAACCTCGATCTGGACCGGACCAGGGGAAATGGCTGGGTGGATATGGTTGATGAACAAAGGTGCCAGTTTGTGGTCGGAAAATTGATAATTAACGAATATTTAAGGAGTCAAGTATTGAGAATGAGGATTTAAACGGCACAAATTGGGGTGAACTATCACACAACGATGTGAAGGGTAGTTTAGTACAAGTTAATTTTTTGCTGGACATGGGGCATATACCAACCAGCTAAACAAGAATATCAAGAATCATGTTTTGCAATAGTTTGCAGATTTTTGCAGGGCAGCTATTTTAGTCACAAACTTTGGAATACGAAGCCAAGAAACATGGGGAATGTGTGACATGGACTGACCCATGGGGAGAATAAGTGAGAGTGGAGATATATAGGCCTGTTCAAGCAAGCAACATTGAGGATGTTATTCAACCCGCAAGAATGTGGCGTTCCGCGCCCCCGCATGTCCACAGGCTGGAACATCAGCCAGTTCTTCAGTACACCCCCAGAAACTAACATCGACTTGGGTTGGTACAGACATGGGCTATACAGTATACAGTATCTAGTAACATAGACTATATTCCACAATCAGACGCACATACACACACATATAATATATATATATACAATATATAATTATATATTATATATGATTAAATATTTAATTTTATATATATATATATAATTATGTATTTAATTATATATATATACACACCCCAACATGTCCATCACATGAATCCAGATTTGGCAAAGCCAAGTGGGAAATCTCCGCCAGCGCCATGAATTCCCTTCCGATTGAAGCAGCTGAAGTAAGGAGAAGAAGAGGCTCAACAGGTCGACTTGCCGCTTGACGATGGGAGAGGACTGGGAAATCCTGAAATCCTGAAGATCAACCCATTAAATCATTAATCACCAAGCCATTCCATCGCCATTTGTATGGGTATATAGCATTTTTATTTATGTTTACTATCAGCAAATGGTAGGTTTATGGCATTGGTTTTCTCACATTATATAGTCGTTTTTCTCATTCAACATGCAGATGTCGGTTTCATCTTGCAGCACTTGGCGTCTAACTGTCGAACCACATCAAACTTGTCAACGAAAAGTGCTATACATATATATATATATATATTTATTTATTTATATACATATACAGATACATATACATATTATCTTATGTAATGGACATGTAAAAATCTCATACGCAAGCGCGCACGATAAATATACGATATAATAATGGTTTGCATGTGCATATATGTGTCTGTTTGAGATGATAATTGGCCATAAGAATTGACCATTGCATCTCTTGTCAGACCATGACCCTTTTGTGAACCGCTAAGGGCAGAAGCAGATATCAACGAATATGAGAAAGTTGCCGGGAGGGATGTCCTCATGATCGCCATGCAACGTGAAGAGGAGCTCGCACCATGGATGACGATTAATACCAACATAGCCTTATAGCCTAATAGCAATTCCCAGACAGAGAGAAACAGTAACAGTCACATCCTACTAAGATAGTGACAACATGTTGTGTACTTCATGTTGGCATGGTGTGGCATTGCTAACGCACCTGTTGAGTCTCAAATCGTGCAATTCCGGGATGGTTTTCCATGGCATTTCTTCTAGGATCTTCGTAGGAAAATCTTGTGTTGCCCATTCTTTGTGCAGGTCAGAGTTCGGAAGGGCAACATTTTTAGTGTCATTTCAATTCACTATCCATATTACAAGGTTTCCATGTTGCCAGACAGCAGTCAACCTGAATCCGTAACTCCATTGATGGTCCGTATTTTCCAGAAAGAGACGTTCTCTAGGGATCAGGGTCCAAGATAGGTTGGCTAGAAGATGCAAGGCCTAATGCCAGCAGCTGTCGCAACTCAATAGGAGGAGATGGATGATGATCAAAGTGCCCTCTTTGCTCATCGCCCTGATAGCTTGAACCTGGATGAGGCCTGGGTTGTGATGAAAAAAATGAGCGTTCGCGCAACTGAGGTCCGGATGCCTCGGATCCGACAGTCTTTTCCAATCTTCTAAGCTTCACCTGGTTTGGAGTTGATGATTTGATGATTTTGATGTTCCTGAAGAGGGTCCCGGGTCCATGAAATGATGATGAAATCCATTGAAATCCAGTGCCCTTGTGGCCTGGCAGGAGGTGTTCCATGATCTGAAGACAGGAGATGGAACCAGATGGGATGGGTCAACATTGGGCGCACTGGGGCGCCGCACAGCTTGAGAGTTTTGACTCACCTCCATGACGGCAACTACGTGTTGAACTGAAGAATTGCCAGCGACAATGTCAAGTAATTACATAGTAACCCCCCAAAAAATCGAATGAAGTTTGCCACTCTTCTAGTAGGATTTTATGTGTTTATCCCGTTTGGGGGTTGCTGTAGTCAATAGTCATCAATAGTCCCCCTGCTTCACCATTTTGGTGCGCCTGGTGCCATGCAGGACGTGCAAATCTGGCCTTCGCTGCAGCGGCCTATTTGCGGATTGAACCTCGGTTGGTCAACGTACGTGACACGAGCAGATATGGAGGCGTCCTAAAATATCTAAAATGGTGGTACCCCCAAATCATCCAAAATCAATTATACAATTTGAGTATTGAAACCATGGTTTTGGGATGGAGTTTGGGGATTTTTCATCAAAAAAGAACCCCCAGCCGGTGGTACTCCAGCTGGAGCGTGCGTGCCATAAACCTAGCATTTGGGGAGGGTAAAAGTAGCATCCATATATGGTGATGACTTGGGGATGATTTATGATTGGGTCTACCCGGCCTGGTAAACATACAGAAAAGTATGGTTAAAATCACCATGCTATTAATGGGTAGAAATCCACTATTTCTATGGCCATTTTCAATAGGGTGTCACATTAGTCCAGTTTGGTCATGATGAGTTATGATGACCGGCCTGACCGATGCTGGAAAAGGACCCATGAAGTTCGATGGCTTGCCTATGACACACCCAAATTTGTGTTTTTCCACGGTTAAATGCCCTATACAGTGCAATATCCATTGTATATATCATTATATATATATATATATGTCATATATCCCAAGAAATCCCAATAAATTTCATGAAACATCGTGATGTTCCAGTTCTCAGTCCGTGTTCGTCAGCCGCGGAGCCGCGCAGTTACATGCGCTGCTGGTGCTGCCGCCAGATCCCAGTTGCCGGCAGCAGATTCTCAGGGAGTTGAGACAGCCAGAGCCTTGGTGTAACTAGAGACCAACAGAAGGGGATGATCCAAGTGACCCAAGTTCTGGAAGTTATGGGTGAATCATGGTGAATCATATTGATAACTATTGAGATGTTGATAAAATGATATGATATATGATATATGATATATATATATATTAGGAAGACTTTTTGAGTATCTGTAATTCAAAAGAGTGCGACGTGTTTTCGGGTTACCAAAATTTTGGAACCCCCTGATTCACTGATGGTAGGTATTGGGTATGTCCACATATAGTTAGAAGATGTTCTAATGCCAAGGGAAAACATGTTGCTGCAAGTCTCCATGTTGCTGCAAGTCTCCATGTTACGTTTCTTGTGGGTTGTTACCCCTTTTGGGGAAAAAATAGGGTGTGAGTGGTGTGAGGATGAGGTTCACATGACATCCATAAGGAAGAAAGTCTCAGCTGGGTAATCCGAAAGCTCTTCTGATTGGAGTGATACTGTGGCAGCCAATGGCACCAAGCGCAGTACTAGTGTAAATGTTAAAACTAATTCACAACGTTAGCCAAATGCTTCCCAAACCGTAGTTACCTGGGTCAATTCTGGTTCTAACCCTGCATCGGAGATCATTTGGTGTGATCCATGACAATTGTCACAATTTTGCATGACTATTCTGACTATGTGACTTTTTTGGGATGATGCAACCATTCTTTCTTCTATCTGATTCTATCTCATATCTCCATATATCCCCATGGTTTCCGCAAAGCCAATCCCGGGCGGTTCAAGCACCAACTTTCGCCATTTGGGCCATGGAAATTCATGCCCTTGGACCTCCCGGGCCCCTGCGGGTGTTGAAGGAGAATCAACAGGAACCAGTTCATGGATGACTCATAGTATCTCATAGTTCATGGATGTTCATGGAACCTCCTATATTACCTATATATATATATATGTCATAGTCAAAAAATGCACTAATATTTCCACATATTTCATGGTAGAAAACATGCATGGCGACCCCACATGGCATGGCATTCTGCGAAGGAACGCTTGGCGAAGCTCATCGCGTTGATCTCGGGCCTGCCAGCACTCTCCTGCCACGTGGCTGCGAAGTTCCTGAGAGTCACTTGGCTCATGGGACCATCACTGGAATGACCTGGATTCAGAGTGGAATATTTTTATGGGGATATAATATGATATATATAATATGATATAATGAGATATCATGCGATGTAGCATGATATCTGACTGACCCTAACATTTGGATAAATAACAACGACCTCACTGCGACGTCACTAGAAATGCTGATGACGAGCGGGTGAATCATCCCAAAATGGATTGGATCCGACGGGGTTTTTATCTATCAGAGCCACAGGAAGGAATCATAAGAAATCTCACCAGCAGAGCTAACTCGAAGATTTCACCAAGACGTTGATGTCAGGTGTTTACCCAACAACAATGTCAGGTATATACCCTCTGGTAAATTAACATAGACCCTGAAAATCACCATTTTTTAGAGGTTTCACTAATCTTCCAACCCCTATCTACCAGGGTCTATGTTAATTTACTGGAGGGTAAGTGATTTGTGGTGATTCAGTGGCGATCCCATCCCACAAAAAATATCAAAAAATCACACTTCCCCAGCAAAAGTCAGACTGGATTTGTGAAAATTTTAGGGTCCCTAAAAATAAGGGGGACATGTTCAGTTTTGAGGGGATGGAATCACAAATCCCCTGTCTTTGCGAAGTCTTGCATGGTTTTACATCTGGGTGGTCCTCACATGGTCAGCTAGCAGAAACTTACCTTCAGTTGATGACATGTATGATCTTCAGCTGAAGTCCAACAGCGAAGGGATCTCCATGAATTTGGTCAGATTCATCCATCATCATCCAACCTTTGAAATAAAGCTGATCATTTTCAAAGCAACGGGAAGGGGGAAGATCCTGCCGGGAAGGTCCATGGTGCCCGCAGTGCCGCAGTGCAGGTCATGTCCCATGCTCTGGCGATCGGTGCAGATGATGGAGCTTCGCAAGGGTTGCCCCTGGATGCCCCTGGTGTTTTGTGGACATGTGGTCAGACCCGTTGGTCGTTTCAGTTCTTGAGATGGTTGTAGGCCCATTGCAGGCCATGCCAAGATATGCCAACGTCCTGGCCAGGAGATCTTCCTTCACCCACCCTGGAGCATTTCAGCATGGTGGCGCCACTTGGTTCCAGCTGCCTGGGATGTGGATTTCCGGCCTGAAAGGACTTCTTTGGGGATCATGTTCAGCCATGTTCAGCCTGGCAGAGTTCACCAAGGATGTTCATTCAACGCCTGGCTGAGTCCTTGTTGTTTCTGTGGCTTGGCTCTGCCAGGATGAGAGCCCCGAGGATGGAGATGTCATTGCCATGATGGTGATGCTATATCTGAAAATGGGGGATTTACCGGCCAAAAATGGCAAGTTTGATAAGGAACAAATATGGACACATGCAATGAGTCAAGAGATGTCAAGAGTGGATTTAAGCCATCCTTGATCTTGACACATGTTGTTCCTGTCACGAAGGATGGAACCACTTAAAGCTTGCAACCAGCACAGGTTAATTATGCTGGGCTAAATCTCCCTTTACCATCCTTTACCGTGTAGCGGACGCTCGATGACGCTCGTCGGACCTTACAATAACTTCCGGAAGTGGTTCCTGGATAGCTTGGGCTAGTTGGAGATCCAACTGAATCCAATTGCCTCGATTTTCACATGAAGTTCCGTGAAGCGCCATGGAATCCCGGGCTTTTCCAAGGCTGAAACTCACAAAGGACCAGCGCTTAGATCACAAGGAAGAAGTTCTCAGCGTTGAGATCGCTCGCCCCTCGGCATCCGCCGGCCAGTTCGCCAAGACACCCATCCAACATATATATAATGATATATATAATATATATATATATATACATAATCTAGATATATGATTATAAAAAAAAATCCAATGATTTTCGTTCTGATCGGACTTATTGATTGCTCATTTGATCCCATGGATCCACTTCATGCGTTATATTTATTGATTATTCCAGTTTCCCTCTGGTAAACTAACATAGCTATATAGAAAATCACCATTTTGAACAAGTAAATCATCTACAAATGGTTCATTTTCCATATTTTCCATAGCTATGTTAGTTTACTGGAGGGTAGCTAGTTCTAAACCAACTTCGCAAAGTACGGGGCACTTCCTTCGTTCGCGATCTCAGGTTTTGTTGGTTCCATGGCGCAAACGGCACCCAGACTCTCCAGGGTCTCCAATCGTTTCGAGACATGGCTGGATGATGCATCCAGTTCCATGTTCCCCCAGGAGAAGCTACGAATTGAGTTTCCCAATCATCTGATGTTCTTTGACTGGGATTTTTGGGACGTGTTTGAATCAAGTTCTTCCAAGGATGCATTTTGGGATTTTTTTGGACATATGTGACTTGGGATATTATGGGATGTAAACCAGCGAGAAGCCCCAAGGTCTTGTCTTTGGTTTGTCACATCAGGAAGGATCATCTGAATCTGTAAACGATTTATCCCTCTAGGGTGAAAAAGCATGAGCAAGCTATACGTTGGGCTATATATTTATAGATAGTTATATATATATGATATCAATGATATATGTTTGTTGCCATGTTTGTCTACAATAGGGTGCTCTACTTGACATGATGCCACTTTCGTTGTTCTTTCGAACAGAAGGGCCCCGGATTTCCATCAGCCAAACTGCTTTCCAGCTGTTTGCAAAGGATTCAACGTGGTCACTTGAAGATGGAGCCTAAACATGGCCCCACAATGGTCTCAGAAAATCACTTGATACAATAGGTCAAGAATGATCAATAATGATTAGAAATCAACAATGATCAAACATGATCAATGATGATCAATAATGATTGGAAATGATCAAGAACGATCGATGATGATCAAGAATGATCACAAATGATCAATAATGATCAATGATGATCAAGAATGATGAAGAATGATGAAGAATGATCAAGAATGATCAATAATGTTCAATAATGAATAACGAATGATCAATAATGAACAAGAATGATCAATAATGAACAATCAAACATAATCAAACATGATCCAAAATGATCAAACATGATCAACAATGATCAATAATGATCAATATTGATCAATAACGACCAATAATGATCAAGAATGACCAATAATGATCTATAATGATCAATAATGATCAAAATTGATCAAACATGATCAAACATGATCAATGATCATAAATGATCAATACTGATCAAAAATGACCAATAATGATCAATAATGATCAACAAATAATCAATAATGATCAAGAATGATCAAGCATGGTCAAACTTGATGAATAATGATCAATCCTGATCAACAATGACCAAAAATGATCCATTCTGATCAATCATGATCAATTTTGAACTAAAGTGATCAAAATCATCACGAATCATTAATGATGATCAATGATGATATATCAAAAATGATTAAACATGATCAAAAATGATCAAGAAATGATCAAGAATGATTCAAAATGATCAAAAACAATCAATAATGATCAAACATGATCAATCATGCTTAATCATGATCAAAAATGATCAATCATGATCAAAATTGATCAATAACGATCAATAATTATCACGAATGATCAAAAATGATCAATGATTATCAAGAATGATCAAGAATGATCAAGCATGATTAATAATAATCAAAAATGATCAAGAATGATCAATACTGATCAATCATGATCAATAATGATCAATAAAGAACAAGAATGATCATTAGTGATCAATAATGATCAGTTCAAGGATGATTAATAATTATAACGAATTATTAATAATGATCAAGAATGATCAATCATGATTAAGAATTACAACGAATGACTAATAATGATCAATAGTGATGATCAAGAATGATTAAACATGATCAAACATGATCAATAATAATAATGATCAATAATGCTCAATAATGATCAATAATGATAAAACATAATTCAAAATGATCAATAACAATCAAACATGATCAAACATGATCAATTATGATTCATCATGCTCAAAAATGATCAATCATGATTAATAATGATCAATAATGATCAAGAAAGATCAAGCATGATCAAGCTTGACTAATAGTGATCAATTCTGATCAACAATGACCAATAATGATCCATAATATAACAATGATCAATTATGATCAACAGTGATCAAAATCATTACGAGTCATTAATGATGATCAATAATGATCAAACATAATCAATAATGATCAAAACTGATCAAACATAATCAATAATGATCAATAATGATCATGAAATTTCAATAATGATCAATTATGATCCAATAAGATCACGAATGATCAATAATGATCAAGAATGATCAATAATGATCAATAACGATCAAGAATGATCAATAATGAGCAAAAATGATCAAATATGATCAATAATGATCAAGCATGATTAATAATTATCAAAAATGATCCAACATGATCCAAAAAAATCAAAATGATCAAGAATGATCAATGATGATCAAAAATGATCAAACATGATCAGAAATGATCGAGGATGATTAATCCTGATCAGTAATGATCAAGAATGATTAATACTGATCAATAATGATCAATAATGATCAATAATGATCAATAAAGAACAAGCATTATCAATAAAGAACAAAACTGATCAACCATGATCAAGAATGATCAATAATTATCGATACTTATTATCACGGATGATCAAGAATGATCAAGAAAGATCAAGAATGATTAAACATGATACAAAATGATCATTCATGATCAATGATGATCAACAATGATTAGAAATGATCAATATTGATCAATAGCGATCAAGAATGATCAAGAGAATGACCAATAATGATCAATAATGATCAGTAATGATCAATAATGATCAATATTGATCAATATTGATCAATAACTATCAACCATGATCAGTAATGATCAATGATCATAAATGATTAATCATGATCAAACATGATCAATAATGATCAATAATGATCAACAAATAATGAATACATAATGATCAAGTATGGTCAAGCTTGGTCAAGCTTGATTAATAATGATCCATTTTGATCAACAATGACCAATAATGATCCATAATGATCAATCATGATGAATTATGAACAAAAGTGATCAAAAATCATCACGAATCATTGATGATGATCAATGATGATCAATAATTATCAAAAATGATTAATAATAATCAAGAATGATCAATTATGATCAATAATGGTCAAGAAATATCAACAATGATTAAAAATGATCAATAATGATCAAAAATGAATAATAATGATCAAGAATGATTCAAAATGATCAATAACGATCAAACATGATCAATTATGCTTAATCATGATCAATAATGATCAATTTTGACCAATAACGATCAATAATGATGAAGAATGACCAACAATGACAATAATGATCAGTAATGATCAATAATGATCAAGAATGATCAATAATAATCAAAAATGATCTATAATGATCAATGCTGATCAAGAATGATCAATAATGATCAAGAAAGAACAATAATGATCATTAATTATCAAGAATGATCAATCATGATTAATAATTATAACGAATGATGAATAATGATCAAGAATGATCAATTATGATTAATAATTATAACGAATGTTTAATAATGATCACTAATGATGATCAAATATGATTAAAACATGATCAAACATGATCAATAATAATAATGACCAATAATGACCAATAATGATCAATAATGACCAATAATGACCAATAATGATCAATTATGATCAATTATGATCAATAATGAACAAAACTGATCAAACATAATCAAAAATGATCAGACATGATCGATAATGATCAAACATGAACAATAATGATAAAACATAATTCAAAATGGTCAATAACAATCAAAAAATATCAAACATGTTCAATCATGATTAATCATGCTCAAAAATGATCAATCATGATTAATAATGATCAATAGTGATCAAACATGATCAATACTGATCAAGAATTATCAAGCATGATCAAGCTTGACTAATAATGATCAATTCTGATCAACAATGACCAATAATGATCCATAATATCAATATTGATCATTTATGATGAAAAGTGATCAAAAATCATCACGAATCATTGATGATGATCAATAATGATCAAACATGATCAATAATAATCCAAAATGATCAATAATAATCAATAATGATCAATAATGATCAAGAAATATCAATAATGATCAAATATGATCCAATAAGATCACGAATGATCAAAAATGATCAATGATTATCAAGAATGATCAAGAATGATCAATAATGATCAATAATAATCGATAATGATCAATAATGATCAATAATATTCAAGAATGATCAATCATGACCAAACATGATCAAACATGATCAATCAAGCTTAATCATGATCAAACAAGATCAATAATGATCAATAATGATCAAACATGATCAATAATGACCTGTAATGATCAATAATGACCAATAATGATCAAATATGATCAAACATGATCAAGAATGATCAATGATGATATAAACATGATCAATCATGATCAAACATTATCAATCATGATCAACAATGATCAAAACTCATCAATAATTACCAAACATGATCAGACATGATCAAGAATGATTAATAATGATCAATAATGATTAGACATGATCAATAATGATCAATAATGATCAATGTTCACACGGGGTTGCGTCTGCCAGATCTTGGCAGGGTTCAGGGCCTGCTTTTATCACCTTTTTGGCTCAAAGTGGACCCCGAAGCTCTGCGAAGAAGTGGCCTGTGACCGTGCCGACCGACCGCAGCTCGTCATGGCCGAAGTCCTCCCATCCGATGAGCGGCTTGGATAAACCATGGGAGACGCATTTAGGGGCCGAAAATATGAGAAGGCGAAATTTATTCATGTTTATGATAAATTTATGATATTTTGCTATTTGTTTCCTTGGTGTTCTTCTCTCTCTCTCTCTCTGGCAGCGTGAGCATGCAGAATGAGCAGGAGATATTGTTCAAAGTTTGGCCTGGGGGATCATGCATGCTATTTGGGCTTCCCAGACTCATCATTTGCTCATAATTTGTTTGCATTCATGTTTTAATTGCATTTGTTTAACTAAATGGTAACTTTCTGCTTGAAGTTGTCTCAGATATCTCTCTATACAATATACTCATTATCATTATCATGCTTATATCATAGATAGATATTTCCGGATAGATTGGATTGATATAGATAGGCTTAAATAAATTGGATCAAATTGGGTTATATAGACTAGGTTATAAAGATTAGAGACACGATTAGTTTAGAGTAGATAAGATCAAAGGCTACATAGGCTTCTGTGCAGATAGAAAGCTAGCTCACTAGAAAGATAGATAATTATCTGGATAACTATAGCTACCTATTTTGCATACTATTTGGTCATTTGTTATGGAAAATCACCATTTTTTATAGGCAAATAATCGAACTAAATTATGAGAAATCTATACCATTCCTGTGCCAGTTTACCAGAAACCGTATACAGCATCCATCTACATCCCTCAAAAATAAAAGTTGGTGAAATCTCTACGAACCACACTCCCATTACCCTCTGGTAAACTAACGTAACTATGGAAAATCACCATTTTTAATGGGAAAACTCACTATAAATGGCAATTTTCAATAGCTATGTTAGTCATTACCAGAGGGTATATATAGATTCAATCAATTTCCCCCCCAAAAAAATGGAAAAACCATGAAAAACCCATCAATTTGACAAAACAACACCATCAAAATCGGATGTTAATCCTACAAAATCCCCAGAAATCCATGGGACCGAGGCATCCAGCCATCAGGGAGACCGAAACCTTCCTGGGATGCGGCTACTGCCACGAAGCCTTCCCGGAGAAGCGCGAGTTGCAGGAAGCCCTGGGACATCCTGGAACTGTGGTTTTTGGAAGGAAAATCATATGAAAAGATGGGAAGATCATGGAAGATCATAGGGGAAACCATGTTAGAATGGGTTAAACATATTTAAATATGTTGACCTTTATGAGACATGGTTAAATGGTTTGACAGCATCAAATGATGGAAACCATGGATCTGATGCATTTTGATGATAGACAATTTGGAGGAAACCAGGGATGTAATGGATTTTTATGATATGTTCATGGCTGGAAACCATGGATTTTAATAGATTGTTCCTTCGACTATGATCGACTAGGCTCTTTTTCTTTGCCAAGGTTCGATTTGAACCAGTTCGAGACGCAGTGGAGAGTGTAGAATGGATGATTCGATGATTTGTTGGTGGTGGTTATGATGAAAGTGTGCTGTAAGATGTTCGAGGGATGAAAGTTATTGCACCAGGAAATGCGGTCACTCTGCCACACCGGGCTTGACCGTCAAACCCTCGTTTTTGGCAGGTTCACATCAAGATGACGCACGAAGGGAAGGAATATCATAGTGTGCCAGCACCAATGCCCCAGCGAGAGCCGCTCGCCTTGTCAGATCATTGGGAGCGTCCCCACTGCATTTCTTTCCCTGGTGATGGGTTTTCTAGGTAAGTGAGATAGATAAATTCGTTTTTTTTTTTTTGTGATGATGGTTTCGAGGTCCCAAAAACGGAGGATACCCAGATACATCATGATACATCCAAATACCTGTTGGTGGATGGTGGTGGTAAGTTCCCCCGGGTCGAAGCAGACCCCTCAACATCTCTCAGGATCCATGAAGTTTGGAAACAATCGATGTGGAGTGCCGAAACATGGTGAAACCATGTGAAACCGATGAATGCCAAAAAAAATGCAGACCCCAAAAATCCATAAACATCATAAACATCATAAACATCATAAACATCATAAACATCATAAACATATATATAAACATCATAAACCTCATCACTCTAGTTCGATCCAATCATTTCTTCAATTTCAATCCACAAGTGTCTCCAGGGCGGCCTGGCCAGGCAAGGGCTGCTCAAGAAGGCGCCCTCCATGGCGATCTCTCGGAACATCCCGTTGAGCGAGGTGTGACTTGTCGACTTGTCGTGGCGCGTGTTGACCCATCAGCGATGCGGGTTCAGCCTGGGTTGAGACCGGTTGAGACCCCTGGGTTCGAAGATCATTGCAGTTCGTAAAATTTGGGAGTTGAAAGGTAAAAAAAAAAGGTTTGGAGCGTGTGAACATGGGGAGTGACTTCTAGAATTTCCATCTTTCACCGATTAAAGGCTCCGCGGTGTTTCGACCGTTGGGACGTGACCTTCCACTGAGGAACCGCCATTGCATCCCAGAGGATTGCTGGGTGGCACTGAACGGCAAAGTCTATGACTTGTCGGAGTTCATGGACCGACATCCAGGCCCTATCCAAATCCAGATACAGACGACGACAATGATGATGAAGAATCGAACAGGGTTTAATGTGGTTTAATAGAATATGATATGATATATTAATCATGATGTTATGATTCAAGTATCAAATGCTATGATTGTGCCGGTATGGGATGTTACGGGAAAGCAACAACACTATTTCCATACGGATCACATATTGGCTCTCATCGTTCCAGGTGGCCCAACGACCATTGTGGCATGGGCAGGGAAGGATGCTTCGAAGTTTTTCAACGACATCCACAAGGGCGTGAAGATCGATTCCTACTTGCGACCTGAGGCATGAGAGGTTGAACTAGACATGTTCATACATTTTCATGGTGCATGATGGATCATGATGGTGCATGCGTCTGGTGGTTCGATATTAGATTCTTTTTGGAGATCAGGTAGTGATCATAGACTGATGTCGTGGCTTGTGTACTTCATGTGTGCCTTTCGCGGAACTGAAAGCGAACACTTGTTGGATGCAGACACTGGACATTGAAGACAGCGTTCAATCCATGGTTTAATCGTTTTAATCCATGGATTCCATCACCAGTCATCCAATCGCAAACCGTTGCAATCGCATCACTTGCCACCAAGCACAGTAGGTATTCCTACCCCCATGTGGCGGATTTTTGATTGTTCTTTCATTCCTCACACATGTCTTCTTGTAGTAGATGTCCCAGTCACAAGGGCTTCAACTGGCTGTCATCCCATCCAGCCTATCGTCCCAGGCATATCAAGGTGACCTGGGCCTGGACGAAAGTTTGATGTCGGACTCCTTCTACCACACCTTGCGCGAGGCGCGTATTGCGGAGGTCAAGGAGGAGCTGGACCGCGTGCTGAGTCAGGTGGGAAAAACCATCCAAAAAAACCTGATGGATTTTTGGTGGGAAGCTGCCCTCCGGTAAACGTGGCTTGCTGGATAATCCCCCATTTATGATTCTCCCAGCTATAAACTTCGATTTTTTTCGGGAATTCCCATGGAGTTTGATTGTCCAAGGCTACTGTACATTGAAGAGTGAGTCGGATTTGTTTCCCGTCAACATCTATAATTCGTGTGTGAGTCTGGTTTGTTTCCCATCATCATCTATATGTGCAAGTGAATAAAGAATGTGGGAGATTCATACATGTGATATATGAGTGTGATCTACCATGACATGCAGCATTGCACAACTGTCTCCATCTCTCCCTCCCACTCTCTCCCTCTATGAATGATCGTGATGTCGTTTGCTTGTTCTGATGTCTCAAAGCCACTTTTCCAAAACATCTAGAAAAGCATAGAAAAGGACAATCCCGCCACATGAGTTGTAAATGACGTGTTCCGAGTTCCCACATTTCTTTATATTTTTTTTGGCTAGTTGTAGCTCGCAGCTTGCCTTTGGTGCCGCTCAGGTCTCTGGGGGAACCAAAGCTGATAGTGTTCAGCGCTTGCTTCAAGACAAGAACATCACTCCGGAGGGGGTCCATGTTAGTTGGTGATGTTGGTGGGCTGGTTATACATAAAAAACTTCATTTAACTATCCAAAACTACCCATAGGTCCATAACTGGATGATTTTTATGGTGATATTTTATGGGATTTGATTTGGTTAGGAATTTCTGAAGGAGTTCATGGCTCGTCTTTAAATCCCTTCCAGGAGCTGAAGCTGAAACTGCAACGCCTGGAGACCCAGAAGCGCGCAGCTCTGGACTCTGAGGACTATGCCAAGGCGGCTGAGATCAAGAAGAGCCTGGAGGCGATGTGCTTGGGGATGGGATGGATCTGGGTAAATAATGCTTAGGATTCGGGGAATTATCACCATACATCCCAATACGGTCGAAAATTTCAGGCTAGTGAATTATGATAATTTGCCGAGATGGATGGGATGGATGGGATGGATGGGATGGATGGGATGGATGGGATGGGGCCTTTTGTTCAGGAGTTGCTGGCAGATGATGACCATGCGCACCTGCATGACGTGCCATTGGAGACCACCGCTTGCAACATCCCACTGTCCGAGGCAAAGGGTTCGACTTTCCAATGGAAAACTTGGGGAACACGTTGAACAAGGCCCATCGATGGTCCCATATTACCCCATACTTTACCAATCAAAGTTGGGATTTTCTGACTAGCCATGTTATATAAATTACCGGAGAGTATGCGTGTATATTGTATATGTTTTTTTTTTTTGGGTAGTTGGATGCGACATGGGCAGGCGAAGATTCGTAGGACTCTGAGCATGTTCGGTATCAAACATTGGTTTACTGAATTCGTCAAACCTGTCAAACCAGTCGCGAATCTTGCAGAGTTCCTTCTGCCGCCCCTTTGACAAAGGTCCGCCCTATGGTTTGATAGAAAATGTACCCTCTGGTAAACATACAGAAAACTATGGAAAATCACAATTTTTAATGGGAAAACTCACTATTTCTATGGCCATTTTCAATTGCTATGTTAGTTCACCAGAGGGTATCCCAGATATATCCGGAAAATCCATCCCTAGCTGCTGGGGTTGGTGAAGTTCCATCCGAGTTCTTGTTGGTTTGAGACCTGTTGGCTACAGCTTGCCAGTTATCTGCAGGCACTCCACCATTCCTTTGCAACAAGAATTAGCCAGGGTAGTTATAATATACAGTACTAGTGTATACTAGTCAGAATACTTGCCGTCAGTATCCGTCAGTTATGCAAAATACCTCTTGTTGCTTGTGTTCCATTTTGCTCCCACATCCCAAAATGTGTTCAGGTCCTCTCAGCTTAGTTGGGCCAGTTGGGCAGGTGGCTCGCCACAACAAACCCCATGATTGCTGGGTGGTGCCTTGGCGTTGATCAGATCCCTATTTCTCGATTTTTCTATCGGCTTGATGACACGACTGATGTTATATTTACACACCATAGACATCCATAGATCTATATAGTGTGTGTAAATATCAGGTGGGATGAACCTTCTCAGAATTGGATACAGGATGATGCAGGGAACATTTGCAGGCAACACCTATTTTTGATGGTATTTTTTTGGCGCTGTTTCCAGATTTTTCTTCCAACCCATGAAATCCAGCGTCCCAGGCGCTGAATGGCACCGTCTACGACCTCTCGGATTTCCTGTTGCACCACCCAGAGCAACGCAACGCCATTTTGGCCTGGGCCGGGCGCGATGCCAGCGCGGTGTGGAACAAAATCCCGGGACGTTGCGCGGTGGAACGGGGACTGCTTGGATGGATGGATGGTTGGATGGTAGAGAAGTGGTTGGGTGAAGTACCATCTGGTTATTTAACATAGCCATGGTATAGATGGCCCATAGAAATAGATGGTTTATCATTGATTTATCTATTAAAAATGGTGGATCTTTCCATGGCGAACTGTTAGTCATAACCAGATACCCTCTGGTAAACTAACATAGCTATTGAAAATGGCCATTTATAGTGGATTTTCCCATTAAAAATGGTCATTTTCCATAGTTAAGTCACCATTTTTAATAGATAAACCATGATAAACCATCTATAAATGGGCCATTTCCCATGGCTATGTTAAATAACCAGATAGTAGTCGACCTGTTGGAACCTGCGCCGTGCCGAGGTTTCCCAAGTGCCAACTGGATGGACTTCTTCATGCGACCGGAGGTGGAAAGATGTGCGGAGATGTGCCTGGGAAATTGGCTCAAGGAATGCGAGTTGAGTAACCGTTACTATAATGAATAAATACATAAATAAATTTATAAATATATAAATAAATAGATAAATAATGATAAATAGATAAATATATAAATATTTGTTTATACATATTATATATGTGTATAAATAGAATATATAGAATATATATATATAAGTATTTGATATCAAGTTAAAACTAAGATGTAACGTGTACATCACATAGAATTTTGAAACTTAAACTTTCATAGATGCACCATGATTCACCGGCACAGCCAGCCTGGCCAGGCGCGCATGGGTGAGGTGGGTCCCGAGCCTTCAGTGGATCCGAAGATGGCGCAGATTCGACAGCTCCAGGCCGCTGAATTACCATGGGAGACCCCATGGATACTGGGGCAAATGCTAAGAATACAAGAGAAACACATGGATCAATACCTATTAATACCATTTGTAGTGGGATGAACATCCATTTACCAGGTTTACCAGCTATTTTGAGGTTCACCAGGGGTACATGGTTTTGACCCATCCCCATATCATGAATATGCCCTATTCTTCAGACAAAGCCATGAAGTTCTTTGGAGTGCCAAGGGGCGCACAGTTTCACCATGTTTCACCTATCCACCCCGATTGAGGTTGCATGTTCAGATACGCTGAAATGACATCATTTCACGGCATTGCATGCACGTTTCCCAGTCACCCACGCTAGCCGCTAGTTCCAACTAGCGATTTTGCCCATCCACATCAGACCTTGAGCCACTTGTCATCCGCTGCATGTTCAACATGTTTGGATGGCGATTGAACACATTTGAAAATTGAAAACAACCATTCCCTACCATCTCCATTCCATCCCCATAGATGTATCGGCATCAATGATTGGTTGCTTCATAGAGGATTGAACGGATTGAACACTGACGAATGTGGACGACGAGGTAAAATGCTATTTCAACAATACCCGTGCGATCACAATGCATGCGATTCTATGTTTGTGTGTGTCCTTTATCCGCGATAATCATCAGATCCCATTATCATCCCCATCTCCCTCTGGCCCTATGATATGTATTATACGTTGTATTGTTATTATGATTTCTATTGTTCTTATTCCCCACCTGCCAGGTGAGGGTTGTTAGATTTTATGTCAGTTGCCTCCTCCTTCTCCTCCTTCTCCTCCTCCTTCTCCTCCTCCTCCTCGTCCTCCGCCTCCTCCTGCCTCGTCCTCCTCTCCTCCTCCTCCTCTCGTTGTCCTCCTCGTCCTCCTGCTCAACTGCGACTCGCGATCCACAGTGTTCGCTGTCGGACCTCAACCACGACCATCCACGCCCAGTGTTCCCTGCCGGACCTCAACCACGACCATCCACGCCCAGTGTTCCCTGCCGGACCTCAACCACGACCATCCACGCCCAGTGTTCCCTGCCGGACCTCAACCACGACCATACACGCCCAGTGTTCCCTGCCGGACCTCAACCACGACCATCCGCGCCCAGTGTTCCCTGCCGGACCTCAACCGCGAGTATCCATGCCAAGTGTTCCCTGCCGGACCTCATGTAGGAATGTCAGATAGACTGCCAGATAGAATGCCAGATAGAATGTCAGATAGGATGCCAGATAGAATGCCAGATAGAGCCAGATGCCAGAAAGAATGCCAGATAGAATGCCAGATAGAATGTCAGATAGGATGCCAGATAGAATGCCAGATAGAATGCCAGAAAGAATGCCAGAAAGAATGCCAGATAGACTGCCAGATAGAATGTCAGATAGAATGTCAGATATAATGCCAGATAGAATGCCAACATATATGCCAGAATGTATGTCAGATAGAATGCCAAAATATATGTCAGATATAATGCCAGATAGAATGTCAGATAGGATGCCAGATAGAATGCCAGATAGAATGCCAGAAATATTTCAGATAGAATGCCAGAAAGTCAGATATAATGCCAGATAGAATGCCAACATATATGCCAGAATATATGTCAGATAGAATGCCAAAATATATGTCAGATATAATGCCAGATAGAATGCCAGAATATATGCCAGAATATATGTCAGATAGAATGCCAGAATATATGTCAGAATAAATGACAGGTAGAATGCCAGAATATATGTCAGATGAAATGTCAGAAAATATGTCAGATAGAATGCCAGATAGACTGCCAGATAGAATGCCAGGTGGAATGTCAGGATATATGCCAGATAGAATGCCAGAATATATGCCAGAATATATGTCAGATAGGATGTCAGAATATACTAAATATATGTCCAAATATACGTCCTGACATGTCATGGTGGGGATCACACGAAGTAGAGTAAATTTTCTGAAATTATGTGTGTTTCTTAATCTTTATCATTTTTATGCATTACCATTATCATGAATATTGTTCATTCTTATATATATATATATCTGTGCATATTTTACTGTGTTATGTGCATGTTCAATATGTTCAGATATAACGTGCTCAGTTGCTGTTTGTACAAGAACAGAATTAATTATATGAATCCATGACTAAGTAGATACACATAAGACTAAAACATATTACAGACACCATGTTGAAACAAAACCGAACCCCATATACAGCACATACCATTCCAAAATCAACAGAAGTCCCCCATCCAGTCTAGTTGATATACATTTATTGAGGGTTATTTTTCAGTACCACTATCATGATTATCTGGTCGATTACTAAGCCTCCAATCTGATTAACCCATATAAAATCCATATTTAACCTATCTGAAACCTGTATATATATATATATTATATCAGATCAGATCATATCATATCATATCAGACATATATCTCTTTATCTTATAATATCTTTACTGTGATATATATACTTCACTTAGCACTTTTTTCTGCTCATAGCAGTTTTCGCTTGGATTTACGCTCGTTCTGACTTTTTATGCTCACTTGAACTAGAAAACGCGCATTTGTTTCTTGACGGACGGGCATTTACGCTTTTTTCCCGGGTATTTACGCTTATTTCCCGGCAAAATACGCTTATAATTTTGGCTTCAAAATGCACAAGGTGCAAAAATGCCTAAAGTGGTGCAATTACGCTCATGTGGAGAAAAACCACTCAAAAAGCAGAAATCTCTCAAATGAGCATTTATTTGTGCTTTTTCGAGGATGCAGGTATATATTATCATCATCAAGATATCCCACCCAAATCCACCAGGACGAGCTCTGGAAGTTGGAAGGCCCCAGTGATGAGGAGATCCAGGCGGCCAAGGCGGCCATGGCGAAGGTGCCCGGCACGGCGACGTCTAAGGAGCCCTTAGGCGCCATGGCATCCATGGCCTGGGATGTGGGTTTATCATGGTTTATCCTGACCTAGGGACGAGAATGTGATACCCTCTGGTAAACGAACTAACATAACTATGGAAGATCAGCATTTTTAAAGGGAAAACTCACTATTTCTATGTTAGTTTACCAGAGGGTATACCAATTTGTGGCACTTTTTTGCAGGGCCCAACCACACTGGCTGCCAAGTCGTTCTGGGATGGCCCGAGGTGAAGAAACCCGCTTTCCCAAGCTGAAGGACTGCTTGGCTTCTGGTGATTTCTATGGTGGATTTCGGGGTGATGGCAGGTCTTCCTTTCCCAAAAAAGGTGAGTGGTTCTGGGATGCTCCAGTTTCCTGGAGGAGATCACAGCTGGAAAGGACCTTCCCTTCTTTTCCCGTGCGGAAGTGGCAAAACACAACAGCGCAGAGGACCAGGGCATACCAGGGCGGTTTTTTGGGCGGTGCAGATGGTCAACATCCTCCAGGATGATCCATGGGATCCAAGGCTAAAAATGGATGGTGCCCCAGCACTCGGTTGGCTTATGTGCTGCACATTATATAGAATTAATTTAGATATCCGCGATAAACGTTGTTTATGGCCAACTTAGCCAACTATGGATATATCTTGATATTTGTCATTGCTATCCCTACCTGTACCTGTTACCTGCTAGGAGCCTTACATGATCATCCACAACAAGGTCTACAACCTGAAGACCCTGATGGGTAGCCACCCTGGCGGTGACGACATCCTGCTCTCCAGGGCTGGCACTGATGCCACCAAGGACTTTGAGGCCGCACAAGGGGCAAGGGCAAGGGTGGCTGAAACGGGAATATGGTGCTATAGTGCACTCAGGGCGGTAAGATGTTTTCCCTCTATACACATACATGACATGACATGACATGCCATGCCATGCCATGCCATGCCATGACATGACATGACATGCCATGCCATGACATGACATGACATGACATGCCATGGCATGGCATTGCATTGCATTGCATTACATTACTTTGCATACATACAATACATATGCACATTGTTTCATTATAACATTATAATATATGTGTTCATTTTATATTTGTATATTACAGTCACTGTATATCTAATATGGTTGATTTCTGATTTTGACGCTGCCTCACTGTGTACATCATTTTTTCATCCATTGGTCTGGAAAAAAATGGTGATATCCGCAGGTCTTTGAACATTCCGAGAAGGCACGTGTGCAGCGTGATCGCGCGCCTGGGATTCCTGAAGGGCCCTTGGCAAACGGACTGGTTACGTACGTAGTGGAAAGCTGATTTTTTCGTTTTCAGAAATGAATCAAGGAATATCAGATACCCATAGAATACCCATAGATATCCTACAAATTGAATGGTCAATGCAAGTTCATGCAGTGTAGTTCATGTTTCCATGAAATCAAAGCTGGTTGCTGGGAATGGTCCATTTGTGGATGATGCGCTGGTTGAACATGGTTATATTCCACTGGTTGAATCGAGGCTTAGTCATCATGGGATCCTGGGTTTTTCCCACCACCAGCTGGCAACTCCATCAGAATCATTGGATTCCGTATGTCGAAATGGCGCCGGCCAAGGAAAACCCCACTCCCGGAGGCCGGAGGTAGTCAAAAATACCAGTTCGTATATTTAAATTTCTGTATAGTTTGTTTAGATGTAGTTACCGTATATAATATTTGTGTTTAAACTTGTCCATGTTTACACATCTAACTTAGGAGTTGGATCAACCAAGTATATATATATATATTTATTATATTTCCTATTTCAAAAACCTCACCAACGATATATATATATATATATATATCAATCCAATCTAATCTAATCCAATCCAATCCAATCCAATCTAATCTAATCTAATCTAATCTATCTATCTAAGCCCTTTGTATGGCAATGGTTACTAACCGTACTAAAGATCTATGGTTTTTTGCCGGGTGGCCGCGGTCCTGAGGACATGCTGGTGGGTCAGCTGGTGCCGGCGGAAGCCACCGACTGGAACGCAGAGGCCACGGTGGCACAGGTCACGGGCGAGGCGCGGGTGCAAAGGTCATGGCGATTGATGGGGATTTTAATGATTTAATGGGATAATCATAGGACAACGGTGATTTAATGGTGATTGAATGTGATTTAGCGGTGATTTAAAATGTAGTGGTGATTTAATGAGATTTTCTGGTGATGTTTATCATCATCTATTGGTATTTGGGATCATGATCCTCAGATTGAACCCAGCCAGATGCCGCTTACCTGTGAGTCAGGAGCCCTCGGAGACTGGCAGATATTTGCGCTACAAGGCGTATGATGTGGCCATTGGCGCTATCTCATGGTACTTGTACAAGACCTTGCAGAATCGAAAGCCCCTGTCGCAGTGAACTGGATCGCAGTTAGCTTGGGAGGCCTTGGGTTGTTTTTTTCTGTGTGTTTTTTGTTGGACATATTCGCACAAAGTTCGGTCATTTGTTTAGAATTGTTCATAGATCATACCCTCTGGTAAAATAACAATTACATACAATTACCTACTAAAAATGGTGATTTTCCATAGTTATGTAGTTACCGGAGGGTATATCGTTACACACGTGAACGCCTTGTTTGTGGACATGGCGTAGAGCTTAGAGCACCTCTTATCCTGTGACATGGACGATGTATAGCCCGGAAAGATTATTTACTGTATGTCATTATGAGTCTGTATTACACACACATATATATATATATAGATACATATACATAATCATATATAATATATGTGTGCATATTTGTGCATATATAGTATGTACAGTCTGTGTTGATATAGATATATTCATTGACTCATTATTAACATATATTCCAAGAGCGTATGTGTGTGTGTATATCTATCTATATATATATATTATGCATGTGTGTGTTTGTCTGTGTATGTGTTTGTATTTTTTTTAATCTATCTCATTTTTCCCAATGGTTGAAGTCTGGTGGAACTCCATGATAAAATTCGTCCAGGTTCACCTACAGCCGTGCCCTGCGACATTTGCATCTCATCATGGCCGTGGGCATCTTTGGAGCCGTTGGCACCGCGCAGGCGGCACAACACTGCGAGGGACAGACCAAGAAGCAGCTCCTGTGGTGGCACAAGCAGCGCCTTGGATGAGATCCCCTTGGGGCCTTGGGAATTGGTGCCCCATTTTCACACCAGGTTGGAATGCCTTGGAACCATGGGGGATTTTGAGGATTTACGGAAGATGATGATTTATGAGCTGAACAGGTACAGGATACCAGATATAAATAAATATAAATATATGCATAAATATGCCATTCCGTGTTTGAAGTACTCAATGACACAAAGCATTGGAACATATTGGAACCAAGTGCTGCCACATGCTATTTATTACCAGTGGGTCCAATGATGTCCAATGATGGGTTTGTGGTGGTGTGTTCATTCGGCAAAGGATGATTGACCCCCACAAGATTGAAGGGTTTCATCACGGTTTCATATTTTTTTGGGTCATGAGTGCCCGTTTTCGAGGGGACCACAACCTGCTCTCAACTGGGGTTTGCATAATTTGTTTGTCGTTTTCTTGTAGCATTGGCGGCTTTGAGGGTGGCCATCATAACGTATGACGCCGTATGACCCAAAATGTCTTTCCAAGTTCGGGATGTGATTCATAGTGCTGGTCACGTCGGTTCAAGGGCTGTCCACAAGAGCAAGCAGAAAACACTCCATTTCCTGAGGTTGATAATGTAACATCTTGAAAAATCCACCATTATTTTTTTCCCTCTTGTATACCTTGCAGGCAAGCATCTCGAAGCCGATGGCAATAACGAACTCTAAGAGACATGCATTGGATGGCAGAACATATCACAGGATATGACACCAGATTCCAATCAGGGACCCAATGGGATCTACAATTCCGGAAGCCAGTGGATTCCAAAAAGATCATCTTATTACAATAGAGAGAAGCCTGAATCAAAATTGACCATTATATAATAGATGATCTTCCTAAAATTGTCCAACCATCCCATTGCATTCCCTTTTTTTGCACCATTTTGCACCTAGTATTTGTTGGTTTAATCAAGAACCTTTCATCCCCAGTAATTAATCATCTTTCATAAACTCTCATGAAATCCTGAAAATTATCCCAGTGCTGGTAAGTCATCAGATCACATTGTATCCCCATGTATCTTCGTCAAATCATTCTTTGGTTTAGATATTAAAATGACATCACATGTTATCTCCATGTATCTTCGTATTCTTTGTCTTTGCATTTGGCTTCAATCACCAGAAAAACAACCGCATGGGTTATCCGTTTTTATCCCAAAAAGGATCATCATCAAATCATCATCAAATCATCATCAAATCTCCTAAACTGCCGGGTCAAATCTCACCTTTGTATACCTTTGTCGCTAGCCGTTGAGGACCGGAATCGCCATGCTGGGAGCCATCCTGATGCGGATCTTCTTCCGCATGCGCAGTGGCATCCCGCCCAGGTCTCGAGCCCATTCGAGCCCCTTATGGGGGCCATGTTTGGGAGGTTGATAAATACTCCATACAACATATGGGATCATATAGGTATAGATGGCTTATAAAACATTATAAAGCCAGTTTAAAAAAGGGAACATCCCTAGATATCCCCAGTTATATACTGTGTGGCTTTGGTTTATGACTTATAAACCACTTGCTAGCTGGATGCACATCCAAGGACTTCATAGTGAGGTGGTTCGGGACTTGATATGGTTTGATGATCAGTTTGATGGACAATTTTAAGGACCTCTGGGTAAGACATTTGATGTGATGGGAAAAAGATGGGAACATGTGATTTTATCTGTGGGATACATGATATATCAATGATATGGCATCAATTCACATTGGTGAATTATCCAGATCTTGTCGGAAGGGTAAGGTGGTTCCATTTAATATGGTGACTTTAACATCGATGGGATAAATGGTACGGAGAAACGGGGGTTTTGTTGTGATACGGATTTTATCAACCCGTTTTTCGCAATATACTGGTAAAGTAGCATAGCTATGGATTCCCAACCAAACATGGCCGTGGACAAATGGTGAAATAGAAAATGGAAGGGATCTTCCATACTAGAGTGCTCGAGACTCCATTTGATGGATATCAATCATTGCCAGGCTAGGTTGCGAGAGAGTAAGACCTACAAACATGTGGCGTATTGGCAGCTCAAATGGAAAATATGACCAATAGATTGGTGGGTCAAAGCGACTGGTCGGTGGTTGGGCAGATGAACCTGTAACCATCTTGTTGATGGTATCCACCGCTTTTTCGTGCTGGATGAGATATCAGGAAGCCTGCAGAATATCTCCCGGGGAAGGTTGAAACATGTTGAAACCACCTGCCACCAACTACTCGTCGTTGGACAATCATTTGCATAGAATGGCAGCCAGGAGGTTTTTAATATGATTAATGCAACGTGCACCATATGAACTATGAACATCTATATGAACCAACTTGCGATCAAGCGATCAACAAGCCTTCCATCAACAGGATGAATTTGCCATAATTTGCCTGTGTCAGACTAGCTGCATTTTTTCGCAACTTTCTAGGTGTCTTTCATCCGGGTTGGATTCATCATTAGGGCCCCTACCTAGACCTAGACCGGTGTTCGGATCTGAGGTTCCCTGGAAACAAGCTGGTGCAAATGATTGAGACTCAGAGCCTCAGGGTCACCCGGCTGATCGCGGGGTGGGAGCCTTTGTTTTGCACATTTGAAAACGGGTGTGTGTTGATTTTTTTGGATCAAGTGACACTTAAAAAACATCTTTGACCAGTTTGACCATTGCCCCCTATTTTCTACACCTCTTCAGCCATTGTTTTTGTTTGCTGTAACATCTGTAATCGTGGTGGCCCCCCGGACCAGCGTTTATCCATTCGGTTCTGAACCCTCAGGTTCGCACCAGGTGGGCCACCATTCAAGTTGCTGATGGAAACCTCACCATCTTTTGCAAACTATTCCATCCAACAAAATCTGGTTGGTAAATTGGAACAATTTGTATTTTCCCCAATAGTTGGGATGGTGATCCATATTTTTCAGGGGGGTTGAAACCACCAATTAGAAATGGATACTTAACTCCGATGATATTTCAAACCGACTTAATTAAGCATGTTTTGGACTCGCCGAAAAAAAACACATACACTACACCCATCTATATCCAAGAATCGGTTCATTACAAGGCAACATGTACAGCAAAACCCAAATTTAGTAGGAAAAAAACATGGTTTCCGGTGAAGTTGTTCCCCTCGCTTAAACCAATCCATCGAATCTTCAATATTGATGAGTTCCCTCATTACAACAATAATCCCTACATAATGCTCATAACATCCCCATATAATCCCTATATATATATATATATACACGTATATATATATAGATTATCCCTCTATATTCTCCATATACACTTGCCACAGCTTTTGAACCAACAACAAGGTCTTCTATGCCTTGGCGGTGCTGTTGCCTGTCTCTGGCATTGCCAATGACTCTTGGCATGATCAGCGACCCTGGAGAGGTGGTTAAAAGTCCAAACACCAAGAGAAGTGGGATACAACCAATGGGAACACATATGAAAAATGCATATACCCTCTGGTGAACTAACATAGCAATGGAAAATGGCCATTTATAGTGGATTTTCCCATTAAAAATGGTGATTTTCCATTGCTATGTTAAATTACCAGAGGGTACTCATAATGAAGCGTGTCTTCTTTTGACTAAGTAGTGGAAATTATAAGCACTTTCTTTGCATGTCTTCTGGCAAATGGTCGAAATTTGGATGAGTTTGGGGTTCTGTATGTACTGTAATTGCGTATGTCGCCTGAGAACCGTATATACTCAGAACAGGAAATTGATCCAACCTTGAAATCGTCCCTGAGATATCATGGAAACGTGCCAACTCAAATATGAAGTCATCTCAAAGCCCAGCAGTACTTATTTTATTTATTTTCAATGTAAACCCCAGATGACAAACCTTGGTTGGGATAATTCGGAGGTACCCCCCCCAAATAGTTTTGATTTGCCACTACACATGGCACCCCTTCAATTAAACAGCCTAGGGGTCAATAGAATTCCAAGCCCTACATGATGTCTACATGATGAACTAAATATGAATACATATGAATATATAATAATATTACTATATTATATATATAAATATAATGAAAAGATTCAATCAGATATGACATCGGTCCAGCTTTCAGCTTTCCAGGAATTCCCAGCTTTTGTGTAAATGGCTGGCTGGCCCCAGGAGTACTTCCTGAAGTGGGCCCCTGGCTCCGAAAGCACTGGAAAGGAGGAGGACGACAAGCGCAACGACAGGTTGGCGAAGCAATCCATCGACACACACAAGATCTTGGGCAAATTCTTGCAGCAGCTTGGAGACTCCGAGATCGGTGACATTGGGTAAAGCCTGGTGACAGTTGGTACGTGAGCATAATTAATAGGTTTTGACCCATCCCAAGATATATATATATATATATTCATTATAATATATATATATATGTGTATATAATTGATATTAACTTATATAAATAAATGTGGCATGCCCAAGGATGTCTATCCGAGTTCGGGGCGTAAGAGATTGGAAACGGGTCGAGGGAGGCTTGGATAGAAATGGCTTTTGTCCAAATGCCCCACAATTTGCTTGCCTTTTTATAACAGGGAGAGTGATAGTGAATTACCAATTGCACTGGGTTTTGGGGTATATACAATTGTACATGTTTTTTTTTTTGTACCTTTTTCTGGTACATAGGCAAGATTATCTCCTTTGAGGGATTTTTTCTGATAATTTTCTTGATTCCCGTGGCCTGCCGCATGAAGATTTCCTGAAACCACCTTCGGGCAGACTTGTTGTTGGCCCGAGCCTCCCATTAAAAGAGATGATACATGTACACTATATATATATATACATACCCTCCGGTTATTTAACAGTTCGCCATGGTATAGATGGCCCATAGAAATAGATGGTTTAGCTATTTAAAAACTGTGGATCTTTCCATGGCAAACTGTTAGTCATAACTCATAACCAGATGGGTGGAAAGGCCGGGCATGTGACGGCCACATATGGCCGCATGGATTGCCACATCGGAATCAGCAAATGTTTGGCCACCATTTTTCCTCAAAGTTTACTCCAAAATACACTATTAATAAACATATCTACCATGGAAAATCACCATTTTTAATAGCTAAACCATCTATAAATGGGCCATTTTTTATGACTATATTAAATATCCAGAGGGTATGTATGTGCATTTGTTTACATTTTAAATCTAAGTATCTTCCCCTACACATCAGGTATTGAAAAAAATCTACCCAGCAAATGGGATCATGTTTCCCAAGGGCCATCATATTTCCCTCCACTGCCAGACCATGATTGCAAGATACATTAAGGTATGCCTTCTTGCCTTTCCATCTCGGCTACACCACCATGTACCACTATTCGCAGGGTCGTGGTGTCGTGAGAAAGGTGTCACCTTTCATTTAGGTGAGCTACCTAAGTGGCGCTAATAGAAAAGCCACGCGCCGCTGAAATTGCCAAAGAAATGGCGTGTAAAGGCTGGTTCCAATAGGCCTACTTGCCACAGGCAAGGAAAATTGTGTCCATTTCAGCCCCCTCAGCTGGTGGGTGGGATGCATGGGGAGACCAATGGTGCCCATCTCACTTAGTCTGCGGGGGGATTCGGCCGATGTACCGAATTTCAAGTAGATTTAAGGCCCGTTTCGAGGGGTCGGTGCCAACTTTGTTCCACTTTTCTAAAAAATATCCCTCCTAGCACTCAGCCAAACATGAGCCGAGTCCGCATTCGGAAAAATGAGGTGTTGCGGCGGAGGCCAGCAGGCCCCCAAAGTCAAATGGTGAGCAGGTTGGTGTTGGTGTTTGGGCTTTGTTTGAAGACAGGGATGATCGATGATAATAGGGTACATACCCATAGGATCCATGTATGCTATATATATGCTAACATTTACCACCAATATACCCCAAATGTTAGCATATATACCATACATGGATCCTATGGGATATGGGTACATCATGGTACATCAATTTGCATCTACCCTGTTGCACCTGGCTGTTAAGGATCAACCCGATCTCCAGCGGATTTACATTGAGATGCTGGGCTGAGTGGGCGTGGCGGTAGGGCTATACCTTCAATAAAGGATGTGAAATGGGCCATGGGCGTCCTGTATTTATATATGTATATATAATATATATGTATGTATAATATTTATGTATATATAATATATATGTATATATATATATATCTCTCTCTCTCTCTCTCTCCCTCTCTCTTTGTGCCTGTGTATGTGTGTGTGTCATAAATATGGACCGCACCTCACATCCAATGGAAAAGTCATATCCATATATCCATATATCCATATATGTATATATATATATATAATTATATATACATATAGAGATCTGGGCGTTGTTCTAGACTGCAAATCTCAAAACGATGAGGACGTGATATCTTGAACCTCCGTGATGGCCAGGGAGCCAGGGCGGTGGTAAGAAGGCAAATTCATAACATGTACTATAGGTGCTACATACTATAGGTATATCATACTATAGGTATATCATAACATAACTAATGGTAATATCACTCTATCATACTATAGGTGCTACATGCGATATGCATGCGATATGGTGTGAAATTAAATGTGACCATGTGTGAATTATACCGTTACGGTATATACATCTGCCGGTGGTCTCCGACCGGAGAGATTCTTCAGAGCGGAGCCTTGGTCCAGTGCAAGGTCCAGTGCAATCGATGTCGCTTGGGGAAAAACGTCTTCCAAACTTGACTCAGACTTGTTTCGCAACACAACAAATATACGTACACATATATATATATATATACTATATCCTGAGATGGCGAGAGAGAGAGAGAGAGAGATATGATACATATATATATATATATATTATATAGTATCCATATTATTGATACTCTATGATATAGTGCCTTTTTCCCAAGGCACCCAATAAAGGAATACAAATGCAAGACCTGTCGCGCGATTGCTGTGGGACCGCGATTGGAGGGCAACAAATATTTTGAAGATCCCAATAGTCGCCCAATAGTACCCTCTGGTAAATAAACTTGTTGACCCTGAAAATAACCAATTTTTAATGGAAACTAATCTGAACCAACCCCGATGACTGCCAGGGTCTATGTTAATTTACTGGAGTGTAACAGTAACAGATAGTAACAGTTTCTGATTGTGTTTCAAGTCTACGTGTTGTGAATTCATGTGGTAATTATATATAAACCCTATGGGGAGTGCCCAATGTTGCCAAGTTGTCTGTTTTCAGAGCAGATAATTAGTGTATTAATGAATCTATTACGCATTAAGTTTTACCAAATGACCTCACCCATGTTTCATTATTATCCCATTGTTTGTGGCTAAGAACCACATGGCTTCGGACCTGAAAATAGGCTGCCCCAAGCATGATCAATTCCAGCCCAGGATGATCATTTTTCAGAGACAAATTGGATGTAGCTGGTTACATATATCTCCATATATCTCCATTCACAGCCCAAAAATTGCCACAAAATATGGGTATACGTATACTTAGACTTACACATACTGTCCTGTTTTCCCACAAAATGGAGGCTCTTTTGTCCAACAATCCCCATTTGTATCCACCCTTGTTATCCATTGCACCCAGCATATTTTTCCTTCAGGAAGTTGCTGGATTGGTTGGTGCCTTCCGCCGCTTTGCGCATCTTTGTGGCAATGATTTTGTACGAGTTGCAGTTGGACTCGGGGGCCACCAGCAAGGCCATCCACCATGAGTAGCTCGCTGTGAAAAGAAGGAAATCATGGGAAATCTGGATGGAAATCCTATATGGAAATCCTGAGGAAAATCACTAAATGAAGGGTTTTTGTAGCTGGGAATAAAAAACATCGTTAACTATGTTTTTTTTTGTTTTTTTTCAAAGTTGCAGTGTTTGAGTTACTATAGAGCATAATCATGTCGTCAAATGATGCCAAATCATTGTCAATATTCTATTCTATTGTTGGTTTCCTACGCCAAGGGCGGATCGGAAGTGATCGAATCCCTGATTTTGTAGCAACAAACCACTGGTGGTGTAGGGGGCCACCTATGGGTACCTCAATTTTCGGAAACAACCCAGCCTTGATCTGGTTCCTTAGGTTCGTCAGAGACGCCTACAAACGCGTGGGAATGAAGGTGGGGATGGTTGAGTGCGCGGAAGGCAATCCCCTCAAAATGTGGTCAAAATTATAGGCACAAAATCAAAAATGTTCAATATTGTTCAATCTATTTGCAATTTTCGGTTGAAACAGCTACTAATTAGTGATTTAATGTTGGCCAAACCGTTATCGGCTATAGGTACGACAATCCATTTGCAATTTTCGGTTGAAACAGCTACTGAATTGCACCGGTGAGGAGCAGGCGCTTAGCGCCCTGTCGCAGATTTTGATCCGCTGCTCGGCGTATCGCTACGACGTCTTGGAGGTCTTCAGCGTGGGCGAAGTTTTCCTGGCGCAGCCTGGAACAAATGAAAAAAACATGGACATCCAATGGTATGTAGTAGACATATTGCGATGTTGTGAAAATAGTAGTGTTAATCCCCAAGGTAACAGCTAGTGATATTTATGTTTGGATGTAATTAATCATACCATTTGGATGTAAAAGTGTGAATTAATCCAATTTGGTATTTGTTAAAGTGGATTCCCCACCATTTGGAGAATCCGTTGTGGTTATCATATCTATCGATCTATCTGTAGATGATGTGGCCGCAATGCCTGCGCTTTGCCCGGGAATTGTAATTGAGGATCAACCGCGCAGGGTCAGCGTGGTTGGAGAAGCTGGAGAAGTTGGAGAAGTTGCAAAAACATGCAAAAACACTGGAGTGATTTACCCTCTGGTAAACTAACATAACTATGGAAAATCACAATTTTTCATGGGAAAATCCACTATAAATGGTCATTTTCCATAGTTACGTTAAATTACCAGAGGGTAGGTTTTGAGAGTTTCAGGGTTTTAGGGTTGATTTTTTTAGGGTTTTGATGTTCAGGTTGATGGTCTCGGAAGATCGGAAACAGAGGGTCTGTGAAGGACTTTGAGCGGAAGGAATAGCGGTTGCATGGTTGTTGAGACCGCATCCAAAGTCCAAGAATATGTATAGGCCAGGGGGCTGAGGTTCCCGCGCATGTCATGTCATGCAACATGTCTATAGACTATAAATTCAATACTATAGTCACTTAGTATTTACTGTACAGTAAAATGGGCATGTTTTTAATTTACAGCAGCCCATTGAAGTCCAAAAATCTAGGCCTTGCGACCAGGCAAAATGTGCGACCAAGTTTTCTGGGAGAACTGCTGATGAATCTGAACCTAGGTGGGAACTGTGGCCTTATGGCCTGCTGGAACTGTGTCGAGTTACGTGTGGGTGAGAATTCGGCTACTTTGGGGGGAAAAAATGGTTCTTTGATATGGGGTACACCTAAATGTAGCTACTCTAATGGAGAATGGCTGACTAATTAGCATTGGAATTTGGGGCACCCTATCAGACAAAACTCATATATCGATGTCATGTGTGGGTAGAAATTACCCCAAAAAAATGGGTAGAACAGCAGCATCGCGGCTGGGGTCCCAAGTTCTCCATTCGAATGCAGATCCCAGCCTTGGCTTCGGGAGAAATTTGCAGAAAAAACTTGGGTGATTTGGATGGTCAAAACATATCGAAACCCCATGAAACACCATGAGACACCAGCGTTTTCCGTATCCCATCCGTCCCATCGCAGGCAGTTTCACGCTCTTCGTGGAGAAATTCATTGCGGACTACAACCTGCGAACGAAGGACCGCCCGAACATCGGCGGCGTAAGTCCGGTGAAGCTTTGATAAGCTTTGAGCAGGATATTGCTGGTGCATAGATGTAAAATGGACTATGTATGGTTTTGTTGTGTTGTGGTCTGGTTATTATAAGTAATGTGCGACCTTGCCACCAGGAAAAGAATATTCTTTAGGGGATGGGTAAAACGATAGGATGTCTAAGATTAGTAAATGCTATGTGAATTGGCTGTGTAGTGAAGCAGGTTACCGGCTTGCACTCACAGACATCAGATCCATCAGATTTTGGCATGAGACGTATTGACGTATTTGATGTGACCTTGTGAGAACAGATTCGATCGAACAGTCTGATCTCACAGTCAGTCGTGTCACAGGAGCAGCACGTGCTGTTTATGGAAACAGTTCGGGTGCAAAGCAAGCAAGGCTTCAACATTTGTTTGTTCGCAGCTCGGCTAGCTGGACTGGCACTGGGACATCGGACGACATCGGTGGATCACTGCCATTTTCATTATCCCCATCCCCCAGTCACCACAAATAGGTGGTGTAAACCCTTCCCAAATGGGTGGTTTATGACATGGTTTTACCCACATCATGGCGTTTTTTTCGGTCCGCAGGTAGTCACCAACTGCAAGGTCTTTTTGCTGGAGCCTCGGCCGCCTTGGTAGCCTTGGATCCCTCTTTTCTGGTTGGTGTTCTGTCAATTTTCCCCATGAACTTCCAGGGTTTCAATTCGTTTACTGTATGTCAACATCATGTTGCAACCAGCTATTCGAAACCCAAATTCCAAGTCCTTTCTCAGAGCCACCAAGCTTTTGGAATGGTTCTTGGGGTAGTTTGAAATAAACACAACTCTAAAATAGAAGGCAGCCATCAATGACCAAAAGAACTCTTGTACGTACATGATATTTGAACACCAGAGACACATACTGCGGATGGTTGCGAAGTTGGCGGATGGAAGAAATCCCTGTATCATCCGATTAATTAATCAATAGTTAATGATAATCCCCTGAGTTCATAGCAAACCCCATGCCCATGATAATCCCATTATAATCCCATTATTTCATGATTTAATAGTTAATCACAATCCCCGTATTTAATCGTAGTTAAAATATGCAAAAGCAACATTCGAATCCCATTAATGAATATTAAAACCCCATTAAAATTACATTATCTTACTGGTGCTTAGTAGGGAATGGATGGGAATGGGGCTTGCTGGGATTATTATTGCTAGTTATTGGAATGATCATTCCCTCATTCATCCTCATTCCCTACGTTTAGCACCAGTAAGTTATTGAACAATCATCCACCCCAAAAAAACTCTTCCGTTTGGCTTACCCTCTGGTAAACTATCATAGCTATTGAAAATGGTCCATTTTTAATGGGAAAATCCACTATTTCTATGGCCATTATCAATAGCTACGTTAAATTACCAGAGGGTATCCAACGGATCACCATCGGCTGGATGTCGACATCTCCACTCGGCTGGATGTCTTGCCCAGGAACCCAGTCGCAACAAACCCACCTTTGCGGCCGAAGGGGAGACCTTTGAGTGTTGGGATGCCAGCTGGGACGCTGGGTAAATGTCTGGGGCCTGCAGTGATGGTATCCATTTTTTTTCCTATGAAAAATAGAGAATGCTCTAGTTTTTAATGTAAGACTTAAGAGGAAAGTGATGATAAACCAGATGTAGAAACATCATTTGTCATTTGTTTATATAGGAAAGTGATGATAAATGATAAACCAATGGGTTTAAGGGGTATCCTATTGTCTTTTTCAGACTCATGTATCAAAATCATCGGCTTAGCCCTGGGGTGCGGTATGGTGCGGTTAACCTATATTAGTTAAGCCTAAAATTGACCCAGCAATTTGGTTGGATATTTGTTATAGTAATCCCCAAATAGATGGAAAAGTGAATCACCATCAAATTAGTAGGGATTTGCTTTTCCATCTATTTGGGGATGACTATAATGATACTTTGAATATGATTGGTGTTTTGAACACTGCTGCGGAAGAGAGTTGATCATTGAAACATGATAAAAATGCTTGGATCGGGCATGGGTGGTGGTGATATTGCCCATTAAGCAGGATAGGGAGGTAGCCGACAAAGTCACATGTTCCATCAAGTTCCTAAAGTGCCATAAATGGTGAGAAATTGAAGATGTTACAACATGTTACAACTGGGATAGATTGGTTTAACCATGAAGATCATTCATTCAACTGCAGCTACGATAGCTTTATCCACACATGGATATCATGGATGGTGATTAGGTCTTGGCGTTGCCACCAGATTTGAGTTGGATGCAGCCAACCTCAGGAAGCCATGTTTCCGCGGGAGCCAACGGTGCTATGGGAGCGCGACTTTTCAAGCTTGGTGCGGCTTTGGTTGGGCTACGGCTCACAGTGCCTTGGGATGACATGGCGTCGATTGCCAAAAGCGCCAAACTGTACTCCTCAGTTCAACAGCCCAGGGCAGTAGATCTGAGGATTCTGGCGGTGGAATGGCAGGGTCCTGGCAAGGGGCAGGACCTTGTGTCCTCTCCCAGTGACAACAAAATCCAGTGGCTTGGTCTGACTGCGATGGATGATATGGATGAACACGGGTGAATGGTTAAGGTTTCGGCATGTTTCGGCCATGATTTTCCAGTTTTCCGCCATTGGGGGATTTCCTATCCAACCATTTGTTTGATTACCGGAGAGTATTCCATCCCGTATTATTCCATTATCATCCATTATCCCGTTCATATTCCATAATATTCCATTGTGTCCCAATTTTTCCACCATATTTCTGGGTGAAATACCCACGCAGCAGCATTATATAAATCCCACAAAATTATATAAATCCCATTGTCGTTAAGTCTTTGGTCTAAATGACCATTACATCACCATTGAATTACCATTACCCTCTGATAAACTAACATAACTATGGAAAATCACCATTTTTAATGGGAAAATCCACTATAAATGGCAATTTTCAATAGCTATGTTAGTCATAACCAGAGGGTAAACCACCCAACTTCAAGGTCCGAGGTGTACCTTTTTCACCGCCCCGATCGATGCACGACGCTGGCGGAAACTCTACGTGCTGCAGCAGCACAGGCGACACGAGCTTTCGTTAGGTTTTCCCAACGACAGGTTGGGTCCAGACAAGAACGAGTTGATGATTTTTTATGGATCATTGATATTGGTTCATTATTTTTGTGATCACCTATATACCATATACAGTTTTTTGTCTGTATATACTATGTTTGTTAATCAGTTGGAAAGTGGGACTTTGGTAGACACGAAAAGGTCATAGTGAGATTTTAGAAGTCCCCAGTCATGGAAGAACACGCACATGATCTCACATGTCACTTCACCTTAAGTTTGCATTTGTCCAGCTGAAGAACTGATGTATGTTGGCTATCCTTGGCTGCATATTGGATTTTCTTCCCACTGATCCCTGACCCCGGCGACCACTCGTAATTCACCAGACAAGTCATGTCAAGAAGAGAAACAAATGGAAACTGATGGACATGCCGATTGTTTATGATTGTTTGCTGTTTTAACCTTCCTGATGTTGGAAAGTTGACAAACATCCAGCTTCTTTGCCGATGGTTTATCCCTGATTCAGCGACCAACCATGGCCCATCATGGCCCCACGTGGCCGGTACCAGGGCGAGGCGGGGGCAGTGCCGATCCTGATGGATCCAGCCTTTCGGAATTTGGTGCTGGCACAAACCCAGGAGGCGATTTCTTGGGCGAATCGAAGAGTTTTTGGATCAAGCGATCAACCCCAAAAATAGTGGAAACGATGGAGCCGGCACGCCAATGTTTGGAAGTACTAAATATATTAAAATATATCTACTAACGGTTTTCCTATGTTTCTTTACTTACTAGAAAATATCTAAATTAATTAACTTTGTACATTGCAATCATGGATGGGATAGATGGGATGGATGGGATATATCCATATTTATATATAGTGATACGCACCTGCAGGACCAAGTGGGTTAGAAAGTTGTAGTGTACGAACATGGGGTCTACCATTTGGATGACCTGCCACTGCCCAGGAGCAAGTGCTGGCCATCACAGTGGCTGTCCACGGCCCCAAACCCAGGCTGCAGCCCATGGGCAAATTTCATCAAATTTCGCATGTTCCATGCTTCAGAAATGGTCGCTTTTACCCACATTTTGCCAAGAAACAGAGGGATCCAACATGTTTTTTTTAAATAGGTTTATTATCAGCAGTCAATGCAAACAAATCCAACTTTGATACAACCAATCATCCCTTTGCTGACCCGTTCTTGGAGTTTTTTCATGTTTTTTCCATTGGTATTTTTTCATGGTGAAGGGGTATCCCATAGCTTGTGGATCCATAGCTTGTGGATCCCCACGACGATCCCCGTCCAGGCAAGGGCTTTTCACTTCTGAGCAAAAGGCAGACCCTACGCCGCGGCTTTTCGTGCCGCTGAGCCACAGCGCGCGCTTGCGTTTTTTTCTGTCGATGGGCTACCAGGGTCACCACAAAAAAATCAATGGTTTCTTTTTTTCTGATATTTATCCATGGATGTGGAAAACCTCAAATACCACTTTCTGACAAAAGGATACAAAAGGTCCAATGGTATTACTGTCCGATATTTATTGTTTATGTTATTTTATTGTATCATTGTGTCATTTCCATCGTTTCGCGGTATTTAGCTTGGGATCATGAAGTCATGCCCCACATTTGTTTGGGGCAAAGCCATGTTTTCATTCTTCAAATTGACTAGGAAGACAGGAAGGTTCAGCTTCCAGAGGGATGCAGAAGATCACCTTTCAGAGCCACCGGCACCACCGGGCAAGATGGGCGACTCCTAAGGCTCACAGCAGCTTCGGTGCTTGAAACTTGAACTTGCCAGTTGTTGAGCACGGAGGTTCCAGGCGTTCAATTCTTGGTTTGATTGTGACGAGCTTGGTATCTATTGGTACGTAAATTAATAAATGAAGAAACAGATACATAGAAAAATAATAAATTTATATATATATATATAGATAAATACATGCATAGATAGATCGATAAATGAATATATATATATATATATATGAAATCTGGCATTTGCAACCACCAAGCGGCGCCTGGCATTTAGAAGCCAAGTCACGGATGGTCATTTCCCATCCATTTTCTTGGTTGCTTTCAGACATGTTCAGCGACTGATTTCAATCATCATTTCTTTGGGTCACTGGTTAAGTATGGTTACGTGGTTAACTGGTTCATTGAAGGTCATCATGTTGCATTGTTCTACATATTCCACATCCATGTCAACTTTGGATAAAAAAAACTGGGGGTGCCCAAAATAAACCACCCTAGCGGCAGCAACCGCAGCTGCCTCAGGAGTTTGATATCAAGTCAAGTTGCTGGTCTGGATGTCCTTGGGGTGGTGACGCTATAGGAGTGGTGTAGGTTTGTGCATCACACGGCGTTGTTTTTTTTGCTACAATGGAGATGATCGGCACTCATGAATGGCAAGTCAGTTTAAGCTTTTCCAGGTGTTTCCAGTGAAAAAGTTGTTCCTTACTTTGAAGACGTGTCATCTCCAATTAGGTGGGATCTTTCAAAAACATTAACAAAGAGTATATGTCAAATATATGGATATGGATCAATACCTATTAATACCATTTTTAGTGGGAATGAACATCCATTTACCAGCTATTTTGATGTTCACCAGGGGTACAAGGTTTTGACACACTTCCATATGTCAAATATATGTTTGATCAGATTTTCCAAAGCGATTCGACTATTTCACACATCTGATGAAAGTTGGTTGACGGTCCAACTCAGGTGCCTGGGCACCAATCAAGGAGCTGGATCCAGCGACTGGACAGAGCACCCTAGAAATGTCATGCCGTGCGTAAAGAGAGATGCTGGGCCCTGTTTTTCATCAGCTTCACTTTTTGTTTACCTTGGAAAAAAAAGAAAAAAACGGTAACAATATGTGGTTTGCCCAGAAACATGAGACAAAAGCCTCATGTTTTACCATTAGGTGGGAATTATATAGTTTGCAGAATGGGATAGGAACAGAAACAGCGGGGGCTTTTGGATGTTTCCACAGTGTTTTTTCGAAAAAAATGTCCTCCATCAGGCCATCTTTGATGATTTTACTCCGGCGGATTTGGAGGTGCGCCGTGTTCGGTGGAGAGCTTGGGCAAAAAAGGCACCGTAGTGACTAGTGGCTGTGGTGTATCGTATTGGAATTGCAATTTCAAAGTATAGCGTTGTATTATATAGTATTAAATTATAACTATATATATATATATATTTATATTGTATTGTGCATTATGTATTTTGTGTCATGCCGCATGCCTTACTTTTTTCTAATGATGCGCTATGTGTTAAAATATTGTGTATGTTTGTGTATGTTTGTGCATTATTACGTATTATTACGTAGTATTACGTGTTTATCGTGTATGATTGCTAATGTTTTGTTATGTATTAGTGCGGTATGTGTTTTATATTATGATGTATTATCATGTGTTATTATCATGTCCACTATGCATTCTGTATTGCATTTTTTCATTGTCCTATATGATCTCCATTTTATCAATTTATTGTATCCAATTGCAAGATAATATATAAACAGAGATAATCAGTAGTTATACAACATCCCCTCAATCCCACTAGCGGCGATCGCGCAGGAGGCTGCAGAGGAAGAGGAGGAAGATGTGCTGCCAGCTCCATCAGAGGACATAATCCCATGAAAGTTTCCCCATGGCATTCAGAATAATTTGACTAAAACAATGCCATTTGTACCACCCATGACTGGGAATTGTAAAACTACCACCTATAAAAATGGTGATGACTGGGGGATGGTTTATTATTGTTTTACCCACATTAATGTGTAAATCTAAAGCCATAAACCATCCCCCAATATTCCGATGGGTGGTTTTTGAACCAGCCCCGCATGGAAGCTTGATGGCATTGGGTTTACATGGGTTTACCACATTAGCTTGAAAGGAACATCGCTAGATTTCCCTTGAAAGCCATCAGTAGGCCCACAGGATTCCACAGGCCCTCGGATGATACTTATCAAAATCTGTATGTGATAATGATATATAAATGTTTTTCATTAAGGTATAAGAAACTAGCTAAACATTGAATGAATAAATAGATAGATAAAACTATAAACATATATATATACATACATAGCCCCTCAGTTAGGCTGAGGCAAACTTGGTCTGCAGGCGATGGAGGGAGAGAGAGAAAGAGAGAGAGAGAGATATATATATGATATATATATAATTATATGTATATGTATAATTATATGTATATGTACAATTATATGTATATGTATATGTATATGTATATGTATATGTATATGTATATGTATATGTATGTATATGTATATGCATGTACGTAGACACGTATGCATGCAATGATATACATTATATACAAATGTCGATCTTAAGCCAATTGTGTTGGTCGTCTCCAGGAAGACATGGCGTTACGTCACCTGCTACGTCTCTGCGGGTCGCAGCTGCCGGTCCCGGAAGGAGCTCCTGATGGGACCAGCAGGCAGGTAGTGGTGGGTAGGACGGGAAACGAACCCCGTCAGACTTGAGATTTTACGGATTTGATGGTGGTTTCATGGGATTTTCATGGGATTTTCATGGGATTTATTGGGATAACTTGGGAGTAGAGTCGAGTCATCTAAGTCAAACATGATAGTCACTAGGCGATCATAGCTAATAATAATGACAATGGTAGTGATAATAATAATGATAATGATGCTGATAATTGTCAAAGGAAGTTTAGTGGGAGAAACTTCCGTGTTACGGACTTTTAGAATGTCAAAGAAAGAGTTAGTCAAAGAAAGAGTTAGTCAAAGAAAGAGTTAGTCAAAGAAACAGTTAGTCAGGGACAGAGTTAGTCAAAGAAAGAGTTAGTCAAAGAAACAGTTAGTCAGGGAAAGAGTTAGTCAAAGAAAGAGTTAGTCAAAGAAACAGTTAGTCAGGGAAAGAGTTAGTCAAAGAAAGAGTTAGTCAAAGAAACAGTTAGTCAGGGAAAAAGTTAGTCAAAGAAAGAGTTCGTCAAAGAAAGAGTTAGTCAAAGAAAGAGTTAGTCAGGGAAAGAGTTAGTCAAAGAAACAGTTAGTCAGGGAAAAAGGTAGTCAAAGAAAGAGTTAGTCAGGATATATGAGGTAGCCAAAGAAAGAGTTAGTCAAGGAAAGAGTTAGTCAAAGAAACAGTTAGTCAGGGAAAAAGGTAGTCAAAGAAAGAGTTAGTCAGGATATATGAGGTAGTCAAAGAAAGAGTTAGTCAGGATATATGAGGTAGTCAAAGAAAGAGTTAGCAAAGAAAGCGTTCGTCAGGGAAAGGGTTAGTCACAGAAAGAGTTAGTTAGGGCATTGATTGTTCCCGCAATGCAAATGGGATTGCAAGTGGTGCTGGTGGATGAGTTGCCGATGGAGTTGTGAAGGAAGTCTCGCACGAAATGCGTTTTTGAGAGATAGCAGATGCAGGAAACCCTATGTTTTTCCATACAAAGTGTGTCCACGAACTTCGATGATCTACCTCTGCTGCGCGACGGGTGCGAGACGGTCTCGTGTGTGGTCGGATCATGGGCGGATCGGTCTCGGATCATGCTCGGATCGGTTCCGCATTGTAAATGGGGTTTCAACTGTTTTTCGTGCATGTGTGGTCGACAGAATTCCATTGTGATTTGTAACTGTAGGATCGTTCCCGCATTGTAAATGGGGTTGCAAGTGGTGCTGGTGGATGAGTTGCCGATGGAATTCCATTGTGATTTGCAACTCTAGGATCGTTCCCTCACTGCAAATGGCATTGCAAGTGGTGCTGGTGGAGGAGTTGCCGATGGAGTTTTGGAGGAAGTCTCGCACGAAATGCGTTTTTGAGAGATAGCAGATGCACGAAACCCTATGTTTTTCCATACAAAGTGCGTCCCCGAACCTCGATGATCTACCTCGGCGGTGCGACGGGTGCGAGACGGTCTCGTGTGTGGTCGGATCATGCTCGGATATGTTCGGATCATTCTCGGATCGGTTCCGCATTGTAAATGGGGTGTCAACTGTTTTTCGTGCATGTGTGGTCGACAGAATTCCATTGTGATTTGCAACTGTAGGATCGTTCCCGCATTGTAAATGGGGTTGCAAGTGGTGCTGGGGGATGAGTTGCTGATGGAATTCCATTGTGATTTGCAACTCTAGGATCGTTCCCTCACTGTAAATGGGATTGCAAGTGGTGCTGGTGGAGGAGTTGCCGATGGAGGTTTGGAGGAAGTCTCGCACGAAATGCGTTTTTGAGAGATAGCAGATGCACGAAACCCTATGTTTTTCCATACAAAGTCCGTCCCCGAACCTCGATGATCTACCTCTGCGGTGCGACGGGTGCGAGACGGTCTCGTGTGTGGTCGGATCATGGTCGGATATTCTCGGATCATGTTCGGATCGGTTCCGCATTGTAAATGGGGTTTCACCTGTGTTTCGTGCATGTGTGGCCGACAGAATTCCATTGTGATTTGCAACTGTAGGATCGTTCCCGCATTGTAAATGGGGTTGCAAGTGGTGCTGGCGGATGAGTTGCCGATGGAATTCCATTGTGATTTGCAACTCTAGGATCGTTCCCTCACTGTAAATGGGATTGCAAGTGGTGCTGGTGGAGGCGTTGCCGATGGAGTTTTGCAGAAAGTCTCGCACGAAATGCGTTTTTGAGAGATAGCAGATGCACGAAACCCTATGTTTTTCCATACAAAGTCCGTCCCCGAACCTCGATGATCTACCTCTGCGGTGCGACGGGTGCGAGACGGTCTCGTGTGTGGTCGGATCATGGTCGGATATTCTCGGATCATGTTCGGATCGGTTCCGCATTGTAAAAGGGGTTTCACCTGTGTTTCGTGCATGTGTGGTCGACAGAATTCCATTGTGATTTGCAACTGTAGGATCGTTCCCGCATTGTAAATGGGGTTTCACCTGTGTTTCGTGCATGTGTGGTCGACAGAATTCCATTGTGATTTGCAACTCTAGGATCGTTCCCGCAATGCAAATGGGATTGCAAGTGGTGCTGGTGGATGAGTTGCCGATGGAGTTTTGAAGGAAGTCTCGCACGAAATGCGTTTTTGAGAGATAGCAGATGCAGGAAACCCTATGTTTTTCCATACAAAGTGCGTCCCCGAACCTCGATGATCTACCTCTGCGGTGCGACGGGTGCGAGACGGTCTCGTGTGTGGTCGGATCATGGGCGGATCATGGGCGGATCATGGTCGGATCGGTTCCGCATTGTAAATGGGGTTTCAACTGTTTTTCGTGCACGTGTGGTCGACAGAATTCCATTGTGATTTGCAACTGTAGGATCGTTCCCGCATTGTAAATGGGGTTGCAAGTGGTGCTGGTGGATGAGTTGCTGATGGAATTCCATTGTGATTTGCAACTCTAGGATCGTTCCCTCACTGCAAATGGCATTGCAAGTGGTGCTGGTGGAGGAGTTGCCGATGGAGTTTTGGAGGAAGTCTCGCACGAAATGCGTTTTTGAGAGAGAGCAGATGCACGAAACCCTATGTTTTTCCATACAAAGTCCGTCCCCGAACCTCGATGATCTACCTCTGCGGTGCGACGGGTGCGAGACGGTCTCGTGTGTGGTCGGATCATGCTCGGATGGTCTCGGATCGGTCTCGGATCGGTTCCGCATTGTAAATGGGGTTTCAACTGTTGTTCGTGCATGTGTGGTCGACAGAATTCCATTGTGATTTGCAACTGTAGGATCGTTCCCGCATTGTAAATGGGGTTGCAAGTGTTGCTGGTGGACGAGTTGCTGATGGAATTGCATTGTGATTTGCAACTCTAGGATCGTTCCCTCAATGTAAATGGGATTGCAAGTGTTGCTGGCGGATGAGTTGCCAATGGAATTCCATTGTGCTTTGCAACTCTAGGATCGTTCCCGCAATGTAAATGGCTGTGTCAAGGTTGCTTCGTGCTGTGGCTGCATTGGTAATACTATTATCTTTTGCAGCTGGATCTCGTAAATCGTACTGGAGTGGCTGCATGAAGGCTGCCACAGTGATTTGTCAGCAGATTTTCTCCATTTTGGCGCTAGTGATTTTCCTTCTAAAAATCCTTTTAAAAAGTGCTTCAAAGTCGTCTTTTTTTCGCTCTGGCGTCGAGATCCGGTTTTGGAGCTACAATTTCCGACGCCGTTGCGCGTAGCTCTATTGTGTTTTGGAACTCAATCTCTGCAGATCGCATTGTAATGGCTGCGTCAAGGTTGCTGCGTGCTGTGGCTGCATTCGTAATACTATTGTCTTTTGCAGCTGGATCTCGGAAATCGTCTTGGAGTGGCTGCATGAAGGCTGCGACATGGATTTGTTAGCAGATTTTCTCCATTTTGGCGCTAGTGATTTTCCTTCTAAAAATCCTTTTAAAAAGTGCTTCAAAATCGTCTTTTTTTCGCTCTGGCGTCGAGATCCGGTTTTGGAGCTACAATTTCCGACGCGGTTGCGCGTAGTTCTATTGTGCTTTGCAACTCAGTCTCTGCAGATCGCATTGTAATGGCTGCGTCAAGGTTGCTTCGTGCTGTGGCAGCATTCGTAATACTATTGTCTTTTGCAGCTGGATCTCGGAAATCGTCTTGGAGTGGCTGCATGAAGGCTGCGAAATGAGTTTGTTAGCAGATTTTCTCCATTTTGGCACTAGTGTTTTTTTGTTGGACGTACGTTTAGAGCAGTGTGAAGTGTGGGGCATGAAGAGTGCAGTGTGAAGTGTGAAGTGTGAAGGAAGCAGTGGGAAGTGAGAAGTGTGAAGTGTGGAGTGTGAAGTTTAAGTTTGGAGTGCGAAGAGCGCAGTGTGAAGTGTGAAGTGTGAAGTGTGAGGTTTGGAGTGTGAAGGAAGCAGTGAGAAGTGAGAAGTGTGAAGTGTGAAGTGTGGAGTGTGAAGTGTGGAGTGTGAAGTTTCAGGTTGGAGTGCGAAGAGCGCAGTGTGAAGTGTGAAGTGTGAAGTGTGAGGTTTGGAGTGTGAAGGAAGCAGTGAGAAGTGAGAAGTGTGAAGTGTGGAGTGTGAAGTGTGGAGTGTGAAGTTTCAGTTTGGAGTGCGAAGAGCGCAGTGTGAAGTGTGAAGTGTGAGGTTGGGAGTGTGAAGTTTGGAGTGGGAAGGAAGCAGTGAGAAGTGAGAAGTGTGAAGTGTGGACTGTGAAGTGTGGAGTGTGAAGTGCGAAGTGAGAAGTGTGAAGTTTGGAGTGGGAAGGAAGCAGTGAGAAGTGAGAAGTGTGAAGTGTGGACTGTGAAGTGTGGAGTGTGAAGTGCGAAGTGAGAAGTGTGAAGTTTGGAGTGTGAAGGAAGCAGTGAGAAGTGAGAAGTGTGAAGTGTGGACTGTGAAGTGTGGAGTGTGAAGTGCGAAGTGAGAAGTGTGAAGTTTGGAGTGTGAAGGAAGCAGTGAGAAGTGTGAAGTGCGAAGTGAGAAGTGTGAAGTTTGGAGTGTGAAGTTTGGAGTGGGAAGGAAGCAGTGAGAAGTGAGAAGTGTGAAGTGTGGACTGTGAAGTTTGGAGTGTGAAGGAAGCAGTGAGAAGTGAGAAGTGTGAAGTGAGAAGTGTGAAGTGAGAAGTGTGAAGTGTGGACTGTGAAGTGTGGAGTGTGAAGTGCGAAGTGAGAAGTGTGAAGTGTGAAGTGTGAAGTTTGGAGCGTGAAGGAAGCAGTGAGAAGTGAGAAGTGTGAAATGTGGAGTGTGAAGTGTGAAGTGTGAAGTGCGAAGTGAGAAGTGTGGACTGTGAAGTGTGAAGTGTGAAGTGTGGACTGTGACGTGTGAAGTGTGAAGTGTGGACTGTGAAGTGTGAAGTGTGCAGTGTGAAGTGTGAAGTGTGAGGTTTGGAGTGTGAAGGAAGCAGTGAGAAGTGAGAAGTGTGGAGTGTGAAGTGTGGAGTGTGAAGTTTGAAGTTTGGAGTGCGAAGAGTGCAGTGTGCAGTGTGCAGTGTGAGGTGTGGAGTGTCGAGGGAAGGACACGGTCGGGACAGGTTGTCTTTGAACTATAGGTCATTTATGTTTGGGAAACTTCCGCCGCCGGCTTGCCCGGGTCTATGTTAGTGATAACGACGATCTATAATCATACCGATAGTTACCCTCTGGTAATTTAAAAATTTAACATAGTTATGAAAACACCTTGTTTGATAGGTAGATCATCTACAAATGGACCACGGTTTACTTAGCTATGTTAAATTACAGGAGTGTAGAGTAGTTCATCTAAGTTCATATGGCCTTTCCAAGATTTGGATTTTAATTGTTAGTTGGTTATTTCTATTCGTTCTTTGTTTTGGCCCATCTATCAGGGATGGGAGGAAATGAAAATTGGTGAAGAGTAGTTTGCCTTTTTTTCTTCTGTCAGGTGTCGGGATGAAATCGCATGGCAATTTTGCGAGGGGCAGAGTCTAGAGCCATATATAGCAAGGATATGCAAGGATGAAAACCACGGCAATTTGCTGGAATCTGGTTCTGAACTCATTCTGGGTTGCAGACCATTTCGAAACGTGACTCTCACCCTGGCTTCATCCTTGTTTTGTGTCCACGGTGTGGTTCAGGCCTGTGCTGAGCCTTGTGAAGAAATATGCGTTGCCGCCCACGGAGACACTTGGCACTACCGCCGGCGGTGACATCCGTAACCAACAAGGTTAGTAGAAGAATTTTGCGCAAAGGTTTGAACTCCACTTGTCTTTCCCAGGCGTTGACCGCATTTTTTCCTATATGTTTCGATATGTTTTCATATGTCTTCCATATTGCCATGTTTGATTGGTTTGTTGAGGATCAGTTTCGAGACTCGCAACGAAGCTGACCTCAGTCTGCAGTTCTCCAGTGGTGCTTTGTGTATCCGCCACTGGGCTGAATGGTTTTCGAGCGACAGTTGGTGGAATGTTTTTTGCCAAGCACAAGCTGCTTAGTTGTTAATCCCTTCCCCCTAATACTAAACCCCCCTAAATAATAAACACCTCAGGTAGTTTTTAATATTAGGGTGGTATTTATAATTAAGGAACCTTATTAATAAATTTAAAACCTTAATAATAAAAACCATTTTTCCGATTTCAAAATCAATTAAATTTCCTTTTATAACGCAATTAAAATATTGCCGAAAATTGGATTTCGAAGCGGACCCTATTAATAAATCTAAAAACTGAATAATAAAAAACTATTTTTTCCGATTTCAAAATCAATTAAATTTCCTTTTATAACGCAATTAAATATTGCCGAAATTTGGTTTTCGAAGCAGGCCCTAGTAATAAATTAAACGCCCTAATATAAAAAACTAAAAATGTTCAGACGGACCCTAAGAATAAACACCTCGGGGTTGACTAGTTTTTATTATTAGGGGGCGAAACCCACAAATGGTAGTATATATAAACCATTCCCAGGGTCCAATGGGTGGTAAAAATGGCATTGTTTTAACGACATTAATAACCATCAGTTGGAATATCAGCCCACTAATAACCATCACTTGGCAATTGGTATCATTAACCATCATTAATCATCATTAACCATCATTGTTTTAGTTAAATTATTCGAAATGCCATGGGGAAACTTTAAGATGATGTCATCCATTAACCATCATCAAGCATAATTAACCATCCCCAGAACGTTTCCATCCCTAGAACCTGGATCCCCTCCAGGCACTACTACGATCCCCTCCACGGTGTCCTGACCAGGTTTCTTCACCGACAGCAGCCGCGAAATCTGGCGAAGGGGGTTGGCCTATGCACTGGTCAAGTCTGAAAAAGGCGCTGGAGAGGGTTGGCGAATGGGGATTACTCTCCAGGAAGTTGAATATAGATAGATAGATAGACAGACAGACAGACAGATAGATAGATAGATAGATCGATAGATAGACAGACAGACAGATAGATAGATGGATAGATAGATCGATAGATAGACAGACAGACAGATAGATAGATGGATAGATAGCTCGATAGATAGACAGACAGACAGATAGATAGATAGAGAGATAGATGGATAGATAGATAGATGGATAGATAGACAGACAGACAGATAGATAGATAGATGGATAGAGATACAGGTAGACTGATAGATAGATAAATGGATGGATAGATAGATAGATAGAAAGATAGCTAAACAGATATACAGGTAGATAGATAGATGGATGGATGGATGGATGGATGGATAGATATACAGGTAGACAGACAGACAGACAGACAGACAGATAGATAGATAGATAGATAGATAGATAGCTGAATAGATATACAGGTAGATAGATAGATAGATAGATAGATAGATTGATAGACAGATAGATAGATAGATAGATTAGATAGATTAGATAGATTAGATAGATTAGATAGATTAGATAGGTTACATAGGTTAGATAGGTTAGATAGATTAGGTAGGTAGGTAGGTAGATAGATCGATAGACAGATAGATAGATAGGTAGATAGGTGGATGGATAGATAGATAGATCGATAGCTATATAGATAAATACAGGTAGATAGATAGATAGGTAGATAGATAGCTAAATAGATATACAGGTAGATAGATAGATAGATAGATAGATAGATAGACAGATAAATAGCTGAATAGATATGCAGGTAGATAGGTAGATAGATAGCTAGATAGCTAGATAGCTAGATTAGATAGATTAGATAGGTTAGATAGGTTAGATAGATTAGATAGATTAGATATACAGGTAGATAGGTAGATAGTTATACAGGTAGATAGATAGATCGGTAGATAGATAGATAGATAGATAGATAGATAGATAGCTAGGTAACTAGATATACAGGTAGACAGATTGGTAGATAGATAGATCGATAGATAGATAGATAGACAGATAGATAGATGTATAAATAGATAGATTAGATAGATTAGATAGCTTAGATAGGTAAGATAGGTTAGATAGATTAGATAGGTAGGTACGTAGATGGTTAGATAGATAGATAGATAGATAGATAGATAGATAGATAGATAGATAGATAAATAGATAGATAGATAGATAGATAGATAGCTAAATAGGTATACAGGTAGACGGATAGATAGAAGTATAGATAGATAGATAGATAGATAGATAGATAGATAGATAGATAGACAGACAGACAGATAGATAGATAGATAGATTAGATAGGTTAGATAGATTAGATAGGTTAGATAGGTTAGATAGATTAGTTAGGTAGGTAGGTAGGTAGATAGAAAGATAGTAAACACAATATTAAACAATTATCAAACATAAAAGTTGGGGAACAGATGCAGAGAGAAACTGGCGCTTTGACTACCCATTAAGTTAGCGACAAATTAGATATTTCACCACCAGCAGTTTCTGAACAGTCGGTGTTTTGGCCACACAAAAGTAGGGATGCAACGAGGAATAGCACAAATGAGGAGTTTCACCAGTCAGAAGGGTAACGAGACTAAAGTTTTTAAGCTTGGTAAATACTTGGTGAAAGGTTTACGGTCTAAAACTCTGGAGGACCTGACCAGCGAAGATTGTCAGGGGTACATAGGGGTACCCCGCGGTATTTTATCAGTTTGCCGGGGAAAAACATAATTTTTGATAGGTAAATCTTAAGTAAATCATCCAACTCCAGCTGTAGAAACAGCCAAGCCACTGAGCCAGGCTGGTCTCGGCAGTACTAATATCTTGCGAGGCCCGGCACTGTGTGCATCTTAAGATGTTTCCAATATCAAAGATAAATAAGTTAATGTCTCATGATTTCTTCAAATTCTAACATGTACAATTAGATACACGCACACACAATATATAGTAATAATAATAATAACATTAATTATAATAATGATAATAATAACAATAATAATAATATATTCAGGGTTTAATGACCTCAATGTTGTGAAACATGGGTGCTGCTTCTTGGCTTTCAACTGCATGCCAGGAAATCCGAAGGTCATACCAATACCATCCAATAATTTATCTCCGCATATGTGAGTGTTGCAACTGTATTCTTTGAAATCCTCTCTTTTATTTCGGCTTGCCTGTACAGTTGTGAAAGTAATGTTGTTTTTCACGCTTTTGGCTGCCCCATTTGTTGGGTTGCTGCGGTGCTCGCCCCTGACCCTGGGTCAGTCTCACCTGTTGAGATGGCGATGGAGAGAGAGAGAGAGATATCACACATGGCGTAATGTTTGCTTCAAACCCTTTTTAAACAGCCAAAAACGGGTTCATAGATGGTATAGGATGGAATTGATCCCATCCCTTGCCCCACCAGAACACCGCCAGGTACTGATGCGCAGCCCTGTTTTTGGAAGGGCCAAAGTGCCTTCCTGTTTCTTTTCGTTGAACGACACAGACTCCGCCGGAAGTTCTTCAGCCACTTCAGCGGAGTCCGGCGAGCTGGGCACTCAAAGAAGTAGTACCCAGACGGCGTCGCGAAATGTGCGGCAAAAGTGACTGCTCTGAGACTCTGAGACCAGCAGGGGATTTTTGAACCTGGGCCAGAACCAAGGAACTTCAGAGGTTGGATTCTTGGATTTATTTGGATCATTTGAGCTACGTTTTTTTTTAATATAAAAGGGTTTATATAGAGTGTAAACTGGATGTTGCTTTTGGTGTGGTTTTACCTGGCTGGCGTAAGGATTGCGTAGGATTGGCGTAGGCATTTTTCAAGGTTCCAAATATCTTCTGGTTTGCGTAGGCAACATTTCATTGTATTTCAAATGCTCGTACATGATCGGCGTTGGAATCTCACGCTTTAAAATTGATTCAATGTTATCCACAAAAGGTTCACAGGCACCGGGTTCATTCATGGATAGTTGTCTATACGAACAAACCGTGGAACTTGCCCGGAAGAGCAGCTATACAAAGGCAGCGGAGCAGCTTAAACCGTCTTGATGTTCTTCGCTTTCCACCTGCTTGTTGCTAGATGGGCCATATTAGCTCTTGCTTAAGAGGAATGTTTCACCAGATTCCTGCCAGGAGGCCCCTGGAACAGGCGTAGGCTTCGCGTAGACTTCGCGTAGGCACCGCGTAGGCTCGGGTGCCCGGACTGACCACCAGCCCACGTCCGCACCAGTCCATATTCGACACATTGAACCGCCCAGAACTGCCCTTCACCAAGCTAGCGACAGTCGAACACGTCGCTTGGCTTGACTCCAGCATAGTCAAAAGTTACTAGCTGAGTCTGCAGTGATTTATCATGATTTATCCACCAGATGTTTAGTGTGCGCTTTGGGACCTGGTTGCTGGTGCGGCTGCTGCACATGGGTGTGGCTGCAAGATGTCTATGGGCGCTTTGGAGCCTGGGCGCTCGTGCTGCAAAAATGTGAATGGGACTGTGGTCGCGTAGGCAAAAGTTCCGTTTCCAACTTCCAACCTTCCAAAAGCAAACAGAAGTGTGACGGCGTAGGCAAAAACATCCATTGTGGCGTCGCTTTATGCGGGCGTTGGGCCTGCGTAGGCACACCTTCAAAGGGATGAGCCGCGTAGGCTCCCACTGTGGCCGCGTAGGCATTGCGTAGACAGTGGCGTAGGCAGCACAGGAGTAGACGGATCCAGACAACAAAAAAAACACAGCTCATTTAGAACAAAAAAGCGGCCTTTGCGGTGGCATTTGGTTCAAGACATTTCAAAGCAATGAAGATAGTATAATTAAGTATTTATGATGACACGTGGATGAAAATTGAAATTTAAATCAAACCAAGTTGGATTATTGATCATACTGTGTATATATACCCTTACTTTTCTATTCTTTCCATTCGGATTCTTTAAGGATTTTCAGATCGACTGATCAGATTTAGAAAATCATATTTGGCAGGTCTTGGTCCTTTGACTTCGACCATATCTTCAGGCACAAATTGTGGTTTTTGTTGGGAAGGAATTTGAGGAATTTGCGGCTGAGATTTCAACCCTCTTTGGGATGATCGGATTTTTTTCAACTGATTATGGTACCCGACAATGATCAAACATGGCCACTACCAATAGAATTCAATATGAATTAATAAATTTAATAATTAGAAAATGTTTAAAAAAAACAACCAACAACGATCATCATGATCATCGTATCTAAACGTGTCCTAAACCAGGCCCCAACGGGTTCCAGGCTGTCATTGGTTCTCTGATAACTCAGCCAACGTCCAAGGCCTGAGGCTTCACAAGCAGAGGTCTTCGAAGAGCATCTGGGTCAAAGGATTTTGGTCCCTGCGAGGGATGCGAGGGCCCAAATTTTTATCCAGTTTAACTACATTTAATTTATTCATATATATAATTATATATATATATATACATATAAATATATATAGAGTACAGGTGAAAATTTGGCACAGGTGAGCAAACAACTTGAATTGTTAGGAGATGTTTGCCTCTTGAAAATGGTGGTTTCTAATGCTGTGTGTCATTTCCGGAGGGTATATTAATACACTCTTCAATAGTCTATACACTGGCTTCCCATCGTGAAAAAACAACCATTGGGCATTCCATTTCTCTACCCATCCATACATCTGTTGAGATGTTGGTGTCCTTCAGTTTAGACACCAGCAGCTGAGAAGTTGGAGAATATACTTTTGTTCCCGTCTATTTTCTCCCGGGATTATGGAGCTTTTGCATGCTTTTGCCAAGGCTTGTGAACGGTGGCGTTGGAACCTTCATGTTTCATCGAATTAGGGGACATGCTTGCAAGAAAGGAACATATTCTTCGGAAGCTTCCAAGGCAGGTGAACTTACGATTTAGAACCCCAGCTCATCACCAGCCAACACTCTCGAGACACTAAAGGTTTGTTCAAACTGAACCTTCCCAGATACTGAAAATCGTTCCATCCACCCAAATACTGAACATCGTTTGAACATATTTTTTTCTTTTGCAGCTAAGTTGGGGGATTTCGGTTTTGGATACTGTCAACTGATCCTGTTGATCATGAAGTTCCTGAGGATTTCCCTCTTGGTGCAATCGGCCCTGGATGGCTATCGCGTCGCTATTCTGGCCTATGGGTGGGGTAGCCCATGGTAGCCCAGTGATGTTGCGATGGTGAACATTGCCACGGAAAATCTGCGAACCCCCATGTTCAATGAGAGATGAGGTGCACTACATCTAGGTCATTCTAGATCTATATATCATCCAAGTTGGTTTTGTTCATGTCCCACCTTGATTGGGATGTCCCTGAAATGATTTTCGCACTTGCACTGAGGCAAACTGGAAGTGGAAAGACCTACACTATGTTGGGGCCATCTGAAGAGGTGAGAAAGAGGGAGACTGTATGCCCACTATTTATGGACTTGCTGTCATTCAAAGGAACCTTGGATTGACCCCGCAGGTGCCAGGCTTCAAGCACCCTCCTGTTTGACCGGTGATTTGAGACATTTATGACGTTTCCATTTGTGACGAAGCCGGGAGGATCAAGCCCAATTGACAGCTCTGCAGCTCAAACCACCAGGCCTCCCAGGATCCGGGAGTTCTCCCTCGCACGGTTGAGCTTATCTTTAAGGAGATACCGGAGATGGTGTCTCTGAAAATGGTGGGGTTTACTGTACATTCCATGGCAATTTCAAGTAGCCAAGTAACGCGGAAATAAATGGATTCGGTAGACACACCCATATGGCTGGATGCTTTCGAATATGTGTCTATATTTCTCTAATTTATGTCCAATCATGTTTGGAATCTAGATCTAGGCCATGTTTTTTTTTTTGTGTGCTATTTATTTTTGGTCAATCATAATTGGGATGAGGATATATGATCATTGATCGATGATCGAAATTAGATCATTTCTGGGGAAATGGGGAAAGACATGGCCCCCGTCCCAAGCTTGGGAATATTTTTTGGCGTCCCCTCCAACCAAGAAACAAAGCAACAATCTTAGTGGGAAAATCATGATAGACCATGAGATTTTGTGGGAGATGTGATTTTTGGACAAGGCGCAGGGGTCCGCCTTGCTCGGCTTTCTGGCTTTGTGCTGTCGTCCTTTAATTGGACTCTGGGTTTTGGGAAGGTATGTCAACCATGGCCTCTCAGAGCTGTCTTAGCCCGTCTTTGGGGATGTAGCAACAATGAACCAGCCATGTAAATTGATGGTTACCAGCCATAAAAATGGAGACATGGGGATGGTGAATCGGTGATTCACCTATTGTTTTTTTTTTTGCATCAGAATGGTTGCCACCCCAATCATAGAGTATACGAAACCCCAATCAAAAGCAACCATGACTGGGGTTGGAATCCCATCAAACTGCTGATGACTCCCCGAGATACCTCGAGGAGGTGGATCAACTGAAACGAAATGGCTGGGAGACACTTGGCTGCCGAGGTGAGCAGTGGAAGGGGGAAGATCAACGGGAAACCCATGATGAAACCCATGGGTTTTCCCGTGAAATATGGGGGAGTCCTGCAAATGATCCCCTAAAGATAGAGAATGAATCAACTTTGGCTGATGAATCTGGCAACTTGCCCATCATTTGCTAGTGAAATCGTGAGGTTTGTTAGAGGTCGAGATGTCAGAATAGTCAATTTCCATACCACACTTCTTTTGATGTTGATGCTGATGGGTGTGTTTTCGAGCCACCAACTGGGTGGCTACCAGCCAAACCGGGATGTTTGCATTGTGCCAGTAGTTGTGGGTGGCGGTCAGGTTCAGCATTTGTTTCGTCACAAGAAAGAACAGCAGGCTTCTATATCTTCAGTTGGAGCTTCATTTTGCCACTTTCCTATACTTTCCTCAGGATCTAGGTTTGTTTGAAAAGAAACACCCCATTAAAAAAAAAAACAGTAAAATGACGGTTAAACCATGGGATGTTGGGATCCAAATTGACTTTAGCACATGTTTATACATTTTTGGGATGGCTTGAAACGACCAAGCAGATAATCTCATCAAGATATATATATATATATACATATCATAATGATATGTTTTTGCTGGGCATATATACCCATCCTGTGTATATAAATAAATAAATACATAAATAAATAAATATAAATATATATATACGCACGTATATGTTATGTTATATCACAGTTTTCCTAGCTTTGATCATGAATTTTCAGTGTGAGCTTCGCCCTGAGGTTCGAGGTCTCTGCCAGTATGGCTGAGGCGCTTGCGCAGAACCAGCGAATCCGATTGCCAAAAGGATTTGACTTTTCTTTTTTTTTAGGGGGTTACTCTTTACATATACATATATTAATATATTTACATATATTTACACACACACACATTTAAATTTATATATATATATATTATAGTTTTTATCTCTATAGGTGGGTGCCTGAAATGGTGGATATCACCAAAATTGTTTTTTTGGTATTGGGACACGTGATAAATCGATACATAAAGTACAGTACCCTCTGGTAAACTAACATAGCTATTGAAAATGGCCATTTATAGTGGATTTTCCCATTAAAAATGGTGATTTTCCATAGCTATGTTAGTTTACCAGAGGGTAGATTATCAAGATCCACATGTATCATAATAAAGAACTATACAAGTAATGTTGGATGGATGTAGTGGTTGCATTTATGAACATAGGTTCAATCGCGTATTAAGATATATGCTGTAAATATTATGCACTGTGCCATAGATGGTCAAAGACAACAAAATTGAGAGTCAACTTCAGTCTTAGGCGCACCCAGGGTTCAGAGGCCTTTTGTTTTGGTAAAAGTGTTGTTATATGTGTTGTAGCCGCTTTTGAATGCTATTACTTCCAAAAACTGAAATCTTGGTCAATGCCAGCTTGAAGATCAATTTCTTATTCAATTTGTTCTATTGTTCTGAACTCCGCTGGTGTGCTTGACTCTTGTCTCAATGTTTAGGTACTTGTATCAGCAACTAAGAGTGCTGATGCTTGTCAGATCAAGATGAGTTTTGAGGTGAGGTTCTATCATTTGCGTAGATGATGCAGTATATTTAGTTACCCTCTGGTAAATTAACATAGCCATGGAAAATCACCATTTTTAATAGGTAAACCATCTATTTCTATGGGCCATCTATACCATGGCGAACTGTTAAATAACCAGAGGGTAATAGTTTTTGTCGCCCTGAGTATCATCTCCATGTAGGTCCCATGCCCCAGGTCTACAACGAAAACGTGGTTGACCTCATCGTGTCCTGGCGCCAGAGCGGCGGTGGCTTCCACCAACCATGGCCTTCATTTGGGCTTAAAAAATCATGGAAAAGCCCATTCCATTCACTGGTTCATCATCATTATCCTGGAAGAATCCGGAGAAACAAAACAATTCTATGAGGAACAGGATTTGTTTTTCATCCTGGAAGAATCCTGGAACTATTCGATGACCATTTGGGTAAAGACACCAGTGCAAGCGCCAAGGCAAAGGGCGGTGTGACAGGTGTGGCCTGGGGACATCCGGGACATCGTTCTGAGGAAGAGATCAATGTTTTTTTTAGGTTTTTCTAATAGGGTTTCTATATATTTTACCATAATTTACCCAGGGTGGGGCCCGGTGTAGAAGTGTTTCTTTGAAGTTTTCACCACTCAGAAACCAAACTTCCCACAAATGGTGACTTCATGTGATTTTAATTGTGATTTATGGGATTGAATGGTGAATTGTCATGATGTTTAAGGATGTTTAAGGGTGATTTATCCCTATGGGAAAATGACGTTGTTTTTTTTGGCACAGCCAACATTGGTTTGGAGAGAATCGATGTTTCTAGATTATTTTATATTGATTTATACTATGTCATTCAGACACACCCACATTGGTTCCCAAGCAGGGCTTTGTTCTGGATTTGTGTCAATTTAGAAGGCCAAAAACCTCCAATATCCCAAGGTTTATCATCATAGTTCGACAACTTTCAAAATGTGTCCAAAAAAACCATCAGTATTTGCACGTATCTTATATTGTTGGGTATATGCTGTTAGTTATATTGCCAAGATATCCCGAACAAAAAATATATAATGAGCATGATACTGTTGGTGGAGGTGACAATTGTCTCCATTCATTTTCGCGATATCCATGTCAAATCGATGTCTCCGGATGCGGGAAACCCAAAGCTATAAACCATCCCCAATATCACAAGGACTCACAAGGACACAAGGTCCATATGAGTAGTAAAATCATCCCCAAATGGTAGGTTTATGGTATGGGGTTGCCACATTGCAATTTTTCACATGGGCATGTGTCAAGACCTACGAAAAACCACATGACTGCGGAAATAACCATCCATTCACCAGCTATTTTAGGGTACCATCCGGTACCATCCGGGTTTTGACTCAATAACGGCTTCATCCATCACCCGTTGAAACGTCGTCCCTTCAGTTCAGGGACGGTTCCCCTGGCCAGGTGACACTGGCAACTCCAGTCCTGAACCAGCAAAACGGCTGGTGCGACACTGGGCTGCATATTCAAGCAAACCATTGGTGAATATAAGACATATTTGTTCATGTATATATGGTTCACATATATATATACATATATATATATATACATATACATATACATATATATATATATACATATACATATATACACACGTTTTTTCATGTGTGCATTGTACTTTATACAATTCTACATACTTACAGATATAATGATATAGGTAAATAATTAAAGACTTATGTGTGTATCTTTGCATCGCACACACGCACACACACACATATATATATATAATAATAATAATACTAATAATAATATATATATATATATAATAATAATATATATAATTAATAATAATAATAATATAATAATAATATATATATATATATATATATGTCCGTGTTTGGCGCAGTGCATTGCATGATATGATGGCTTCGTGGTGATATTGACATGGAAACATGTCATCAGATAGCTTTAACTTTTCTTGTAGATATTTTTTCCCAATCCAGTTAACATGGAAAAGGCCACCACACTCCGAATGTCCTGCTTGTGTTCTCAAGGTTGTTTCAGAGTCTTCGAGGAAAATGATTTCCGCAGCAACAATCCCGAAGCTCAGCACCTGCAATGCCGATCGAGGAAAAACAGCAACATACATGGTGAAGGAAATATGCTGGAGAGAAAGAACAAAATAGACAAGAGAAAAACGCATCATTTGCTTTGGAAGCCAGCCTGCAACATATAAAACTGCATCGTGGCATCGTGCAATTCTTGAGAATTTTCATCCTCCAAAGATCCACCCAACTGATGGCGGTGGCCGCCCTGGCCCATGCCCTGATGCCTAGCGCGGCGGTCCTGGCGAAATGTCCAGCTGCGGGGCTGGATAGGAATCCGTCGGCAAAGTCAGAAGTGGCTTGGTGGCAAGGTACACGATGCTCCAGGTCGTTAAGTTGGTCTATATAGATGTTTATACTTGTTTATAACTAGTTAGAACTATAGGTTTTGTGGCAATTGGAACCGTCGCTAATTTTTTGTTTGGGAACCAACTCACAAATTGATATCGAGTGATCTCTCGGCAGATGCCTTCAGAGGTGTTGATCTTCGGCAAAGGCGTGCCACCGGACCCATGGACGATGATGGATTTTGAGGGACGCGAGTGTAAAAAAATATCACATCGTGGATTCGCCATGGGAAAACAACCATAGAAATCCATAGAAAATGACTATAAATGACTGTAAGTTTGTAAGATCAAGGCCTGATTTTTGTTCCGTGCAGTTTCAGCATTGATCCGAGGATGCTAAGGGATTCAGGGATGCTCAGCGTGGCAGGCAGTGCTGAAGAGCGGCTGTGCTTCGCAGCTTGCCCAAGGCACTGGCACTGTGAAGTCTTGGAGGATCCTACAGACATTCCAGGCGAAAGCCCTGTGCATAGATTGGGATGTCCTGATTGGGGGGGGTTGTGTTTGTTTTTTTTTGATTTAGAAGTGCTCATTTTGAGACCTAGGTATATATAAATATATGTATGTATGTATGTATGTATATATATATATATATGCAGGTGCTGGTGAAGCCCCATGTTTCGTTGTGGTCCCCGCTGTGTCCCTCCAGGCCTTCCACTAAGCCCCCTGGCGCGGATACCTGGGCGCCGGGGGCGCCCGGGACGACGATAGAGGCTGGAAGCTCAAGACAAGTTGCATGTGTGTGGGTATAGAACTTGTAATTGTTGGTTGGTAATGGGTTGGAAGTAGGGATGCTTGCATTGAAAAGAGCAGTTCATTTGAGGAGTCTCCTGCTTGAGAATTTAACGTTTTCGCAGGCGTTGCACGTCACCAGGTCGTAATTGCTTTGGCTCAAGTGTTGCCAAATCTACGGGTTGAGACCGAAACATGGCATGCGATATGAAGCTAGCAGCTTTCAGGGTGTTTGAATGCAGAAGGGACCTCAGTTTACCCCAGCAACCTCGAGCTCACACCTGCTGAACCACTTTGCCATGGCTTCTGCACCGTGCCTTCAGTACAGAGAGGGGTCCTTCCCGGTCCTGTTGGTGGCCCCCCATGCCACTGCCGAACTGGAAGAGGTTGGACCTTTCATCCAAGGATGGCCAGAGAACAAGTTGGAGGTCGGGGCGATGACTTCTTGGTGGACTATGGATACCCTCTGGTAAACTAACATGACTATGGAAAATCACAATTTTTAATGGGAAAACTCACTATAAATGGCAATTTTCAATAGCTATGTTAGTTTACCAGAGGGTACCCCCAAGAGCTCTATTATAAGCTATTGGTTTCCCCTGTGAGCATAGGCCCAAGTTGCCACAGTTCCCTGGCCATTGGTCTTGCACAACGTTTTCTGTAATGCCTATTGTTTTAATATGTTTTAATCAATGGCAGATTGGGCTTGGTAAGATACATGTGATACACTTTCATCAACAGACATGGCAATGGAAAATTCCCCTGTGATCTTCCCATCCATACCTCCATTTTGTAGGATAGCTCCCAGCTTGCCATGTTTCATTACCGGAGGCCAAAAAAAAATCATGATCAATTCCCAGTCATGGGGTCATGTCTGGCTTCCGAACCCCCAGGTGGCGGAAGAAATGAACGAATGGCATGATGTGGGCAGCGGAGAAGCTTTCGAAGCAGCGTGTCGCAAGCTTGGAGCACCTGGCTTTCGGCCGGTGCTTCCCAGGGGCCTGGTGGACTTGAACCGCGGTTGGAAAGGACGAGCAAAAGATGAACAAGAGACACTCTTTAGCAAAGGGGCCATTAGTGCCTTGGTGCATCTGCTTTGCGAATTGATGTTTTGTGTTGGGCTTGTTTTCTGATAGGATTATGTGTCATTCTGTTTGTTCTGCCTGTTTGTTTGATTTTGTTTGTGTGTGTGTTGTTCTTATTCTCTGCGTGTTATGTTTTCTTTATGTTTCTTTTTTTCTTCTTCGTCTTCGTCTTCTTCTTACTATTATGTTTCTTCTGTGTTTGTTGTTATTCTTATTCTCTTTGTTCCATATGAATCACATGATCATCGTCATGATATGCCATTATTATGTGTAATTATCCTCATTATTTTGTTTATACATGTTTACTCAGCACCATTATATTATATATGAGATAAGATGTCATTATCATTATCATTATCATGATCATGGTCATGTTCATCTTCATCCTCCTCCTCCTCCTCATCATCATCATCATCATCATCACCACCACCACCACCATAACCATCCTCCTCCTCCTCCTCCTCGTCCTCCTCCTCCTCCTCCTCCTCATGATCATCATCATCATCATCATCGTCATCATCATCGTCATCGTCATATATACAGTAATCATGATCATAGTGAACATAGTCATGACACTAATTATTCTCGGAATCAAAATCATGTTTGTTATCATCAACATGTTATCATGGTGTTTCATGTTTTTTGTTGTGTGTGCTTGTCATGTTTGTCATGTTTGTCATGTTTGTCATGTTTCTCCTGCGTACCACCTTTGTCATTCACACTATGTTTATTATGTTTATCATTGTTTATCATGTGTTTCCTGTTTATTATGTTTATTATGTTTATTCCATTCGGTTTTTATGTTCTATTTATGTGTTGTTTTCTTTTCCTTGAAGGTGCCTTTTGGCTTTGTGTTTTGCTGACATTTTTAAGCGCACAACATACTTGCGCCTGGCCTAAATGTGTGTGTGTGTGTTTTCCTGGTTGTCCCCTGCAAAATTGACCCGTGAATTTGACTGGTACTCTCACGGCATATCTGGTCCAAGCGTGTCTTGTCTTCTTCTTGTCCCCTAGCCCTAACCATAGTTGTGGCCGTGATGGTGGTGATTTAATCATTTGGTGGATATGGAATTTTGACATGGTTTCCCCAAGTCTCTAACCCAAATGCAGGTTCTCTTTCTTTTCTTCTTCCTTTTCCATCATTTCCTCTGTTTACCATTCTGTTCTATTCTGTTGCTGAATTTGTAGAGAGGTATCAAAGAACTCCAGGTGTTCTTCCCCTAAACCTTCATGTATTGTTCCCAAATTTTCTTACATAACTCTTCCATCCCCCTTCCCAGGCGCCTGGGGCCTTCAACATCTCAATCCCGATGCTTTGGACCCCTTGGAGCAGCGCTATCGTGGTGCCCTGGAACAGCTTCGTAAGGCCTCCCAAAATTTGAAGGGTTTTGTGGAGATGCACAGCTACCCGGCTCTGGAGTTGATGATTTGTTGATTTCCCCATGGATCAAACTGATGAAGTTATGGTAATATTCCACCATGTTTTGTGCTTATAACTTATGACTCATGTAATCTAATGTATGATTTTAAAGTCAACTCATTGTTAGAAGAAACTATTGGAAACATGATGAAACATGTCTTACATTGTAATGTAAGGTGTAATGTAACAATTTCATGGTCATGGTCATGCCATGGAGCTCCTTCCAAGGCTACGGTGACTTGGGCTCCACTTATGACTTGCAAAACGGGGGGCGTCCCCTGCGCCGCTCAGAGGCTGCGGTTGTGGTGTCAACCCCCTGGGCCAGCCAGCAGCCAGTCGGCTTGGCCCGGCTGCTGCCAGGGGATCTCAGGGGAACACCGAAGCTTGGTGATGGGGGACCCATTTGGTGCCGGAAAATACCAGAGAACCAACCAGAAAGGAAGGCTGAAGCATGAAATATTGGGATGGATTTGCTGCGTTGATTTTTGAGTATGTGTATTTTCCCATGAGTCCACTGTGACTTTTGTGCGGGGGCAGCAATGCAAGGAAGAAATTGGAGAGGCTGGTGGATCTGGAGCTGGAAAAGCAAGGCTTCAAGTTGGGCCCTAGCCCTTACCCGATCCAGGGCCCCTGGGCTTTAGGTATCAGATACTTGGCAGCTCGTTGGTTTCAATGGTTGGCGGAGAAGGGGCATTTGCCCATGGAGACAGCTGAACACCTGGCCATGTTGGCATGGGTCAATGAACAGGATGCCGAGGCAGAAGCCGTGGCAACGGGCAAGGTGCCCGAGCATGGCAAGCTGTGTGGCATCAGGGACCTTGCAGTCAAGATGGGAGAGTGGTCACATTCTGCCAGCGACTTGATGCGTTGTTCTTCAGCAATGTTTGGAATGTGCCCCTGTTTGGAGTTGTGAGTCCTCTCTTTCACTTCTATAGTTGGAGAAGATGACTCTGTATAAGCCATTTGACCCCATGTGTTGTACGTAAAATATGGTGTAATTTTTTATTTATATGTCGCTGTAGGTACATCGTTTGCGGGTGAATGGGTGAATCACAGCCAGGCGATTTGGGAGAAGTTTTTCAGCGCGAGGCCAAGTGCTTTACCTTGGTCATCGAAATGCGCTGTGATTTAGCACCAAGGGCAGAGGCGTTTGGCCTCGCCATAGCAGAGGCGTTGCACAAGTACAGCGCAGAGGATTAAGATGTCCTTAGATGATGTCCTTCCTGTTCGCACAGGACGTGATTCAGTGATCCTTCGAGAACTTCGAGCTTAAAACAAGTTGGGTGTGGGGTTTGGGCCATGAGTTTGATCCATGTGAAAGTAGGTATGGCATGGTGATGTATTTTGTGCTTGCCTGATGCAGCAACAACCAAGTTGGACATGTTTTGGCCTTGCCAACAGCTTTTGCAGGAGTGGTGGCAGCCAAAGTTGCGGCCTGTGCTGTTTCATCCTGTCTTCGGACACCCCCTGGTAGTTGTCTGGGGGTCTGATTGGTTGCAGTATATGCTCATGGTATAGCAATGCATATCATGCCACCCAGGAGGAAGAAAAAACACCGGTGGACTTGCACAGAAGTGGGGATCCCTTGCATCGTTGAACTTCGCTTCTCAGGCTTAAGTTTCGCATATGGCACAACCAGGTCAAAATTGTGTGTTTTGCTAGTCACGCACTTGGTGTAGATACACAGAGATTATAATGACCACTGCGACCTCACTGGAATAGTGATCAGTAAGGGTTATATAGCTGTCCCCAAAATGCCCTTATTTCAGGGGGGTGGCAGGGAGAAAACGAGTAACACTTCATAGGCCTTCTTTCAGGCTAGTGAAATATTTTCATTTACCCAGATATATGATTGTCGTTGTTGTTGTTTGTCTTGTTGTTGCTAATGAGTGCTACTAATGCGCGTTCAAAATTACCATGTTGCTGGAATATGGTTGTCATTCTAACTCAATGGTTTCTGCAGGGTTTACTCGCTTGAAGTTTGCTTCTGATTTTGGTATAATTGTTTCCATATTCTTCCAACGGAGGAGTCTTAGTAGGTCAGATAACCACGTATCAACGCCAGAGTTTCGAAACTATGCAGCCCATGCAGCCCATGGTCCCAGCCGGGTGAAGAGCAGAGTGCAGCCGTGCAGCAGTGCAGCAGTGCAGCATGCCGCGAAATATCAATTCCAAAGGCCTGGCTTTTGGTCTTTTCACAGCAACGTCATGCAACGGCTGGGCAGCTCTCCAGTTCATGCTCCTGGGTACTGGATGTTGATGTTTTCTTGTTTTGAACTTGCAAGGTACAGGTTTCAACATGTTTCAACAGGCTTGGTCGTTGATTAAAAGACAAATTTATATAAGGTGGCCCGGACAGCTCCCCTCAGGCGTGTCCTATCGCAGCCGCAGAGAGCGGTCCCTGGCCGGCAAGCGGAAAGGGGACATCCCAGTTAGCAGTTAAGAGACCCATGTATCACCAATATATATATATAATTGCTATGTATAAACATCTGCTATATATATTTGATATAATTAATTAATGGAGTATCCAAACTAAGTGGGTAATGATCATATATAACATTAATTATATAACTGTAACCAAATATAGCTGGGTTACACTATGGTCATTACCCACTTAAGTACAGTAACTGGGATGACAATCCAAGTTGGAGTCATAGGGTCCTGGCTGACGTTTTAGGGAAGTGATAGGCCCCACTGGTCACAGCCAGGTATAGGTGGGGCTCCGTGTCGACCGAGGGAAGTCCAACGTCGAGAAGTGGAGGACCACTGCCCAGACGGCGACCCGGCCTCGGGCTCGGAAGAGGACTTGGTGAAGGTGGGCTGCTAGGGCAGATGGCATATTTTGGCCCCCGTATCTGTGGCCAAAACTCCGCGTATCTCCACTTATTGGTCGGTTTGGACCAGGTGACATTTGTCTAATTAAGGCTTTTGTTTGCTTTGAGTTTGCGAGCCACTGAGCCTCCCAGTCCCGACACCCTTTGAGAATTAATCAAACATGGCAATGGAATAAGAACGAATTATTGATCCTTGTCACATTTCGAATATTCAAATATATTCAAATAATGTGGGTCAAACAATAAACCATCCCCCAAATCACCATTTTTATAGGTGGTATGGTTACCATTCCGAGTCATGGATGGTAAAAATGGCATTGTTTTACCCTGGAGCTCCCCCAATCACCCAAAACCCATCAAAACCCCCAAGCGGGTCAGGGCGACACAGCGCGTGCCAAACTGGTCCTCTTCGAGTTTGGACAGAATGATCCCAAGATGGACAGCGGTGTGCGCTTGTGTCGTGGCCCGGCCTAGATGCGATGGATCTGGGGGATCCCAAGATGCGGTTGGGTAAACTAACATAGCTATGAAACCCATCAGTCTCCCTTGCAAATGATCTACAGATGGTGGATTGTCCAAATCTATATGAGTTTTCTGGAGGGCATATTGGGCTTTAATTCGCCAAAATGGTGATTTTAGTATCAACCGAGGATTTGAATCAATGAATAATGGATATGGGTGTGTCCCCGGTATGTTTTTTGAATTGTCATGCGAAAAAATGCTGAAATTTGGTGAGATGGGTTGGTTGTATAGTTATTGGACTTAATTATACCAGATATTACCAGTGTTAAACCCAGCAAAAGGCAATGTTTGTGTAATATATGTATAATATTAATAATGTTGATGCTATGAGGAACCCTGCGCAAAATGATCCGCAAAACCCTGCAGCCACGTGGCATTTTTCTGTGGCAACTCAACTTAGGATTTGGCTTGGCCAAGAGTTTACGACCACAGGTGCGGGCCAGGAAGGGTGCTGAATGGGTTGATATTGCAGAGTTTTTTCACAATGTTTCAATATTGGGGGGTTGCTGTACTACGATCGGAAGTATAGAATTACTGTAATGTGGTAAACCTAATTTCATAAACCATCCCCAAGTCATCACCATTGTTATGTGTTATATGATGTTATATGCATAAACCATCCCAAGTCATGGTAGTCTTAAGGCATTGGGTTGCCCACATTACCATTCAACCGTGATTCAACGGTGATGCAGTAGTTCCACATAGCATTTGGCCCCCACTGACGTAGGGATCAAAGCCGTGGATTTTCACACACCTAAACATGATCACAAAGTTCTTTCCTAGTGGATTTTTTTCCACATACCCTTCTGGTTATGTCAAACATAGCTATTGAAAATTGCCATAGAAATAGTGGATTTACCCATTGAAAATGGTGATTTTCCATAGTTATGTGGCTGTTTACCAGAGGGTAAATGGGGAAACAAACAGTGGATGATCAAACGATTAACCAGTGGATTTTGTCACCGAAACGATGGCAGAGTCACCGAAACATGGCTCCCATCAGGCTGGCTTCCAGGGCATTGTATTGAGCACGATGACACCCGGCTGGAGTCCGCCGTTGATTGGTAGGGTGAGAAGAATCAGAATCTAGTCATATGATACCATATGATATGAGACTTACTGACGGCAGTTCTGGCCATTGTTCAAAGCTTACATAAACCTCAGGGCCTGATTTTGGCCGCTTTTAACATTAACAAAATTCTACAAATCCAATTTTGCAAACCACATTTGATCCGCACCCATATTATCATCAGACTATCAGACATTATCATCACTGACATGATCGTGCATTGACATGTGTATCAGCGAGTCTAGGATTTGTGTGCAATTAACCTCTGTGTTGCTCAAGTATTAGTATGTAAGTATATCAGAATATATAATGCCATAGGCAAAGTTCATATTTGCAGCTTGACCCAAGAAGTGGTTTCCGACAAGTGATGACGATTCCCAGAAATGCCTTGGCTTTTAGATGCCAATCATACAGGTTCCATCATTTACAATCGTGTGCATGCATCATACGTTCATTTTATGATGTACCCTGCAATGTAAGCAGAGAGATTTGGCCTTCCCTGTCTTTGCTTCAACATTTTCTCAAAGCCATGGGTTCAGGACGCAGATCCCAGTGTCCGCAGAGGATCGAGAAGTCATCGAGCCACTGCGTTGCATTTGTCCATCACTTGACCGATGTTTTCAATCGCCTGCTGGAAAGGCGTTTCACTGGGCCACGGTAGCTGAATCTGAGCAGTCACATTCCCTTGCGTATCCCTTGGGTATATCCCTTGGGTCGCCGCAAAATCGTAGGATTTACGAAACTCATTTCACGAAATCACACAACCAGCAACCGCTGACTGCTGAAGATCTTTTTCGGCTTGTTTTTGTTGGTCATATATCATCCGTTATCACCCATATATCAACCATATGTTTTTCAAAAATGGGGAAACCCCCTGAAGCTCCAAAAAAATCATCCATCCATCCATTGATTTCGCGGGTATCTCAACCCAGGACTTCCGGCCTCGCGGGAGTCAACTGCAGCTGGAATCGTTTGAACGAAATTCCTTGGGGCAAACTGCCCCGGAAGCCTCAGCACAGGCTGGGAAGTGGGGAGGAGATTCACTGGGAAACGTCCGAGAGAGATCTGCATCAAACTTAAGGAAGACAATGGAACTGAAAATTTGGAGGACAATGGGTAGCAGTCACAGGTAAGAAATTGATGTCAAGTTAACATAATCTAAGAATATCTAAGAAACATGGAGAAACCACACGATGAGCCGCGGTACTCTGCCGTCGTGTTCGGCCCATTGGCTTACCTTGGGATATCTTTGACACCACTGCTGCACCGCCAGGATTTTACCCTTCCTGGTTGCTGCGAATTCAGTGAACTATGGATACTCCGATGCATTTGATTTTAGCTGATTCTTGGATGTCCAAATAAGAAGATTGCTGGAATCCAATTGAAATTGAAACTGAAACTCGTTCTGGTGGAAGAAATCGTAATCTAAACAAGGGATCATAATTACCTCGCTGGTTTTCTCATCTTCAACGGCGAATTTCGTTGTTTCTTGTTCATCCCGATATGTCCTGATATTTCTATATATTTCGGGAATCTAGATGCAGTGAATAAACAGGTATATAATATAATGTTATATATCCGTGGAACATCACAAATTCAAGAACTAAACCAAAATGGGCCATTTCTGAGAGCAAAACTGTTGGTTTACTGGTGGGTTCAAAGACCTTTAGAATAGCATGGGTGGGATCAGCCCAGCTGTCCTTGAGGCAGGCCCAACAAGCTGAACACCGCTGAGGCAATGGCTGCAGTGGCTTGATAGGAAAGGTAGAGGTTCTGGTGGTTTCGTAGTGATTGAATGGTGACTTAATTCAATGGGATTTTCAGGATCCTAAAATGGAGGTACCTACCATATATAAGGCCTATATAAGGCCTATGTAAGTGAATATCCCCACAAAATATGCCCTTATATGGTACAGTACCTCCATTTTAGGATCCTGGAATTCCCATTGATTAATGGTGATCAACTTCACATGACACCAACCATGGTTTGCTGGAAAATCGCTATGGAAACTGTCAGTGCACAAATCAAGAAGTGTACTGGAACATGTGCATAGGCATGGGTGCCCCTGCGCAAGGATGACACATCAAATCGACCGCCTGACATAGGCCTTTTGTGTGCTCAAAACAAGGGTTTGCCCGCTACCGCCTGCAGCAGCTCCGCTGACAGGTTATGAGCCCAAGGGCTACCGGTGGTGAAGCCATGTCGGCTGGCGCTGCTGAAAGGGCGTTGTCGTTGCCACCAATTGGCAACCCTTTCTGGTCTGAGAGGGCCCTGGAGGAGCATGCGCTGCAGCTGATGAGGCCACCTGACCTACCAGGAGGTGATGGACGTGTACGAGAAGGTCCAAGGACTGTGGCGGTGAGGTCACGGAGTCCAATGGGAGACATGAGTAGGCGTCCAAAGCCTAGAAGAAGTAGGAGCGGTAGCAGTGAAGGTGAACCAAAGAAAAGTAGCACAAAGAGAGGTAAAGGTGTTGGAGGAGATGTAGGGCGTAGAGTAGATGAGGTGTCGCTAGAAAGACTGTTGGAAAGGGAAATGGTGGACACTCTGAAAGATGAGAATGAGAAGCTTCGAGATGAACAAGAGAGGCTTAGAGAAGAACTGAGGAGGTTGCGCAGGTCAGGGACGAGTGTGGACTCCTGGTCTGAAGTGACGCCGCAGCCACCCTCAGATCCACCACCCAAAACGCCTGAGAGAACACCACCAATGATGACCCCTATGTCACCTTCAAAAAGGTATACCCCAAATGGGACTGAAGTGCCAGCGGGACCACCCCCTGGTTGTGAAAGTTGTGAACCAGCTTGGATAGGTCAAATTCCAAGGTGGCCGGAATCACTTGGTGCGTTTGAGGCCAAGGATTTGATGGGATGTCATGAGGGACAGGTGAAGCGTGTCTCCGAACATCCAGGTCAAGATCTAGGTGATGGAGAATGTCTTGACGATCGGGCTTTGCATGGCATGCGAGATGGACTCCAACGAGGGCATCGGGCTTTTGTGCACGGTGAACACCTTGAAGGGCATCGGGCTTTGATGCACGGGGGACATCGAGAAGGGCATCGGGCTGTGCATTTCCATCGAGATGGTCAAGGGCTTCGTCAAGGAGATCTTCAACGTGCTGGACATCAAGAAGGGCATCGGGCTTTGATGCATGGTGTTCAACAAGAAGTACATCGGGCTGCACGGGTTGATAGCATGTCTGAGGTGGATCGTCTTCTTCGACAAGGGCATCTTCGAGGAGGAGAGCGTCGTGATGAGCTGGGGTGGGAATTGACTCCGGACGAGATGGCATGGCTTCAAAGTGAAGGAGCTCTGTCTGGCGCTCAACAAGGTAGAGGCTGCATAGATGTTGAAGAAGAAAAAAGGTTTCAAGAAATGTTGGAGGTAATTCCAAGGAAAGTTTGGCCTAAGGAGTATTGGGGAAAGCCGTTTGTTCAACAGTATAGGGACATGGAATCGGCACGTCTTGGAATGAAAAGGGTAGGCGGTAAGGCTGAGACCCCCAAGGCTGAGACCCCCAAAGAGGCTGAGACCCCCAAGGAGGCTGAGACCCCCTTTAAGGAGGCTGAGACCCCCAAGGAGGCTGAGACCCCCTTCAAGGAGGCTGAGACCCCCAAGGAGGCTGAGACCACCAAGGCTGAGACCCCCGAGGAGGCTGTGAGACCCCCAAAGGATGGCGAGTCTTGGAGTGCAGGTTCAAAGATGTGGCAATCGCCAATGCCAGTGATGGACTTCCAGGAAGAGATGAGGTCCATTCCAATCACTCTGCCGGTTTTGGCAGATCCAGGAACAAAGAATGCTGCGCTGTTGGCCGGTGATTGGCTTACGCAGCTGGAGCCGCTGATCGGAGATGTATCAGCGAGAGCGGGAATTTGGTGGAAGCAGGTGGTGGAGCTCACGATGAAGCGCTACAGAGAATGGCTTCAGGCACCACCTTTGCAGCGTCTCTACATCAAGGCGCCTGCGGATGAGGAGCTCCCCAAAGGTTTTGACCGACTTCGGCAACGGGTGTCCTCGATGATGTTGCAGGCCATCCCCACTGCCATCAAGGATGAGGTCATATCCACCAGACAGCTCTCACCACAAGGAATCTTGTTTCGGATTCTTCGAGTTTACCAGCCAGGTGGACTCAGTGAAAGGTCAGAGACTTTGAAGTCCTTGACAGCAACGACCCCAGCCACAACGGCAAAGGATGCTGTAGAGTCGTTGAGGTTGTGGAAAAGGCACCACAACAGGGCTAGCGAGTTGGGAGCGTCTCTCCCAGATTCAACTCTGATGATCAAGGCGCTGGACAGAACGATGGAGCTGTTGCTCAACAAGTCCCCGCAAGCCAGCTTCAGGGTCAGTACGTTCAGGCTTCAGTATGAGGTCGATGTGAATCCCAATGACGTTGTGGTGAACAAGTTGTATGAGGTCTTGCTTGCGGAGGCCGAGCTCATGGTCACGGCCAACTCTGAGGAGAATCCAGCTGTCAAGCAAATGCAGGTGCTTCCCAATGGTAAAGGACCTCCACAACAACAAACTTCTCCTGGCAAAATGTCGGTGTGCAAATGGTGGGGTTCTACTGAAGGTTGTCGACGTGGCCGGGCGTGCAAGTTTCTGCACGATTTGGACTCCCTGGAGGATAAGTCGACCAGGTGCTGGCCGTGCAGTTCTACAACACATGCCAAGAAGAACTGTCCGACAAAAGATGGCCAACACCAGGTCGGGGGGAGTGGAGGAGGTGGTTCAACTTCGACGTCAACTTCGATGACAACCTTTTCATCCAACAAGGGCCAGTTCAACGGCAACCGGAACAACCAGCAGGAGAAGAAAGGGAAAGGAGGAGGCAAGAAAGGGAAGGACAAGGGCAAAAGTGAAGGGACAGCGGAGGACAAAAAAGAGAAAGATGAGAAGGCTGATCCAAACATTGCCTCGATGAATGTTGATGATGACAAGAGGAGTGAGGCAAGCGTGAGGACGGCGAGCACAGGTGATAGCAGCTTGATGAACGAGGTGACCAATCTGCTGAAGTGTATGAGGATTTCGAATGATGGAGATCCAACAGTCAAGGCAATGGTCAAGCAGGTCGTCTACTCTGAGGGGAAGAATCACCGAGTGCTCATAGACGGGGGAGCAACACACTGTCTGAGAAGGGCATCAATGGATGAGTGGAACCAAAGTTGTGATGTGACGGTCCACTTAGCAACAGGAACTGTCAAGCTCAGGCAACACCCCGAGAAGAAAACCATCTTCACCAAGGACCACTGCCAGCCGATTGTGCCGATGGCGCTTCTGGTTCAAGCTGGAGCTCAAGTTGCATGGGACAAAGATGGATGTAAAATACAACACCCCGTGCATGGCAGGCTGGAGGTCAAGATGGATCAAGGATGCCCAACTTTGGAACACGATGTGGGCATGAAGATCATGTTGGAAGTGGAACAAATGATGATGCGTGGTGACTTTGCAGTAAGGATGCTTGGAGGAGTGGAGAAGTCTGAGAAGGATGAAGAGATGCTCAAAAAGCTTCAGGAGGTGAAGAAGGAGTTTCCCCTCGTCCCGGACGCCATCCTCAACCGCATCCCAGGACGATCAAGCTATGATCCCACGCAGCTTCCACTCAATAGAAAGATGAGGAGAAGAGTTCAGAATGCAGAGAAGGTCATCATCCACCTCTACTCTGGTCCAGATCCCAAAGAGTGGCTGAAACTTCGAGATGAGAAGACCTATGTCATCTGCATTGACAAGCTCTACCACAATGGAGACATGCTCAACGATCACCTGATGGGCTACTTGGAGGAGGTCATGGACTCTGGCAAGGTGGAGATGTTCTTGATGGGTCCACCGTGCCGCACAGTTAGCGCTGCAAGACACACTGAAGATGGAGGTCCGAGACCTTTGAGGAGCCGAGAAGGTGATGAGAGGTTTGGTCTCAAAGGGCTCAACCACTATGAAAAGAAGCTGGTGGAGGACGACACGGTTCTCATGCTACGAGCTCAATGGTTGGCCCGGAAAGGTAACAAAGCCAGCAATGGCATCATGGAGTCCATGCTGGAGCAGCCCAGGGATCCGAGTGAATACAGGGAGGGGAGCTATCCTACGTTTTTGACATGGCCAGAGACCAAGGAAACAGCTGACCAACTGGGATGGCAAAAGGTGATGCTAGATCAGGGAGCAGTTGGACACCCAACACGAAAGCCAACGACCCTCCTCTCGGACATTCCCGAGGTGGCTCAGCTACATGGTTTGAAAGATGATCGGCCTCCACAACATGACAGGCAAAAACTTTCTCTGGAGCAACGACTCGAACAGTCGAAAAGCTGGGCAGCGTGGGCAGAAGGCCTGAAGTATGTCCTCAAAGTGGCCGCTAAGAGGATCAAAAACACGCCCACTGCCGCCATGAAAGTTGTCAACTTGCCCAAGAAGGAGGTGGAATCATGGAGGAGGCACTTTGCTGCTGGGCATGTGCCGTACCGCCGTGACTGTGGTGTATGTGTTGAAGCTGCTGGTCGAGGAAGGTGCAGGAAAAGAATACAGCACCCAGAGGCGTTTTGCCTTTCTGTCGACACAGCAGGACCTTTCTGTGCTGGTGTTGATCAGTCAAGAAAGAAGGCCAAGTACATGCTCATCGGCACCATCACCATTCCTACGAAAAAAGGGAGACCTATGGTAGAAGGGTTGGACAGGCTCATAGCAAGAGACCCTGGAAAAGATCAGCACTTGGATTCGATGGAAGAAGCTCTCATGTCGCTCTACGACCAGTACAAGGA